TGAGGGGGGGGGGGTCTTTAAGCTATTTTAGGTTCTTGTCGATTTTCTTGTTATATATCTATAACAGGGCGCATAGCCCAATTATTCAACAAAAATAAACACCTTTTAAGCACCTTTCATGCACTCAAACAATATTTTTAAGCACTTTAAAAAATATATCACTATTATGCAGGGTAGGAAAGTTTTGGATAATTTAGAGTTTTATCTTGCTTTAACTGTCATGTCAAAAACAAAAAAAAACCTTTCGGCATAGTTTTTAACAATTGGCAAAAATCATGAAATTTCGAATCATGTAAAACGAATGGCATTTTCACACGCTACGGACTGACAATAGGCCGAAATAGATTGGGGTTGAATTAATTGTGAAAACGTTGAACAGAACAATTTGAACTGTGTCTTTTTGCATAATTCGAAGCGAAAATCAACATAGTAAAAAGGGAAAATTAAGCACTTTTTAAAAACACCCAATGAAAAAAGCAACTTTAAGGATTTTCAAAAAATTAAAATCGAAAATAAGCAGCTTTAAGAACTTTTTAAAAATGCTACGCACCCTGTATAATGAGGTGAAAAATTTAATTACCTCCATAAAGTTCGGTTTTTCATTACTGAAGCGGTGGGGGGTCCCCAAAGAAGTTTTTGCACCGGGCCTTGAGTATTTCTGTTCATATTCAATTTGTACTTGGAGGCCCATAAATTAAAATGTTATAGTAATTAGAAAACAAACTTACATAAGATCTCCAAGAACATGGTTGCTGTTAAGTGGTGATGGAAAATTTTGTAAAGCTTCTAGATAGTCTGCCTGCTGAACTTGCTCATACAGAAATTTAAGCCTTTCCTGAAAATATTATGACCTTTTTTTAATTTTCATCTCATAATAAAAATAATATTTCAAATTATTATGATTGGTTTAGTTTTTATAAAAAAAAAAATTTCTTTTCATGACAGAGATTCGAACATATCCTTGTCACCCCTCGAGTTATAATTGTTTTTACTTATTTTTTAAATAGGTTTAAAAATCAATGAATGTGATCGACGCATCACCTGTGTGAGGATGCAGTACACAGAAACGAGAGCAACATCTCAAACGTGAAGGAAGCAGGGTTCACCTAGTGGGCCCACTTTGAAAAAACCCGCGCAGATTTTATTGGGTGGGCCCACCTTGAAAAACCCACTTGGTGGTTTTTTTTCACAAATTGCTTTTTTTAAATTTGGTTGAAAAAGAAGTATCTCCTAATACTATCATTGGACACATCGTGGAAGTTAACAAATATTTTAGATATGTGCATTAAGCACATGGATGGGCAAATGAAAAAACACTGCTTGATGCCCCAATGACCAAATGATACTAGGTGGAGTTCATATTGCGACTGCGTAAAAACTTTTGCTAATAATTACCATTAACATCAAGAGATTGCTCTTGAACATCAAAATGAATCTAATAATATGTCTAAAATATTAAATAATGTTGAGCTTTACCAATAAACTATCAATTGGAAGAAACAGATATCAATTGTTTCTGAAGCTTCAATCAGAAAACATTTCACTTTCAGAAGCTGTTGAAATATGAATTAACTTACTATCATGTGATGAATTAGAACCCCATATACATTTTGTAAAAAGATTCCATCAGGCTGCTCAGCCACCTCATTTATTAGCATATGCATACTGGATCTCGAAACAAGGGGACAATTTTTAAATGATGAACAAGATCAATTAGCAGAAAACTGTCTTTTTAAGCATCACCCAGAATTTATGCTACGTGTTATGGCATTTAAAATTTCCGATCCTGAATACTTTCCAAAATCAAGGATGCTTGACACTGTTATTCAACAGTTTTCATCAAAAAATAGTGGAAAATTATGACATAAATAAATAAAATTTCAAGCTCCCACAAAATTTCTGCCAATTCTTTTTTCTTTACACTCAGCACCTATCGAAAGACACTTTTCAACTTTCGCTTTGGTCTGGAGTAAACTACGAAATAGATAAACCTACAAAACTCATGAAAGGGTATCACCATCTAAGAGAGAAGTGTAGACACTCTGCTGTATGATAATAATAAGAAATAAAAAATCTTTTTTTTAAGTTAACTCATCTGCTGACAATTTTTAACTATTTGGAGAAAGTTTACCACCATTAAAAAACAATTAAAAATTAAAATATTACTTTCAAGAATTTTTAAATATTATTTTTAAGATTTCATTTGAATACAATTTATTTTTCTTCTTTCAATCATGTTTAAAAATATTGAAAACAAACGAATTTTTTTTTTCTATTAAGTAATGAGTTAAACAACAATTAACAAATTTAAAATTTTATTTTCTGGTTTTAAAAAAATAAGTTAAAACTTTTTATCTATGCTTTATTATAAATTTACGATTAATTTGTTTTTTGAAATTATAAAGTTAAAATTTATCTAAAAACGCAGTCTTTTTTTTCTAAGGTTAAATATTCATAAAATGGAACAAGTAACTGATATTCTTCATAATTATAGGTAATTTTTATTTCACTTTCTATTAATCGTATTATAAAAACATGGAAGATCAAAATATTTATTTCACTTGAATTTTATTAAAGGTAAAAGTCAGATGAAATTTTAGTTTTCTTATACAACACTATTTAATAAATAAAAATATTTTCATATTAAAATTTTAAAGTTTATGAGCACTAATAAAAAAAATCCAATTTTTCCCAGGTTTTTTCAAATAAAACCCAATTTCCCCCGGGTTTTTTCAATAAAACCCGGGCGGGTTGATTTTTTACAAACCATGGAAGGAAGAGACAAAAAATTTGAAATATCAAAAATCATTCGTTCACATTAAAATGAAAGAGAAAAGATCTGTTTGCATACTTTTTAAAAAATATTTCATTTATTTTATTAAAATAAAGTATTATAAGAGAATAGTATCAAAGATTTGACTGATGAAGGGAAATCAATGAAAGTGACTCAAAGTATCTACAGCACTTCTTGTTTCAGAGTGAATTTTCAAATGGTAAAAATCATTCTCTCAAAATAGGTTCCACAAACATTTGTACATTTTGAGGAGGTTGCGTTCCAACCATCAAGAAATTTGAGTTAAAAAAACCTGTAACAATGGACCACTTTATGCATAATCATAAATTCTCAGATAATATACAAATTTAATTGCAAAAACAAAATATTTTAAAATGACTGATAGATTTTTATTATTTTGAAATTTCTTTCACAAAACATTTTTTTATTTTAATACATTTTTAGTAAGTATTTCATTCATTTGGACACACCAAACAAACGTATTTGATTTTTATGCATGAATGTATTCAACAAAATTTTAAACTAAACAGAAAACTAGAAACAGGGAGTATTTTTACTTACTACCAGAAACTTTCACTGGTTACCAACATTTTTTCAAATTCTATGAGCCCTGTTCACAATAAAATTAATGAGGATTATTTAAAATAATATTACAGGGTGCGTAGCCAAATTATTCAACAAAAAATAGGCACCTCTTTTCATGCACTCAAAAAATATTTTAAGCACTTTCAAAAATATCATAATTAGGAAGGTTTAGAAAGGTTTTGATATTCAATGGTTTTATCTTCTTTTAACCGTCATGTCAATAAAATAAAAAAAAAATAAAAAATAAAAACCTTCTGGCATTTTTTTTTGACAATTGTCAAAAATCATGAAATTTTGAATGGTGTCAAACGAATGGCATTTTCATACGCTACGCACAGATTATACGGCCGAACTAGATGCGGTTGAATTAATTATGAAAACGTTGAATCAAACAATGTGAACTGTGTCTTCTTGCATAATTCTAAGCGAAAATCAACATAGTAAAGGAAAAATCTTGTTTTGAAATAGGGAAAATTAAGCACTTTTTAAAAACACCCAATAAAAAAAAACACCTTTAAGGGCTTTTAAAAAACGAAAATAAGCAGCATTAAAAACCGCTATGCACCCTGTATTATTATCCTTGTATATTTTACATACAGGAATTTATAGGACGAAAAGCGTATGATTTGGCCTAGCTACATAATAAAAATTTATCCAATAGTTCCTCTTGAGTTACTTACTCGAATAGATTACTTTTCAAGGATTTATGTATTTATAAAACATACTCATAACTTTCCCAATTTAGTTGCATGTATTTCTTCATTACATTAGTAACATAAATTATTATAGTTTTTTTTCATTTTTTATGATGGCGCATTTAGACTTAATAGGCAATGAAAAGTCACATACTTTTTGTGTGTCGTCCTTCCTCTCTTTCAAAATGTCTGTGAGCTTAGTGAGTTTCTCCAGGGCTTCCACCTGTCTCACTATCGACTTTAAATGAGAGCCCATGCCCCGACAGTATGCTTCAAGCATCAAGCCAAAGCGAGTGGCAACAGATGGGTCGTGTATTTCTGATCTGCAATCAACACCACCTCTTACTAACAAGCACAACATTTAATCAACAAAAAGCAAGGGTTTTTTTTAAAAACATTAAACATACCATAACTGGTCAAATGACCGCTTAAGAACTTTTGGATCGAAAATGCACTTATCATCTTATCATTTTTACACATTTGACTTTTTATAACAATTATATACAGTTAGTATTCTATTATTATTTTTTTAATATTTTGTTGGTTTCGAACAATACGTGTTGTTTACTATTCTATTATAATACTATTTCTACCACATTTGAGCGAGAGAACAATTTATTGCTTTATAAGGATCAGAAATGACGATGTAATGCGTGCTCAGCGTATTGCACTTGATGAGTTGCTCATTTCTGCAAAGACTGTTGCGTAATGAGTTCAATAAGAATAACTGTGAATTCAAATTTCAAGAAAATTCTTAAAATTTTTGATTGGTATTTTTTTATAAGAAAAAGTAACAAAAACTAAATGGTTTAGTAAGTAGCATATATTTTATTTGGATAGCTTTACTCCATTTCTAACTGACTGTTAGTTTTCACCCCCCGGAAAAATGTTGAAACAATCAAGACACCACAAATTCTAAGAAGAAATAATATTAATTAAAAGAATAATTATAATTCTTATAATTATAAGAATTATAGAAATAATAATAATTAGAAGAAATACGTTTTCAAAAAATGTACAATGAAAACACCCTGTATATGTATAAAATGCGTTAAGCAATGAATTAAAAATTCTTATTCTTTGTGTTGGTAATACATAAAAACTAGCTATATACAATTTTGCTTAATTATAATACAATTTTTTTAGTTTATTTAATTCCTAACATCCATATTTCATACATTCAATGAAGAAACATAAAGTCCGGTTATTTGTCCGGTTATGGTAGAAATAGGTATAGATTAAGTGTTGGTATGTTTAGTGTTAAGAAATTTTCTTTTCTCCATAATTTTTAAAAAAGATAGGTTTTTTTTCCTTTTAGAGGAAACCCCAGTATTTTTTATTTTCATACATTAAGTAGGCAAGTAATTAGTTAAATACACACCGTTTCTGCTGTTTGTCTATAGATACATACGCTTTTAAGTCATTTTTCATTATAAAATTGATATATGCCCCACTTTACATAGTAACATTCAAAATTCTGAATTTACTTCCTTATGAATAAAAATTCTAATTGAATTTTTATTATAACATACAAGTTAATATAAACTAAAATTTTGAATACATAAATCAAAACAAAATTACAACTTTTTTAAATGAAATTCATCCCTTAAAAACTAGGTTTTCTAATTCTGCTTCATTAATAAATATTTAAAATTTCTTCCTATATAATTCTATTTAAAATTATAAAGCATTTAAAAATTTTACAAGAAGTTTAAATTCCGCATGTTATTTAAAACTTTAGAAGTTCTAAAAACAGGTTAACGATATTGTTTTGTAAGAAATCATACTGTATTTTTTATTTACTTTTTAAATAGTTAATTTGCGATAAAAATCTTTTTACCCAAATAATTTTATAAGTATGTGATTTTTTTATTAATCATATAAAATAATATTTTTTAAAAATCTAGAATTTGTGCAGAATTATCGAATTATTTTCGTATACACACATACATTTTTACTAAGTATACACACATACTGATACTTACCCATTTTACCCCACAATAAATTCCAAAAATCTTTAAAGGATAAATCATGTGTTTTCTCTAAAGAGATACCGAACTCTTTAATAATCTATTTAACATTTAATTTACATAACTTTTAATGTTCCATAATAGTTTGAGAAAAACAGTATAAGTAAAATATTTTGTAAATTAAAAAAAAAAAAAAAAAAAAAAAAAGNTCTCTAAAGAGATACCGAACTCTTTAATAATCTATTTAACATTTAATTTACATAACTTTTAATGTTCTATAATAGTTTGAGAAAAACAGTATAAGTGAAATATTTTGTAAATTAAAGAAAAAAAAATTATTTACTTTTGATATTTAAAATTATTTAACAATAAGAAAAAAATGTTTGCGTCTAAGATTTCACAGAAGATAATAATTTCACATAATTTAGACAATTTAAAATTAGATGCTTTATATATATATAGTATCTGCTACATTTTAGATTTTCAAATTCATGACTTTTCAAGACTTTCCATGACTAATTCCAAGAATTTTTCATGACTTAACGAAGTTACTATTTTCTTCGACAAAAACACAACAATAAATTTAAAAAAGCATTATAATAACATTCACTGAAATGATAGGTATAACCAAAACTGTTATACTCTGCATCTTCATATTTATAGATTTTAAATTTTAAAAAAAACAGAGTAAAGAAAGAGTTGAAGCAATAAAATAGCTGAAAAAAGTACAAAAGCGATAATTTTTTTTCTTTTTTTCTGCAGAATTACATTCTAAAGATACTTTTCTTGTTCATCAGAAAGGAAAGAAATACTCCTGATTTCTCGGTTCTCATTTCGGAATAAAAAATTTCGTCAATGACTAGCTTGCTTCAGCTAAAATTTTAAATTGATAAAATAAAAATAATACTAAAAATTCTGAAATCACAGAAGTTTAAAAGATAATTCACTCTCGAAATGATGCCCTTGCTTTCATTTATAAAAAGAACACCACAATTTTCAAAGAACATGATAAAAACATTTTATATTTTAATAAAACATGACTGTGAGTGGGGATTTTGTTACATATTCAGACATTCAAACAATTGGAGGGAAGGGTAAAATCCATTTTGAAAATTAGATTTTTTGTCAACTTAAATCCATGACTTTCCACGATTTTCTTTAAAAAAATAGTTAAAATCATGACATTTCATGACAAATTTTGTCCAATACCGAAATTCATGACTTTGCAGGTGCCCTGTTTATGTGAAAAATAATGCATTTTAAATAAAATAGCTTATAAATGTATTTGTAACTTTGGAATTTTATTCTATTGCTTAGGGGAGAATTATTTCTTTCTCAAACAGTCCGCTTCATTTTTTTAATAAATTGAAACATTTGTATTCCAAATATGGAACTTTATGTAGCAAAACTGCAATATCTTAACTTCTATTATCTTAAATATTACTACAAATCAAGGTTTCCAGTCACATAGCATTTAATTATTTAACTTAAATTTCATCAAACTGATTGATTCCTGACTTGAATGTTCAGCTTTAACACATATACAAATTGATACTAATACAAATGACTCAATTAATTAAAAATAACTATTGTAAGTTAATATAACTTTCTTATACCTTGTTATTCAATATTCAAAGATACTGAAATAATGATTATTAAATTATTAGACACAATAAACCTTTTAAACACCAAACTGAGCACTCCAATAAATGTTCAGAAGGGGCTTACTTTAAATGCCAAAAGAAGAAGTGACCAATTTTTCTATTTGAAAGTGCTCGTCGAAGTAGAAGTTTGGCTAAATTGTTGTCAAAGTATGATTCATATTTTATCACCTGAAAGTCAAAATACATAATTACTTTTTGACTAACTAAATAATAGAAAAGAAAATGTCTGTGATTCATTTAGAACATAATATACCCCTGTTATATATAATTTTAGGCATAAACTGATAAAAATCCCATCTTATTTCATAACAAACTTGTACAAGTATGTAAAAAGCAAAATGTCCTTGATTTTCAATATTTTATAAACCATAGAAAACCAAAGTTCTTTCCAGAGTAAAAATTTCACAAATATTTTAGAATTTAACTTCAATTCTAATGTGTTAAAACTTAATATCTAAATGTAGAAGAAATACATTAGGGAACCGATTATCTGGAACGATCGGGACTATTGGTATTCCGGATAACTGATTTTCCGGTTTTCTGAATTGCTACAAAAAGCCGTTTTTTTTTATTGTTAAACCCAACTGAAAAAAAATAATATTTGGAAATAATCTTAAAAAGAAGAAACAATGATGAAGTAATACACTAATGATTATTTTCAAAATGATGGTAAGGTAAACATCTTTAAAAAAAGAACAAAAAATCCTAAAATCTTATGGGAAAAAAAAATTTCAAATGGCGGGAAAATTTATTGAAATTTGTTCCGGTTTTTTGGTTTTCCAATTTCCGGATAACGAGTTCCGTACTGTAATATCAAAAATTCTAATTTTGTGTTCATCATTACATCGCCAAAACTTTACGTGTGAAACATTTTTTTAAAAAATAATTTATATTGAAAATTTTCATTATTAATTTTATAACAAAAATTTAAACAATTTAAAAAATTTATTATCCCATTGCTGGAAGACCTTCAAAAATAAAATAAAATTGAATTATTTATAAATAAATATTAAAAGTGAATTATTTATTAAATTAGCACTCGTGACAAGAAAAATAAATAAAAATGCCACTTCAGAGGTATGCATGAAAGCACCTAATAATGAATGTTTTCATTGGAATAAATTCTTTTCCTGCTCCCAGAGTTTGAATTATTAACAGGCGTATTTCACACCAATAAAATCTCGGAGGGATATAGCAATTGCCATTTCACTTTTTGAAAAAGTGTTCAAAACATCATAAGCTCTTTCACATTGTTCTTCCTACGGCTTTTGAAATTATATTTGATCATTTCACTGTTTCCTCAAGAGTTTTCTATCAAGATTTGATTTATTCCTTCTCCAACATAATAAATATTTATGTTGTTGTTCATACAGGTTTCTCCACCCTTATTTTATTTTCAATCTTTACATCTGAATTATACAACTTTCCCAAAGGGGGAGTTTTTATACTTTTCTTCTTGGAAAAGTTACATTTATAAACTTATTTGCTTTGTTAATGACAATTCTATTTAATTAATTTTAGACATGGTATAGTAGGCTTTTTAGTGCGTCTCAAAAGAGAGAATTTCTTGATAGTGGTCTCGAGAAATAACACGATATCAAATGATTCTGTAATTTTTATTTTGGGATGAACAGTGTATTATTTTGATGTAACTAGAAAGGACCATTAAATAAATAAAATCGTAATTATTTTAGTCCAATCTATTATGCCTTTGTACAGTCATAGCTGCCAACATACATAGGGAAAAAATCCAATAGATTTTACGAAATATAAATTTCATGCTAAATATTTTACACATAGGGAATTTTAGGGATTTTTATAGTCATCCAAAACCAGCAATATTTTCCAGTCATGATTGGCATTAATATGCTTGAAATGTTGTGTATTATGCTTACTCATAATAGTAATAGGCACTTCATTCATAAAAAATACTTAAGATTTGATTTTCTTAATTTAAAAAGTTGTAGGTCATTTATGTCACACTAGAGCTGCACAATGAGGTATTGGCGACAGTCTAGAAAACATCCCTGAGGATGATTCGAAGACATGCCATCACAATTTTGATTCTCTGCAGAGGGTATTGCANTGCGAATTTGCCCCCCCCCCCGCAACTTTGCAACGACCTGCATGCAAAGTCGAGCACTTTACGGTAGAACAATTTAACGAGACCAATACTGCACACCCTAGGTCCCTACGCAGACTAATGAAAGTGGTCACGCACCCGCACTCTGACCGTAGTCAGTGATGCCTGACTTCGGTAATCTGCTGGAAACTGTGTCTTAACGATCAGTCCACTGCGGGACTTTAATTTAAAAAGAGAGTTCTGAATAAAAATAATCTGAACATTTTAGGACAAAAAAAAAGAGAAAGTTTTAAACTGATTTCTATAAATGAGTCTGGCTTCATTATATACTAGTAATACTTACTTAAATATTCTAGCAAAGCAATAATCAGTATATAAATTCTATTTCAATAGGGAATTTTTTAAAATGTACAAAATCCACTAGACTTGGTAGCTATGTACAGGATTTATGAAGAATATCTTTTTGATACCTGAACTAACTGCAGCAAATATTGTGACATGAGATCATCTGATAAACTTCTATTCAACCATTGGACAGCGTAGTCACGAACCACTTTATCAGCATATTTGCAATCCAACAGTTCCAGAGCCACTTCTGTGGAGACTTGCGGCCAGTCTTTCAGGAGCATGTACATCTGACACACTTCGTCTCTGCTGTTCCATTTCACGGCTTCCAGAACTTTCGGCAGGGAGTCCGGGAGTGCTCTGCACTCCTTACGCAGCCTGTACAGAAATTCTTTCTCTTGTTCCGATATTTCCGAGAGGGGGTCTCTGGCAATGATTTCTTTCAGAGCCTCAAAATCAGCTGGATCTAATGTCTAAAAGATATTCAGAAAATATCAGGGATGTTCTTCCCTTAAAAATGACCAACTTTTTAAGAATAAAACTATAAAAACTTGTAATCATTTTCTAAATGAAGGAAATAAATAAATATGCAATTTATGAATAAAATGATTAAAGATAATTAAAAATTTTATTAATTTTCAGCTTTTACAATCTTTTGAAATTGTATCGTCATAGTCTGTATTATCGTAGAATCGACAGATTGTCTGAAAGCAAATACTTACGCCTTCGACACTATTGTAGACTATATTTAAAATAACAAAATCTACACTCATTTAAAAAATACAGTCAGACCTCGATACAAGGTCAACCGCATATAAGGTCACCCTGCATATAAGGTCACTTTTCCAAAGCCCTGGCTCTCTGAATAGGAATTCTTTGTCACAGATTATTGGATATATGGTCAAGTTTTAAAAATCTTTATCGCTTATAAGGTCATTTTTATCTGAGGCGAGGGGAGCTCTTTTCTAACAAAAGCCTATTTAACTTCCTTACAAGGCAATTACCCCTCTCCAGTCCTAGGTAAATGTTGTAGCCAACGAACAAGCTACAATTTCTGAAATTGTTTCACAAGTTGTGGACAGTGAGGACAATGACAGTGATCTTGAGACTGTAGCTATAACCCAAGCGGAAGCCTTCAAGCCAATAAATGTCATACGGAATTTTTTACAAGCCCTGGGGGAGCTGAGGAACATTTTGAGAAGTTACAAAACCTAGAAAACATTGTTCGAAAAATGCAACCAAAAACGAGACAGACCTGCATAAATGATTATTTTAAATAAGGCATGTACACTTTGAGGATATTTGTAAACAGCTTTATTTTAAATTTTTTTTTTTTTAAATCTAACTTTCTTTAATTTTTTACTAATTCTGTTAAAATTTATTGACTTAAATATTTAATTTATGGCCGGTCATTTTCGTTTGCATTACCATTTTTAAAAAATCATAATGTGTACTATTTACACGATTAATTACGAACTTCTAATGAAACGGTTAAAAGGTCTCCCCGCTTATAAGGTCACTTTTGGCAATGTCCCTTAGGGTGACCTTATATCGAGGTCTGACTATAATTAATTTATCTTAAAATGAAAAATAGAGATAGAGAAAAAATGTAATCATACCAATTTGTCCTCCCGCTCTTCCAGTTTTGAGGCAAAGGATGCATACTTTTCAATCTGCTCCGTGGAGGGGTAAACGACGGGGCTGCCAAATCTTTCGAACTCGAGTTCCAGGCAAGGAGAGTCCTTGTTGGGATTGGATCCCGGCGTGCCGATGGGGTTCAAAAGGTCGTTCTCCATGCCTTTCGGCATGCCCCACAAGTGAACACTGACCCTGTCTGACAGCAGCCTCTCTTTGTAGTCAAAGAGGCTAATGTTCCCAAAGGCTATAGCGTAATGCTCCTCTCTCCTCTTTCTTTTGGATACGGAGCAGACAGAGAGGCAGAGCCTCGCACTCCTCGGGATGTCCGGGAGGAAGATGTCATAATCCAACCACTCTTCCCATTTAGGGTTTGAGAAAACAACCTGAGACGTGTCCTGAGTTGCACACAGAGGCTCAGTTCCATGAAATATTCCTGTTTTAACATAAATCTGTGGGAAAGATCTTTGTTAGTGTTTTATAGCATTTAAAACCCTTTAATTCTTTAGTTACAGAAACCTGCAATCTTCATTGTTTGCACCTGATAAAGTTAATTTGGTTTAGGGGAAATTAAAGTTTACAGATATTGACAGGGTACATACAGAGATCAGAAGAAGAATTCCAAAGACTATCCAAGGAGTCTAAAATTTTAAGGACTTAAAGTTATCACTTTTACACATACACTTTCCAGTTTCAAATATTTTAATAAATCTTGTTAAAGTACAAATGTTAAAGATTAACAAAAAAACCTACCGATCTTATATTTTTAAATTTGAATACATAAGAAAATCTAAGGCATTGCATACAACAACAAAAAAAAAATGACAGTAAATTATTAATTAAGTTTGCTTGTAATGTGCAAAATTGAAATTATTTGCTGTTATTTTTTTTCTTCTAACTCTTGCAATTCAATTTTTTTTTCTTTTAAAGTTTTCTTAAACTATTAGATTTTGACAGCTAAGTCATATAATTTAGTTTCCCTATTTGGACAGCAAATTACGTACTTAGTAAGTTCATCTATGCAACACAATAATCTAAGCAGTTTCTAAGGACTAATTTAGAAATCTAAGTAGTTCCAAGTACTCCTTGGAGACTTTTTTTTTACAAGGAGTTTCTAAGGAGTATAAGAAGTCTGTATGCACCCTGGATATTGAGTTTTGTAGAACTTTGATTGTATTGTAAAATATCCAATGTAATAAATATTCCTTTCATTTTTCAAGCAGTACATGTACAAATGCTTTTAGATTTACTCTACAAGAAGAATAATCATAAAAGAAATATCCACACAACAATTTTAAGCAAAATAAGATATTCATTACTTTAGAATTTAACATCTTTTTTTTACAAAAGTAATTCTGTTTCTCGGTAAATAAAGAGTTTTACAATTAAAACTGCAACAAAGCAATTTTTTTCAACAGTTAAAAATTACTTCAAAAATTTTTTTAACAGCATAAATGTTATACATATATATATAAGTTCTTTAAATGCTGGAAAAAAATATGTTTAGTCTCAGGTTTTGATCTTTTTAATATTCTACTTTTCTGATTATGTCACCCAACTATTCAGCATTAATAATAGTCAAAATATTATTCTTACAGACTGTTAATGTTTAACTGATTTTGACCAGAGGTTCACAAATACAAAAATTGCAAACTGTTTATTAAAACAACATTTGACAAAATTTTATAAATTGCATGTTACAGTGTAAATTGCTTTTAGTATAAAAGTTGAAAATAAAATGGTAAGATATCATACTTGACTTATAAAAATTATTCTGTAATGATTAAAACATTATGAAATGTGCTGTAAGAAAATTGTTTCCATTGAGATTTTAAAATTAAAAAAAAAAAAATTAAATAAATAAAGCAAAAATAACAAATCAGAGAAGAAAAAAAAACAATGCATCTTTCTGCAAATTTTGGATACAGGTCATGGGACAAGTGGTAAAATTGTTTTTAAGTTCATTAACCAACTCATGGAACTAAATTATTTTTGGCATACTAGTTATTAAATTCTCAACTACACTCATTTTTTCAAAAATGTCACCAAAGATAATTTTTTTATTCTGCTACATAAAGATGCTTACAAGTCATTTCGTGCAGATGTTGTTGTGAATGAATGGTAATTAAATGATGACTGCAAATCAACAAATTATCTAAAATTTTGAACTAGGCTACGTCAAAAAATAATCCACAAAGTGTGACAGATTTATATCAAAGCAATAGGCAGTTAAGCATGATTACTGTTTGTCTAAGATAGGTACTCTTCCAGACATTCGTCTGGAGCTGTGGCGGTGACTATGGTAACGAGGTATGATTATTTCAAGTGGGGGTGCGGGGTCCCTCTTTAGAACTGGTTTCGGCAAGAGAAAAGGAAACCTTTTCATCGAAGCTACCCTTCCTAAAATGCCCTCTTCTTGTTTCCATAGCACTAGACAGCTGCAGGCTTTGTGGCGGGAATAGTACTTATCTTAGACAAACAGTACCCTCAGCTTACGTGCGTCAAACCAAAGCAACAGAATTGTTCTGAACAACAACGTTTTTCGACATTTAAATGAGATTGAATCAACAGAAACAGAAGTATGTATGAAAATGAAACAAGGATAAATCAACAGAAATAGAAGTATGTATGAAAATGAAGCGAGGATAAATCATGTTTAATTTTGTGATCTCACAATCCCCATTGTATCTGCTCTCCAACTGTTGAGAATTTAAATCCCCAGGCAAAAGATTATTCCTTCATTGTTTTAAACTTCCTTGTTTGGTGTATAGGAGAATTTCAAAATTTTGTTCAAACATCTTATAGTACAATTCTTTTAATTGCTCAAAATATAATTTAATTGGTATCAGCTGGACGTAAACAACATTAAAGTGTTCAATACAATGAAAAGCAAAAATGCATTTATGATGGAATTAGGAACATTCTGTACTTTATCAAGCTCAGGGGATAAAGCGTTCGCCTTCCAATGAGGTGAACCGAGTTCAAATCCCAGGGATGGCTCTGGTTTGCACCGACCACAGTGCTGAAGTGAAATATCCTCAGTGGTAGACGGATCATGGGTTAGAGTCCACTTGCCGTCAGGCTAATCGTGGGAGGTTATCGTGGTTTTCCTCTCCATGTAACGCAAAATGATGCGGAATTTGTATTGATCAGCGGTGGTTGGTCGATATTAATTCCACATAGAGCTTGCATTGACCACAGTGCTGACGTGAAATATATTAAATGGTAGACGGATCATGGGTTAAAGTCCTCTTGCCGCTAGGCTAACCGTGGGAGGTTCTCATGGTCTTCCTTTCCAATTAATGCAAATGCGGTTTAGTTCTATCAAAAAGTACTCCACGAAGGCAAATTTGTCCCAATACTTGATCCAGGAGTTACCTTGTCTTTTGGTTAGGGTTCAAAATTTCAAAGCTACGGGGTTCAGCATGAGTAGTCGCAAACCCAAAAATTTGGTCGGCTATTCAACGATGGTTATAAAATAAAAGAAAATACTTATTCGAAAACTTTTGAAACATTTACTCTTTATACGGCTAAAACTTCATTAAATGAAATGGGATATATATTGTCCAAACTGAAATATTGCTCTACCATCTATGTCACATGCAAAGAATACATTTATCGTTTCAAAAACAGTTTTCCTATAGACGGATGGATAGTAAAAGAATAAGTATTTATTGGAACAGTATTCCAATTGTTAAGCAAAGTTCGACTTGCAAAAAAACATACCAAAAGTCTTCCGGTTTTAAAATTTAAATGTACAAACCCAATTTCTTGTTCTGATTTATGCTCGTGCAAACACAGTAATGGAGAAAAGAAAATGAATGTTGTGTTGAAGTGGATTTAGACATAGGGTTTAGATCAGTGTTTCCCAAACTTATGACTTTTGTGTAGCCTTCCTAAATTTTTTGTAACGCTGTGTACAACTAATAAAAAAATTTATGTATTTTTTACTATAAAAAAATTGCAAAAAAAACAACAATTGCAAAACAACTACAACTGGCTGTTGACACCACTAATTATTAACTGTTAACTCTGCAAAAAATAGCTAATAGAAAAAAACGCAATCCTAAATTTTCATGGCTAGTTTTGTTTTTAAATAAAATTTTTTGAAATTTTCGTTTGTTGCAAGATATTTTGCATAAGAACGAGTACCCCTGCTAAACTGTTCCTGTACCCCTGGGGGTATGCGTACCACACTTTATGAAACACTGGTTTAGATGATCAGGAGATTTTTCTTAAAACAATGTACCACAATAACTAAAATATGATAATTTATATTAGTTATTAATTGCATTAATTTATATTACAATAATTTTTCTCTCTTACTTTGATTTGGATTGGCATTACATAAGAAAACTTTTTACATGAAATCAAAAATAAATCACCCATTTTTAAAAAATTATAATAAAATACTATTTTTCTTGGTAAGTGCAATATTAACATTGAAGATACATACATAATACGAGGCGCGAAAGTAAGTTTCCCGAAATTTTAAAAAAAAAAAAACTCACACTTTCAGGATCATATTTATTGGCAACAAGTACAGCAATGTTTAAGCTATTTTTCAACATAGCCACCACCAGAATTCACAGGCGGCAGAGTTCTATGACAGAGGGATACAAAAGTTGATTCCACAATATGTCAAGTGCCTCAAATCTGGTGGTTGCTATGTTGTACTTGTGTACTTGTTGCCAATAAATATGATCCTGAAAGTGTGAGTTCTTTTTTCTTATAAATTAGGGAAACTTGCTTTCTGGATGCACCTCGTATTTTATCATCAACATGAAATGTTTCGTTAATTACAAAAAAAATATATCTCCAGATTCTCATTTGAAAAGTATATAACTTAAACAATACACTGAAAATATCTTTAAATTGTTAATCTTGGGATACTACTTTAACCTCGTGCAAACATTTTTTTGTGAACTTTGTGTTTTTTTAGTTAGTTAACAAGCACTATTTAAACATATTAAATGTTGCCTAATATAAGAAAGTTGAATACCTTGTCAACATCTCTAACGTTGACATATGTGGCCCAAAGAATTTTGATACGCAGCATGGAATCAACATTCCAGAGTGACATTGTTTCTTCATTGGCTGGTGGAAGTGGATTTCTGCGTATGATGGATGGCATACGAAAATCACAATGCGGCAATGAGTTGCAAACTCCCTCTTTTGACATAAGCATCAATTGTGGAATTTCACCTTTAGCGATGCACTGTCTTATGTACTGTGAAATACACAATTTACTATAAATCAAGAATGTTTCATATTAAGAACACTATTTTAGAAGACATAAAATCTATTAAATTGAGTAAAAAGTAACTGTGTTTTTTCTGTTTTACTACAGATGACAGTCGTGCAGTTTCTGAAATATTCAAAGCATTTGCAATAGTGATTATCATTGTTTAAGCCCCATTTTAAAAAAAAGAAGAGAAAAGAAAGAGATTTTGTTGAGTTTTGGATATTTTACAACATTTTGAACATGGAAGACCAAATTGTTTGTTTTTGCTCCATTTCACTGCTTTACTTCAAAAGTACACAACAAGCTTATGAAAAATTGCTTACAGCTAAGATGCTCTACAAGAATGTCATGGTTAAAATTGGTGATTTGAAAGATGCTCCAGGAAGGCCCATCCAGATTGAAGGTGGCAGGCTGATGCATTGAAGATCAGTCAACCTAAAGAAACTTGATATTTGGGTTCAAGGTAGTTCAATTGAAGGCACGAATAGTCATGAAACATAAAGAAGAAACAAATGATAATGGGTGGTTTACAACAAATGGTTTTGGTCTTGAGGTGATGAACGACGGTTTATGATTTTAAAAGCAGAACTTCATTAAAAGAACGCTACCAGTGGTGTTTTTTCTATTTTTTTTAAGCTCCAAAAAAGGAACAGAACAAACAATTCGGGTGTGTATTGTAGGCACAGTTTGAACAAAGTTGTCACCCAGAACGCGTCAATTGTAAAAGAGAAGTGTTCTTTCACAGCAAGACCACACACATCTTTGGCAATCAGTCAAAAATTACAGGAGCTTCGGTGAGATGTGTTGCTTTATCCAGTATACTCACCTGACATTGCACTGGCAGGCTGACACTTGTTTTGATCTGTTAAAAAACTCCTTGCGTGAAATAACGCCACATTCAGATGAGGTTGTAAATCGGGACTTTTTTTTCAGTTTTTTGCTAATCAAGTCTTTTTTATGAACCAGGAATTATTAAGTTCACTGAAAGGTAACAAAAAGTTATTAAATAAAAAGGAACCAGGGTTGTCACGGCATTTACTATGTGAGGTTTCTACCATCCATGAAATGTTTCCCCCCCATAGTACTAATTGTTTCTGCTATTCCTGTCAGTGCATATTAAGTCAGTACTGAAACAAGGATTTGGAACAGTGGTAAAATAGTCTTCTTGTACTATTCATTGAAGCACAATATATGTATGTATATGATCATTTTAAGAACTGATGTTGAAATTTGCTGCTACTTTTTTCCCTGTTTCAGAGCACTATGTTGACTCCTTTATAGCACTCAATATCCATCGTCAATGGCTCGACAGCCGAGGGTGGGCCTTGGCTTGGAAGAGAATACATTACTAAGGGTAACCAATAATATTTAGCATTATGTGTATTAGCTTATAACAACATTTTTCCTTTCTATTGCTAATCAAAATATTGAAGTACAATATATATATATATATATATATATGATCATTTTAAGAACAGATGTTCTAAACATTTTTGCAAGGGTAGAAATTTGTTGATATTTTTTTATTTTTCCTATTTTTAGAGCAATATGATGACTCCTTTATAACACTCAATATCCATCATCAATGGCTCAACAGCCGAGGGTGGGCCTTAGTTGGAATAAAAGAACTTATGTTCTGGAATAAAACAACTTATTTTCTCATTTTAAGAGCAGATGTTCTAAACATTTTTGCAAGGGTTGAAATTTGTTGATATTTTTTTATTTTTCCTATTTTTGGAGCACTATGATGACTCCTTTATAACACTCAATATCCAACATCAATGGCTCAACAGCCGAGGGTGGGCCTTGGTTGGAATAAAAGAACTTATGTTTTGGAATAAAACAACTTATTTTCTCATTTTAAGAACAGATGTTCTAAACATTTTTGCAAGGGTTGAAATTTGTTGATATTTTTTTATTTTTCTTATTTTTAGAGCCCTATGATGACTCCTTTATAACACTCAATACTTTGCAAGTATTGACTCAATTATTTTGCGAGTATTGATATAAATTTATTTATTACAGAACTATTTATTTTAGTACAATTATGAATTTTAAAGAATGTAACTGCTTTTAAAAACTTATAGTTGCAGTTAAATACATTGAAGTATCATAGAAACTTTTTTACAGTTCAAAAATACTTTGTGTTACTTCTGTTTTATTAGAATTTAATTTTTTGAACTTTGCCGCACATCAATGTGGGTCACACACACACTCTCAAACAGGCATTAATAACACTTTTGTATTCTCTCCTTTTAAGTGAAAAAAAGACAAATTTCAAATATTCTAACAAAAATGTTTCAATTAACTAGTGATACTTTTAAAAACTTTGAACCAAAGAGACTTTTAAGAGCCCTTATTTTCCAAAATAAAAATTAATCAGCTTTTAAGGACCTTGGTAATATAGAAAGCAAGTAGATTTTAAATATATAAATTAATTTCAATCACATTCATTTCTATGATTAATAAAATACAAAAATAAATGCTTATCTGCAAAAAAAAACGACATTATACAATATGCATCAATATCCACTCACTGCATGCATGCCAACATTGGAGACATAAAATAACGGAGATTTTACTAGCGACATTTTTCAGGCTACGAGTAAAGTTTTGCATGCATAATCATAATGGGAAATAATATAAGCACTTACATTTAGCGAAGTAAAAAATATGTATAAAAATTTTAATCTAAAGATTTTTTTAAACGATTATTTATAATTACTTAAACTATTCTATTATGTAACTGTCGTTGAATGGCCAACCCAATTTCGGGTTTATGATCACTCATGTTCACCTACGTAGCCTTGTCATTTTGAACCCAATCCAGAAGACAAGGGAATTCCTGGATCAAGTATTGGGAGAAATTTGCCTTCGTGGAGAACTTTTTTGATGGAACTAACCTGCATTTGAGTTACATGGAGAGGAAAACTGCAAAAACCTCTCACAGATAGCTTCACGGCAAGAGGACTCTAATCCGTGATCAGTCTACCACTAAAGATATTTCACATCAGCACTGGGGTCGGTGCAAGCTGGATGTGGAATTTATATCAACTTGTCATTGCTGGGTTTCAAACTCGGTCTACTTGATTGGAAGGTCAAAGCTCTATCTCCTGAGCCTTCATGGCTTGTCTTAAACTATTAACACTCAACAACTGGCAAATAGCACCATCTCTAAGGAATAAGAGAAGTATTTTTACCATCCGTGGGCACTTTATCAACATATTTGAAGTTTTTTTTTTTCAATTATGGAGAAATTAGAGAATATACGGGTAAACAGGAGATAATCATAAAATACAGGAGTTCTCGTTAAAAAACAGGAGACTTGGCAGGTATGTCACTGGTATAAAAAATTTTGAGCAAAAGTTTTTCTTTTAGAATAAAACATGATACGTTTGAGCAATGCTGGGTATTAACATGAGTTGATTTGTCAAAAGTTTAATTACCGTTTTCATGCAATGTTGGATATTAAAATAGACTTAACAGTATTTGATTCCACTCGTAATTAGTAATATATGTGTGAATCATTTACATTAACTCACTTTATACTGTGAGAGAGGATATCGTTCAAGTAAATATTCATCCACCCCACAGACTTTGAGGAGATAGCTATGCTGATGCTCCCTTGCACGTGTCTCTTGTTCCTGCTTTGACATCTTCATGCATTTCAGTTTCTTGAGAATGGCCTCTTGGGTCACACTTTCAGGGTAGTCATCTTTTGACACCTTCACTGTGTATTTCTGTTTCTCTCCAGTCGGTGAAAGAACCCATACACAAACAATCAAAAAACCTGAAAAACTTCACATTTATTTGGCTGCTTTGAATGCAGAAAAATATACAAAATTCTGTTAAAAATATTTCAAAAAGTAGTTACTGAAAAATACTCAAAACTGCTAGAGGAGGCCGGAAACATAAGAATTGTACAGTGGGCCAGGATAGCCTGGTCGGTAAGGAGCTGGGCCCATGTCCGAGTGTTCGAACCCCGCCGGCCGAAGTCTCCCCGTGTAGTAAAGTGACTGATGCATGTTAAATCTGTCGAGTCGCAAAAGTCCTCCATGTTCCCATGACAAATCAATACCTCTGGGGGTACTGGATTGGAGATCGATCGTTCTCTGATTCAGGTCAAAATTACGTTCTGCAAATGAGTGAAAGGATGTGTGAATGGGTCCGCCCGATAAACGGGTGTGACGTATGGTGAGGCAGAAGTCGAATTCTTAGCCATAAAAGCGCCACTGAAAAACAAGAAACACACACTCTGCCTTAAATTTGCTCGGCATCACAAAGCAGGCTTGATAGTACGGCAATTAGCATTAGAAACAACAACAGAATTGTATAGTAACAGGAAACATCTGAAATAATAGAGATTAACTATAGGACAGGGGTGGCGAATCTTTAAGCACCAACGTGCCATTTTTTCTAAAAAAAAACGCTTAATGAGATCATGGACGTGGCGTCAAATAATTTTGACTTTGTGATTTTTGGGAAAATAATGATATATAATAGTATCCAACTCAAAACTATTTATTTACTATGAAAAAAAAAACATTTTGCACTGTCTCAGTTATATGCGTAGTTCAACTTAAGTAACATCAGTGTGACATTTGTTGTTGCAGATAAGATGACAAATAACTTGTATTAGGTTGTAAGACGTTAGTTTAAGCAGGACTGTTAATTTTTTTTTTTGCTAGTCACTTATTGTTAGCTTGTTTTTTATGGTTATTAATTGTTTTTTGACATTAATTGTTGCATTTTTTGTCAATAATTGCCTATTTTTCTGTTCTTTGTGAAATTTAATCTAATTGTTAATATGCTTCATAGTGAACTTTGTGATCGGTNGCTAAAAATATTTCAAAAAGTAGTTACTGAAAAATACTCAAAACTGCTAGAGGAGGCCGGAAACATAAGAATTGTACAGTGGGCCAGGATAGCCTGGTCGGTAAGGAGCTGGGCCCATGTCCGAGTGTTCGAACCCCGCCGGCCGAAGTCTCCCCGTGTAGTAAAGTGACTGATGCATGTTAAATCTGTCGAGTCGCAAAAGTCCTCCATGTTCCCATGACAAATCAATACCTCTGGGGGTACTGGATTGGAGATCGATCGTTCTCCGATTCAGTTCAAAATTACGTTCTGCAAATGAATGAAAGGATGTATGAATGGGTCAGTCAAATAAACGGGTGTGACGTATGGTGAGGCAGAAGTCGAATTCTTGGCCATAAAAGCGACACTGAAAAACAAGAAACACACACTCTGCCTTAAATTTGCTCGGCATCACCAAGCAGGCTTGATAGTACGGCAATTAGCATTAGAAACAACAACAGAATTGTATAGTAACAAGAAACATCTGAAATAATAGAGATTAACTATAGGACAGGGGTGGCGAATCTTTAAGCACCAACGTGCCATTTTTTCTAAAAAAAAACGCTTAATGAGATCATGGACGTGGCGTCAAATAATTTTGACTTTGTGATTTTTGGAAAAATAATGATACATAATAGTATCAACTCAAAACTATTTATTTACTATGAAAAAAAAAGCATTTTGCAATGTCTCAGTTATACGCGTAGTTCAACTTAAGTAACATCAGTGTGACATCTGTTGTTGCAGATAAGATGACAAATAACTTATATTAGGTTGTAAGACGTTAGTTTAAGCAGGACTGTTAATTTTTTCTTTTTTTTTTGCTAGTCACTTATTGTTAGCTTGTTTTTTATGGTTATTAATTGTTTTTTTATATTAATTGTTGCATTTTTTGTCAATAATTGCCTATTTTTTTGTTCTTTGTGAAATTTAATCTAATTGTTAATATGCTTCATAGTGAACTTTGTGATCGGTGGCATGGCCAAAATATTGTGTCGCGTGCCATTGGTTCGCCATCCCTGCTATAGGACATCATGGATGAATGCAGCTTACGATGATGCTCATGAGATGGAATGGACATCATGGTTCACTTCTTGATCAAACAGCCTGAAAGTCAGTTGCGGTGTGAAACAGGGTGCCCACTCAACTTCAGAAGAAAAAAAATTCCCTGACTTTTCCAGGTACACTAGGTAAATTTCAATGAAAATTTAGATCCTATTTCTATCAGAAAACTTTGATTATTTTACTGCGTGAAATATTAGATTTTCTATGTAAAAAAATATTAAGAAATGAGGAAGTTTCAGTTTGACTAAAATGTGAAATTTTTACAACAAATAATTGCAATAGATGTTAGAATTATTTAACTTAAATCTCAATAACTGATTACAGTTACTGATAATTTTAAGACTGGTTATTTTCCAGGTATAATACAGGAATATTCCAGGTTTTTGTAAAAAAAAAATTTCAACTTTCCCTGATTTTTGGAGTTACAATAAAATTCCCTGACAATTCTAGGTTTTCCCTTATCTTCCGGACTCGTGGGAACCCTTTGGATCTAGTGTTGTTCATGACCAGGATCAAAATAGTACCATGGCTATTAAAAATAGGTGCTTGGCCTTTGATTGTTGGGCATGACTCCACAGGATACCTTTGAGAATTCTGCACAGAGAGAAGGTGCTACAGAGTGCTTTATTATAGCACTGCAGAAAAACCATAGCAATAGTGGAACACAATTTTGTTCATGGAATGCAACATCTTGTAAATATTCTAATATGACCATCACTTTATTAAAACTGCAGTATGATTTAGAATATTGTATAACAGATTCTTCAGGGTGCATAGCCAAAATCTTTCAAGAAAAAATAAGCACCTTTTAAGTACTTTTTAAGCCCCCCCCCCAAAAAAAAAGATTTTTAAGCACTATATACATTAACAAAATGCAAGAAAATTTTCACAGACTTCACATGATCATGATAAAATTACTAGTTCCTGACAAAGAACTCTTTTCTCCATTATATTAACCGCTATAAAATGATCGAGAGATTTTTCGGTTTGATATCAGAGCGTGGAAAATGAAACCTGAAATTGAGAATATCTTGCAAAATGCAGTAGAGTTGCACATGAGAGTGTAATAATCACACTGAACCCAGCTCATAATACATGGCGAAAATCGACACGGTTAAGAAAAAATATATAATTTTCAAAAAGGGAAAATTAAGCATTTTTTTAAAACACCCAATAAAAAAGCACCTTAATGGGCTTTCAAAAATCGAAAATAAGCACCTTTAAGCACCATGTTCTTATAGAAGGGATTTAAATTATTGTAGTGAGAGAAAACAGGAAGTAACCTTTGTCCAACTTCTTCTCAAGATTTGGTGGAAGATCCCTAGAACTTTCTATTTCAGGAGGATACACATAAGATGCAAGTTTATCTTCCGTACTGGAATCTCGAGCATCTATGGTCTCTTTACAGACATTTAGGATGTGGCGACGAAAATCAATCAGCTCTGGATCTTTCATCTCATCAAACTCATGAACAGGTATGCCAACAGCAAGGCCTGGAAAACAAATAAAATGCTCTTTTTATTAAAAATTTATTTTAAGAAAAATTTACTTTTTTAAAATTTAATATTTTGGTACAACATTAATTTTTTAAAAATTACCAAAGATATGGAGAAAATATGTTTAGCTGGCAGGTTATATAGCTTTTATTGATTAAAAATGTTTTAAATGCATCTCTTTAAATAATTTTTGCACAAAGTGTACCAAATGGAAAATACACAGTGACATGAAAAACCTTGGATAAATATTGTTTAATATATTTCTATTAAACAAAACAAAATAATTCCAGGCGATCGATATATTTTTTTATTTATTTCAGCTTTGAAATTTAACAATTTATTTACCTTTAAATATACAGGGATGAAAGTACCAGTTAGCAAAAAAAGCTGAATTCTACATAAACGCAATTAAACATTATGAAATTAATAAATGTATGGAGCTTAAAAAGCTTTGAAAAAAGCTGAATTCAGAGTAAAAGCTGAAAACTTTCATGCCTAAATATAGACCCCTTCCACTATATTTTATCCAAACAATGCTCTTTAAAAAAGGCATTGATCTAAAGTTAAATACATAAATAGTGTTGTTTTTTTTTAATTAGCACTATTATTTACAGAGACATTCAGAATTAAAAAATGATTGTAGCAAATTCAAAAATTTGAAATCAAAATACTTAAAGAATTCCTATTTAACCATGTGATTTTTTTTAGTTTAGATTGGTTATCTGTTTTTCACAATTAGTAGAAACCTGTACCTGTAAAGTAAAAAAAGAAAGTTTTATCAAAAAAAAATTTTATATTTTAATATTTATACATCATTTAACATGTTTACTAGAAATCTGTACCAGCAAAGTACAAAAAAAAAAATTTTGTTTCCTATTTTCTAATAAATACATATCAACAAAATTTTTTATATTCGATATTTATACATCATTTAACATGTTTCCCACACATTCCATAGTTTTTTGCCAGTTTTTTAGGAAAAAAGCAGAGTCAGTTTTGGAAATATCATTTCCGGAATGCAAGCAACAATTACAAACTTTCAACATTCACTGCACACTTCAAATTTTGAATCAAAAATTAAATATTTAACAGCAAAACAGAGTAAAAAATAAATGTTATCAACATAGAATTTGTTTTTAAAATAACCTTTCAGGAAAATTAGTATCAATACAACAATTATATGGATTGGTCTACAAACTCGGCACATTGTAAAAAGAAGAGTGATTAGGAGAAATTCCAACCATTTCCTTTAATGGGAGCAGGAAAACTTTTTAGAAAAAGAAAGCGAAATAAAATCTATTGTTATTAAATTATGATCCAATAATTTTTGGAGAACTTTATAAAAATTAAAAATGCTAAAACATTTTGAAACAAAACAAAAAAATGCCCCAAAAGCATTGGAGCAAGCTCTAATGATAAATAAATGAACTTGGACCAAAGACAAAAAGAAAATCTTTTTTTACAGGAGAAAATATCCCTTCTTCCGCCTTTCATGACTTGTATAGTCCCATAGTATCCACAACCATGGAAGATTGGCAGTCTTATCAAGTTTAACACTGCAAGCAAAAGTTGCATCTCCATTGAAGTTGCGGCTAAATCACAACTCCCAACTGGTCATGTAGAGCAATAACTGCGTTAAAAAATGGTTGAAAAATAACCTGGATTTACGGTGAGATTGGCACAAACGAAGCACTTAAAAAAGTGATTAATTAAATGTGCGATTTGAAACTTACATATCGAAGTAATCTCTTTGTAAAAATGCAGGATTTTCAAAATTGCATGAAAAAGCATAGCAATAACAGCCCTTAAAAAAAATTAAAAAAAAAGATCACTAAGATTGACAATGAAATTGGTGCAAATAAAGCATGTCAAGAAGTTATAAATTAAATTAAATTTGAAACTCACCAGTCTTAATATTGTATTATATGTATCAGGATTTTAAAACCACATAAAAATTAGTAGCTATAACAGCATCAAAAAAAAATTATTGGATTTTTGATAAAACTGGTAAAGGAATTTAAAAATTTCCCACTTTCTTTTAATTTTCAAAATTATTTTTAATTGTGTTCAGAAGCTCGAGTGGGCCCAGGGGTGATTGTGAGCCCAAGTCAAAGTTCCGGAAAATATCTTGAGTAAAAAAAAAGTCTAAATCGAAAAATTAGAAAAAATTTTTAACAAGGTTTTTTCCTTTTTCTCAATATTTCTTAGTTTACTTAAAATGTATTTAAAATTTTACACATACTTATGATGACCTGGAGAAGTAATTGAAATTTACAAATATGTCTTTCTTTCTTGAGTTTAGGATTAGAACAACTATTTACTGATAAAAAAGGAATATTATTATTAATCTTGAATATAAGCTTTTAAAATATCTGGCTCTTCCTTACAAACAAATAAAATAAACAGTGTTTTTAAGTTCCACCGAAATAAAAATTTGATTTCCGAAAACATTTGCGATCAATCATTTTTTAAAACGCCTGAATCTTCGATCTCTAGAAACTTCCGGATCACGGTTAGCGAAAAATCCAGAAATCAGGATTTTTCCGAAGCACAATCAGCTCTGTGGGCCGCACATCGACAGTCGGCAGACCACAGGTTGTGCAGTCCTAAATTAACTAGAAGCACTGTAAAAAAAATAATACATTAGTATTTAAAATGTCTAGTGATAGTTGCGTAAGAAGGCATACCGATTTCTGAGTTGAGCATTTTTTCTTCCTTGTTTCCTTTGGGTTCAATAACTTTAAGAATGGGTTGAAAGAGACGCAAATCACACAATCTTCTTGTTTCATCATAAAATTCTTCTTTCTCAGCATCCTGAGTGATGGATACAAATATGTATGACATTTCAGGTCCCAAGACATGGTGAAGAGGGTAACGTTTCGATTCATGCCACAGGTCAGCTGAAAATCATTTAACTAAGATCAATATTTTAAATCCAAAAATAAGTATTCACAGGGTATCTGCTACATTTTAGATTTTCAAGTTCATGACTTTCCATGTTAACAAAGTTACTATTTCTCCAACAAAAACACAACAGTAAATTTAAAAGAGCATAATACAGGGTGCGTAGCCAAACCTTTGAATCAAAAATAAGCACTTTTTAAAAACTTTTCAAGCACTTTACAAAAATTTTCAAGCACTCAAAAAATTCATATTCAATCAGTGATATCATTGAAAAACAAAACTTTTCATAATCAGTTTTAGCGTTAAAAAAAACCCAAAAAAGAAACAAACGTAAATCGAAACAATCATTACTTTCCCACATCATCCAGTGAATTCACAGTTTTAGCGTTAAAAAAAAACCCAAAAAGAAACAAACGTAAATCGAAACAATCATTACTTTCCCACATCATTCAGTGAATACAACTTGACCCTGAACTCAGAACAAAAGTACCCGTACCCCCTACGTCAAAAAAGTGTTAGAAGTAAAATAAAATAAACAATAATAAAATTAAAATAAATTAAAAAGAAAAACATTTCATAAGGATCTGATCTGATATTCTCCATCCGAATTTGAGCACTCTGGTTTCGGTTTCAAGTGTGCGTGCATGTGCAAGTCATAACGTGGGTACGACATGAAGTCCGCGTGAATGATTACGTAGCAAACACCCATTTTTCGTGAAATGCATGGGATCCACCAGATATCACTGAAGGTGAAAAAAAAAATTATTCGTAAAAAAAAAGCACTTTTTAAAAACGCCAGCTGAGAAATGCACCTTTAAAAGCTTTTAAAAACGAAATCCCCAAAAAAGCACCTTTAAGTACTTTTTACAAACGCTACGCACCCTGTAATAATAACATTAATTGAAATGATAGGTATAGCCAAAACTGTTATAATCTGCATCGTCATATCTGTTGATTTTTAATTTAAAAAACAGAGTAAATAAAGAGGTGAAGCAATAAAATGGCTGAAAAGATACAAAAGCAAGTAATTTCTCTTCTGCAGAATTATATTCTAGAAATACTTTTCTTGTTCATTGATAAGGAAATAAATACTTTTGATTTTTCTGTTCTCATTTCAGAATTTAAAAAAAATTCGTCAATAACTGGCTTGAAGCATCAGCTAGAATTTTAAATTGATATAATAAAAAAATAAATAATAATAAAAATTCTGAAATCACAGAAGTTTGAAACATAATTCGCTCTAGAAATGTTTTTCCTTTCATTTTTTTTAAAGAACACAATTTTTAAAGAACATGATAAAAACATTTTATATTTTAATCAAATATGACTGAGAGTGGAAATTTTGTTACAAATTCAGATATTCGCAGCACCATGAAATTGGAGGGAGGGGATAAATTCAATTTTAAAAATTAGATTTTTCAGCGACCTAAATCCATAACTTTCTTTAAAAAATAGTTAAAATCATGACATTTCATGACAAATTTTGTTCAATACCGAAATTCATGACTTTCCAGGTGCGCGGATACCCTGTAAATACAATATAAAAACAAAATGGAAATGTGGTTCTGAGTTAGCGTTTCATTTAAAAGAAATAAAAATTTTTCATTCTTAGAGTACACAACTAAACTTTAACGATGTTATGAAAAATTCTACAACTTCAATTAAAAATTTTCCTTATTATTTTTTTTTCAGGCATTAAAAAGATTAACACAATGCTTATTTTTTTGATGTTTTAAGACATAAAGAAAAATGCAATTAATTACAATAATTGAGTCACCAAGACAAAAATATAAATGAAAAAGCCTTAAAAACAAGTAGGTAAAATATTTAATAATGAGTGAATACAGTGATTATAGATATGAGACGAATAAAAGTAATTCATTTCTTTTGCCCAGAAAACATTTTATTTCTCATTTTACACACCAGATGTCAGTACCAGGATATTTTTAAGGTAATTGGAGATAGTTTATTATAAACTAGATGTCAATTTATTTTAAACTAGATGTCCAATATATTGGCACTTTTACGACCATTTTCTTGAAAATTAACCGATCACTATGGGGTCACGAAATTCTTCCTTTATAATTCAGCATACTTTTCTACCTACCTTTTTAGAGAAAGTAATAGCTTCAATTGTAACATTTTCTAAAGAGAATATGAAATAGAATAATATACTCATCAAAGTTTTAATAAGATTCCAAAATAAGAAAACTAAAATAATGAATCCTTAAAAACCTATAAGTCCATCATTTTTTTAGAGCCCACAGTCAATATAAATAAAAGTTTTCTTTCCAAAAGTTCCAAACTATTATAGAAAATATTAAGTAGGCTTACATTTTACAGTTTCAAGAGTGGCATCACGGACACAGGTTAAAGGAATTATAATACCAGTTGGCATCAAGCAGTCAACTGTTATAGTAGGGGGCATCAAGTGATGCCCCCACAGTTCTCCAGATGAAGGAGGCATATTGATCAATCAATCCATCAGGAATATAAAAGATGGAACCTACAAAAATAAAGATTGTTCTTAATTTTTACATTCGTATAACTTGCCTTTTTGTATCATTTAGATACTTCAATCACGAAGAAAAAAAAAACTATAAGCAAATGTATAATTAACTTATCTCTTACTGCATTTTAATGTTTTATTTGAATAAACTTTCCTTAGAGTTCAAACACTTAAATACATATTTTAAGTGTTTTCATGTATGCATTATTACCTTTTTATTTCAAATCAATTTAAAAAGTTCATTTATAACAATATACTTTTAAGAGAAACATCTCCGTAATTTTATCAAAAGAGGCTAAGTAACTTAACAAATAAAAACATAATGACTCTTTTTATTATGATTTTAATCAGTAGTTCTAAGTTGGTGAAGATTTCAAATAATACAATATAGGTGCATTTTTAGATTTAACAGCAAAATTGACTTCAATAACTAGACTGTCTTAAAAATACATAGAAAATTGAAAACATTACTTTTTAATTAAAAAATAAAAGCAATTAAAATTTTTTTGGCATTGGGTGTTTTTAAATTATGAAACAGACTTCTATAGGAAGCAGGACACATTATAAGGATTAAGAATCGTACAGGAATCCATGTCACTTTACTCCATGAAGGGCTATTTCCTGTTCAGAACTGTTTCTATGTGTGCCTTAAAACAGATACTTTTATTTATCTATATTATTTTGTCCCTTATTTATCTAAATTATCTTAATTTTAATGTTTCCTAATAATTATTTAATAAATTGTGTTTAAATTAGTTCAGTATTAGCAGTTTTATGGCAATTTAACAGTGTTTTCATCACCAAAAAAAAATGAGTGAGAATTTCTCACTCTTTCTCAAAAACAGGGTGAGATTTCAAAAAGTTAAGTGAGATTTCTAAAAATTAGAAAGAAAAAAAAACACACAAAGAGACTTGGAAAAAAATCATTTCTTTAATTATAATACATTTTGAACATCTTCTAATTTTTAAAGCATTGAATATTTTTGCTGCACATCAGCATTTGTTTCGGAGTAGAAGATATTGCCTTAACACAAGGTATTTGTCCATCTTACATTAATGCGCACAAAAATTTGAACGTCTTACATGAAGAAACCTTTCCTACGGTAAACACGTGGTTGCAGAGAAATGCATTCGGAAAAACAATACTGGTAAATAGGGAAGCTAGATAATGGGGCAGATGTTGAAAATATGTAATGAAAGATCCAGGAAGAAAAGTGAAACGGATTTTATTCTAAATGGCGGAATGAGAAATTTTTTTCAAAATGCGAGAAATTCGCGAACTTTGAAATTTGTTCCTAGAATGCTCGAATTTCTCGTGGTAATAATTTTTTAATGCGAGAAACGAAAAAAATATGTGAGATTCTCGCGGTGTAGTGAAAACACTGTTAAAGATTTGGCAATCAACTAGACAAGCTCACCAAATCATTAATGATAAAATCTGCTTTTAATGAGCTTAATTTAACACTATTTTAGACAATAATTAGAAGAAAACATAAAATTATAAAAAATTAAGATAAACAAAAGTATTTTTTCAAAGGTACACTTAGAAAGAGTTCAAATTTGGAAGCAGCGTACTATCATCTTTCTATAAAACTCTTTTGATTTGATATAGGGGAAATTTCCGTATCATGATCTGTGGCAGAATAAACGCCAAGTCTTGGCAACTTCCAGGCAGCGTCCCGCAAGAAACTTAAAAAAAAAAAAAAAACATCACATAAAGGGACCAACTGGAAAAGTATAACTCGTAGCCACCCCCTGGGAAAGATCAATGTGTTTTTCTTTTTGTAAATTTGGCAACTTGGCTATTGTAGTTGGCATGACAGATCACAGAACATAAATATCCCCTTGATGTTGGTAAGGTGGAAAAAAAAATAACTGAACATATTGCAACTGAACAGGAATTAATATGTGACATTTTTAATTCCTATACAGTTAAATATAAAAACTGCAATTTAAACAGAAGGTTTTCCAATTTGATAGTTTTTAAACTTACAAATGAATTTAGTAGGTAGATTAAAATATTGACTGCTAAATTTAATAATAATCTAAAAAATACCAAATTTTAAGAAAGGAATATAACTTTTTCAATACCTTTTATTGAATATGAAAATACTATGATATTATATATTCTATGAGAGTAAGAAATTTGAAAATAATATGAATCCTATTTCAAAAAAGTTGCCAGTTACCTTTTTCCTTAGTAACATTTAAAAGGTGCATTTTTAATCAGCTTTTGATTTCTTTATAATAAAAAAAAACTTTAAAATATGATTGAAGGAGCAAAAAAGAATGAATATTATTAAAAATAGCAGCAGTAGTGTAAAGATTTTTAATGTTGGTAGGAAAACATCTTTTAAAAGGTAAGATCATAACTGAACTAAGAGGTGAAAAAGTTATGTCGAAATAATACATTTCACTTTAATATAGTTAGCCATAGGTGTAAATACAAAATAAAAACATATAGAATGAATCTTGAGATTAGAATTTATTGACATTCACAACGGTCAGTTTATAAATGTAAAATTATGTGAAAATAAAATCAAAGTTTGAAGCTCAAAAGACAAAAACATTATACGTACATGATAAAATTGGCCCAATTCACTATGTTTTACCTTACAAATGTTTTCAAATTAGAAGGAAGCATTTTTCCCCGGCAGTGTTTAGGGACAGGATGTTTGTGTTTGTACAGTATAAAAATAATTAGTGTCTCAAAGTATAGCTGGCTGAGCAGACGCACATGCGCAATGTAAACATTTTGTCGCCTCAGCCATTTGTAACTAGCGATTAATTGCCAAATGTTGCAAATCTATAGCCTTTCAACTACGTGCAATGACTCCGCATTCATCCACAGGTGGCGTAGAGCAAAACTCTCTAAGTATGGCAAGACTTAAAATGGAAAGTCATAGGCGAAAGAGTGAACTGATCGTTAAGACACGGTTCCCAGCAGATCACCGAAATCAAGCATCACTGGCTACGGTCAGTGTGCGGGTGGGTGACCACTTGGATCAGTCTGCGTAAGGACCGAGGGTGTGCGGTATGGGTCCTCGTTAAACTGTGCTACCGTAAAGAGCTCGACTTCGCACGCAGGTCGTCGGGCTACCAAAGCGGGGGTGCCATCCCCCGCAGAGGATCAAAATTGCGATGGCATGTCTTCGGATCATCCTCCGGGATGTTTCCCAAACCGTCGCCAATAGCCCATTATGCAGCTCTAGAGCGACGTAAATTAACAACAACAACAACAAAGACGAAGGAAGTTGTTTCTGTCTCGATTTTCAAATAGATTAAGTTAGTAGACTTTATGGAACTGAAAACTACATTAAACATATTTCTAAAAGAAAACATCGCATAAATTTAAAAAAAAAAATTTAAATGCGAAAAATATTAAGAAAGGGGAAAATATCGTATGCATTCCTATGGATGGTTGATTGAATACACTGTCTGTACCATGGAGATGACATACGTAATACTTAATTGTTGATAAATTAGACAATTTCTTAATGGATCGATGTATGGATACTGTATGCCTGCTCTAGTTTTGGTTAGAAAGTTTGCAGCTGCTTACTACATGTTATTCTGCGAGGCGATATTTTCACAAAGAATACACACGGATAATTTTGTTTTCAATAAAAGAAATAAATTAGAAAATTTCTGAGCTCAAATCTGCCGTATTTCATGAGATATTAATGTTATTATGTAATTCTGCTGAGTTAGAAATGAAAATTTGTTTTAGTTATTTAGAGATATATTGTTAAAAGAGATGACATGGTTGCTGGATTTTGAAAAACTCGCTTTTTGGGCAGTCTTGATTTGGCATCTTTCCATTTGTTTATTACCGTTTGTTCGTGTTCCAAGCTGTGCACCATCTTACGTTAGTGTTAGCACTTTTAGCATTGTAAACACAAGTATTGTTAGCATTGTAAACATAAGTAAAAAGTAATCAAATACATTGTTTGCAAGAATCTCAAAGCACAATGATGCCAAATGCCTTTAAAATACAACGGAAACAGTAACCCGGAAATTTAGGCGCTATCGAGTTTGCAGCGTTCCCTAGTGTAGAAAACACCATCCATAGAATGAGATACTTTCTCTCTTTCAGAACTTTCCTTCCAAATGTCAAACAAAATTTGATTTTGAAAGATTTACTTTCAAATGTGAGGTTCATTTCAGAATGTTCGCTCTGATAATGATTTTTCAAAAAACAATAATTAACAAACATCTGATTGCACAAAGCGCTCCCCACGACTGATCGAAAAGACACGGTTCCCAGTAGAACACCGAAGTCAAGTGGCCAAAGTCGTGATGACCAATTTCATCAGCCTGCGTAGGAACCGAGGGTGTGCGGTATCTGTTCTTGTGAAACTGTTCTACCGTAAAATGCTCGACTTCGTCAGCAGATCGCCGATCTACCGAAGCTGGGGTGCCATCCCATCTGATCAAAATTCGATGGCATGTATTCAGATCATCCTCGGGGATGTCTCCCAGACCGTCGCCAACAGCCCACTGTGCAGCTCTAGTGCGATGCAAATGAACTACAACTACATAATGAATGCAAAGAGCTTTAAAATATCATTGAAATGTGTGCAGTTAAAATAAACATTACACCCTAAATAAATTTTGAACTTACACGCTTTCTTTTGCTCAGAACTTGAACTCACTATCTTATAATCAATTTCAAGTTTTAAACAAAAGAGAGTGGATTATAAAAGTTGATCAAATGATAGTGGGTTCAAGCACTGATTAAAGGATAGTGGGTACGAGTACCGATATGAAGATAGTGAGTTCAAACTTTAAACGAAAGTGAGTGGATTATAAAAAATTGATCAAACGACAGTGGGTTCAAGCAGCGGCTAAAATAGACAGGGTTCGATCGAGTATCGATGTAAACATAGTGGATTCAAGTTTTAAATAAAAGAGAGTGGTTTATAAAAATTGATCAAGTGTTAGTGGGTTCAAGCACCGATGAAAGGATAGTGGATTCGAGTACTGATGTGAAGAGAGGGGTTCCAAGTTTTAAACAAAGGAGAGTACAGTATAAAAATTGATCAAATGATAGTGGGTTCAAGGCCAAAGATGCTGGATTCCGATGAAGGGCTAACAATTAGCAACATTTCTTGAATGTTATATTTTTGTTTCGTACAATAAAAAGGGCAAGAACTTTACTGGAACCTAAAGGTATATTGCGAAGATGAGAGGAGAGAGCTTTGGAAGCGAAACTGTGGTTGACTTCACGTATCACCGTGGACTGGCAGGTAGGCCACCAGACAAGCAAGTTCACTTCTGGCGGGAGGGGTCCAGGGTTCGAATTCCAGGGACCGACAAATTTTCAAAAAAAAAAAATTTTTGTCTATTTTAAATTATATTATTTTTTTAAGTGTTTTTCGATATTCTGGAGGTTCCTGCATGTAGGAAATAATTTTTTTTATTAGGAAAATGGGAAAAAACTGGAAAAATCCAGGAAAATCAGTTTATCTGCTCTTTTTCAACTTCTTTTGTAACATATTGGATATTCTAGCATGCATGGGGTGTTTTCTGTGTGTAAAATCTAGCAAAGAAAGCGTAATGGAATACTAAAAAAAAAGAATAAAAAAATAAAAGGGATCGAGAAGGATTAAAATTTCAAGACCCCCTAGCTCCCTTTAATATCAAGGTATAATTTTGAAACTCAGATCCTAAGTAGGGGTTTATGGTCCAAACAAGGCTGCCGAAGAGAATTTTTACAGAGAAATTAGGGGGGGTCACAGTGGACCCCCTAAAGGTATATTGCGAAGATGAGAGGAGAGAGCTTTTGAAGTGAAACTGTGGTAGGCTTCACGAATCACCATGGACTGGAAGGTAGGCCACGAGACAAGCAAGTTCGCTGCAGTCGGGAGGGGTCCTGGGTTCGAATCCCAGGGACGGACAAATTTTCTAAAAAAAAATTTTTCTTCTGTTTATTTTAAATTATATTATTTTTTATGAGTTTTTCGATATTCTGGAATGTCTTGCATGTAGGAAATAATTTTTTTACAGGGAAAATTGAAAAACTGGAAAAATCAAGGAAAATCAGTTTATTTGCTCTTTTTCGACTTCTTTGGTAACACATTGGATATTCTAGCATGCATGGGGTGTTTTCTGTGTGTGAAATCCCGCAAAGAAAACGTAGTGGAATAATAAAAAGAAAAGAATAAAAAAATAAAATGACTCGAGAAAGGTTCAAATTTCAAGACCCCCTAGCTCCTTTAATTTCAAGGTACAATTTTCAACCTCGGACCATAAGAAGGGGTCTATGGTCTGAACAAGGCTGCCGAAGAGAATTTTTAAAGGCCTATTAGGGGGGCCACAGTGGGGACCTAAAGGTATATTGCGAAGATGAGAGGAGAGAGCTTTTGAAGCGAAACTGTGGTATGCTTCACGTATCACCGTGGACTGGAAGGTAGGAAACCAGACAAGCAAGTTCACTGCAGAAGAGAGGGGTACTGGGTTCGAATCTCAGGGACGGACAAAGTTTTAAAAAAAAAGATTTTTTTTTGTTTATTTTAAATTATACTATTTTTTTTATGGATATTTCGATATTCTGGTATGTCCTACATGTAGGAAAAAAAAATTTTTTTAATGGGAAAATGGGAAAAAACTGGAAAATTCCAGGAAAATCTGTTTATTTGCTCTTTTTCGACTTCTTTTGTAACATATTGGATATTCAAGCATGAATGGGGTGTTTTCTGTGTGTGAAATCCAGCAAAGAAAGCGTAGTGGAATAATAAAAAAGAATAAAAAAATAAAATGACTCGAGAAAGGTTCAAATTTCAAGACCCCCTAGCTACTTTAATTTCAAGGTATAATTTTCAAACTCGGACCCTAAGTAGGGGTCTATGGTCTGAACAAGGCTGCCGAAGAGAATTTTTATAGGCCTATTAGTGGGGTCACAGTGGGGCCCTAAGGGTATATTGCGAAGATGAGAGGAGAGAGCTTTTGAAGCGAAACTGTGGTATGCTTCACGTATCACCGTGGACTGGAAGGTAGGCCACCCGGTAAGCAAGTTCACTGCAGAAGGGAGGGGTCCTGGATTCGAATCTCAGGGACGGACGAACTTTCAAAAGAAAAAGATTTTTTTTTGTTTATTTTAAATTATACTATTTTTTTTATGGATATTTCGATATTCTGGTATGTCCTACATGTAGGAAAAAAAAATTTTTTTAATGGGAAAATGGGAAAAAACTGGAAAATTCCAGGAAAATCTGTTTATTTGCTCTTTTTCGACTTCTTTTGTAACATATTGGATATTCAAGCATGAATGGGGTGTTTTCTGTGTGTGAAATCCAGCAAAGAAAGCGTAGTGGAATAATAAAAAAAAAGAATAAAAAAATAAAATGACTCGAGAAAGGTTCAAATTTCAAGACCCCCTAGCTCCCTTTAATATCAAGGTATAATTTTCAAACTCGAACCCTAAGTAGGGGTCTATGGTCCAAACAAGGCTGCTGAAGATAATTTTTATAGGCCAATTAGGGGGGTCACAGTGGGCCCCTAAAGGTATATTGCGAAGATGAGAGCAGAGAGCTTTTGAAGTGAAACTGTGGTAGGCTTCACGAATCACCATGGACTGGAAGGTAGGCCACCAGACAAGCAAGTTCGCTGCAGTCGGGAGGGGTCCTGAGTTCAAATCCCAGGGACGGACAAATTTTCAAAAAAAAAATTTTTCTACTGTTTATTTTAAATTATATTATTTTTTATGGGTTTTTCGATATTCTGCAATGTCCTGCATGTAGGAAATAATTTTTTTTACAGGAAAAATAGGAAAAAACTGGAAAAATCCAGGAAAATCTGTTTATGAGCTCTTTTTCGACTTCTTTTGTAACATATTGGATATTCTAGCATGCATGGGGTGTTTTCTGTGTGTGAAATCTAGCAAAGAAAGCGTAATGGAATACTAAAAAAAAAGAATAAAAAAATAAAATGGATCGAGAAGGGTTAAAATTTCAAGACCCCCTAGCTCCCTTTAATATGAAGGTATAATTTTGAAACTCAGACCCTAAGTAGGGGTTTATGGTCCAAACAAGGCTGCCGAAGAGAATTTTTACAGAGAAATTAGGGGGGTCACAGTGGGCCCCTAAAGGTATATTGCGAAGATGAGAGCAGAGAGCTTTTGAAGTGAAACTGTGGTAGGCTTCACGAATCACCATGGACTGGAAGGTAGGCCACCAGACAAGCAAGTTCGCTGCAGTCGGGAGGGGTCCTGAGTTCAAATCCCAGGGACGGACAAATTTTCAAAAAAAAAATTTTTCTACTGTTTATTTTAAATTATATTATTTTTTATGGGTTTTTCGATATTCTGCAATGTCCTGCATGTAGGAAATAATTTTTTTTACAGGAAAAATAGGAAAAAACTGGAAAAATCCAGGAAAATCTGTTTATGAGCTCTTTTTCGACTTCTTTTGTAACATATTAGATATTCTAGCATGCATGGGGTGTTTTCTGTGTGTGAAATCTAGCAAAGAAAGCGTAATGGAATACTAAAAAAAAAAGAATAAAAAAATAAAATGGATCCAAGAGGGTTCAAATTTCAAGACCCCCTAGCTCCCTTTAATATCAAGGTATAATTTTCAAACTCGGACCCTAAGTAGGGGTCTATGGTCCAAACAAGGCTGATGAAGAGCATTTTTATATTCCAATTACAGTGAGCCCCTAAAGGTATATTGCGAAGATGAGAGGAGAGAGCTTTTGAAGCGAAACTGTGGTAGGCTTCTCGTATCACCGCGGACTGGAAGGTAGGCAACCAGACAAGCAAGTTCACTGCTGGAGGGAGAGGTCCTGTGTTCGAATCCCAGGGACGGCCAAATTTCAAAAAATTTTCTTTTCTTTCTTTTGTTGTTTATTTTAAATTATATTATTTTTTTATGGGTTTTTCGATATTCTGGAGGGTCCTGCATGTAGGAAATAAAATTTTTTTATTGGGAAAATGGGAAAAAACTGGAAAAATCCAGGAAAATCAGTTTATTTGCTCTTTTTCGACTTTTTTTTGTAACATATTGGATATTCTAGCTTGCATGGGGTGTTTTCTGTGTGTGAAATCTAGCAAAGAAAGCGTAATGGAATAATAAAAAAAATGAATAACAAAAAAAATGAATAACAAAATAAAATGGCTCGAGAAAGGTTCAAATTTCAAGACCCCCTAGCTCCCTTTAATATCAAGGTATAATTTTCAAACTCGGACACTAAGTAGGGGTCTATGGTCCAAACGAGGCTGATGAAGAGAATTTTTATAGGCCAATTAGGGGGATCACAGTGAGCCCCAAAAGGTATATTGCGAAGATGAGAGGAGAGAGCTTTTGAAGTGAAACTGTGGTAGGCGGCACGTATCACCATGGACTGGAAGGTAGCCCACCAGACAAGCAGGTTCACTGCTGTAGGGAGGGGTCCTGGGTTCGAATCCCAGGGACGGACAAACTTTCAGAAAAAAAAAATTTTTTCTCTTTATTTTAAATTATATTATTTTTTATGGGTTTTTCGATATTCTGGAATGTCCTGCTTGTAGAAAATAATTTTTTTTTATTCGGAAAATGGGAAAAAACTGGAAAAATCCAGGAAAATCTGCTTATTTGCTCTTTTTTGACTTCTTTTGTTACATATTGGATATTCTAGCATGCATGGGCTGTTTTTCGTGAGTGAAATCTAGCCCAGAAAGCGTAATGGAATAATAAAAAAAGAATAAAAAAATAAAATGGATCGAGAAAGGTTCAAATTTCAAGATCCCCTAGCTCCTTTAATTTCAAGGTATAATTTTCAAACTCAGACCTTAGGTAGGGGTCTATGGTCCAAACAAGGCTGCCGAAGAGAAGTTTTATATTCCAGTTAGGGGGGTCACAGTGGGCCACTAAAGGTATATTGCGAAGATGAGAGGAGAGAGCTTTTGAAGCGAAACTGTGGTAGGCTTCTCGTATCTCCGTGGACTGGAAGGTAGGCCACCAGACAAGCAAGTTCTCTACTGAAGGGAGGGGTCCTGGGTTCGAATCCCAAGAACGGACAAATTTTCAATTTTTTTTTTAATTTTAATATTGACCCATAATATTTTAATTGGACCACGTATTATATTCCCGTGTAATAGTGTACCCTACCAGAGGAAGTAATTATAAGTCAATTAGGGGGTGCACAAGCAGGCTCTGTATTTTACTATGTATGCGTATCTAAAATAAGTGTTCGGAGGAGCTTAAAATGAGGAAATTCGCCATCTAAAATCCTTTAAAATTAGGAAGCGCGAAGTCATTTTTCAACGTTAACGTAATGCCCGATATCGGACCTTAATATTGACCCATAATATTTTAATTGGATCACGTATTATATTTCTCGGTAATAGTGTACCCTACCACAGGAAATAATTATAGACCCCATTGGGGGTACACAATGTTTATTTAAAATTTGCATTAAAACATGGAAATTCGACGGCACTTTTCAATGTTAATGCACTATTTTAAATACACATTTTGTACCCCCTATGGGGTCTATAATTATTAGATAATTTAGATAATTTTTTACAGTATTGTTAAAGAAATTGCCTATATTTGATTGCATAAAAAAGTAAACCAGTAATATTTATAAATAAATAGAAATAACCTATTTTTTGTTATTATTTACGCGCTATTGCTCAGTTTTTGTAGTATTTTTTTCTTTTATTCTAAATCCCAAGCGATGGGAAATTTTGAATTTTGATGAGATGAATTTTGATGAGAATTTTTATACTTCAGAAAGACACTTAAAAAAACAAACAAAAAGAAACGAGAAAACACAATAATTCTGGTAAAATTGAAATCGATGGGAATTAGTATTACTAAAATGAAATAAAATATCGTTAAGAAATCAAATAAAATAAATAAATAAATAAAAAAAGCTGTTGTGCCAAATCTTCTAAACGTTAAACATCGATTAAGCGACAGACGATGCCAAAATCAGCCAATAAGAATTATTTATTTAATTTTTACTTGCGGCTGCTAAGCAACTTCCATTTTTTAAGCCGCTACGGAAAAGCCCTCAAAGCCCTTTTGTTTCTGTATTTATGTTGAAATAAAAGTCTACGATTGTTGTTGTTAATTTACGTCGCACTAGAGCTGCACAATGGGCTATTGGCGACGGTCTGGGAAACATCCCGGAGGATGATCCGAAGACATGCCATCACAATTTTGATCCTCTGCGGAGGGGATGGCACCCCCGCTTCGGTAACCCAACGACCTGTGCGCGAAGTCGAGCACTTTACGGTAGCACAGTTTAACGAGGACCGATACCCCATACCCTCGGTCCCTACGCAGACTGATCCAAGTGGTCACCCACCCACCCGCACACTGACCGCAGCCAGTGATGCTTGACTTCGGTGATCTGCTGGGAACCGTGTCTTAACGATCAGTCCACTGCGGGACAAAAGTCTACGAATGTATTATAAAAGTACTAATTTTTTAACAGCTTATTGCCTTATAGAAATTACATACACGTGCAGGCTTGTGTGCTCAATTTAGGCTTATAAGCCTTTGTCAAGTACATCGATAGTAGGAAGAATACATCGGGATTCGAACCCGCTATCTCCACGCTTTGCACAGCGTTTGGCCGGCGATACCGCTCGGCTAGGGAAGCCCCTTCAACAGCTTAATATTTCACTTGTAATTTTTACAAATTTTGTTTGAAATATGGCATCACTTATACATTCTTATTTCTAAACATGGCGATTATATGACTTATACATGTAGAAGGATGTTACTTCTGCTAAAGGATCATATTATAAACTGCTTGTGAAGGTGATGAGTCAGAGATCTACATTCAGTCGAACAAAAGAGCCGAGAAGAGAGAAAATCATCAGAATCAGGCGTGATGATGACGAGAAGTTGCCTGGAGATGAGACACCCTCTCGGCGAAGCTCTTCAGAACGAACTAATGCTACAAACACTTCTGTATGTACTAGATATAAAGATACCTATGGCGAAAAATCTCGCTCTAATAGTAGGGATGGACTTGTGTTTCGTCGTCAAGAGCGTGGGAAGCTTCATCCTCCGTTTTCAAAGAGTGGAGAAGCATCTCCTGGCAGGCTATCACACCCCGATACAATAAGAAATGAATATTCGAGTCGTTCGAGTTATGGTTCTCATTATAATCGGAGCATGAATTCAAGGGACAGAGATTACATTCCAAAACGATCAGGTGAGGTGTCACAATTTTCTTTCAGTACTGTACTTAAGTGTACAATCTATAGCTTTAAGGAAACTCATTTTATCACAGCACAAGTTAACAAACAGTTGAATTATTTTTTCTTAAGCATAAGATATAGAAATTAATTTCACAGTGAAAAAAAATGTTTGTGACTAAATTTACAAAAGGACCTTCCATTGAATCCTGAATCTAAATGTTTGCTGATTCATTTTATTTCTTGAGGAAAATTGTTTCTACGTTTTCAAGCGATCTAAGGGAAATATTTGTCCATTCTCATCATACAGGGGGGAGATTTGCGTATCGTGATCTGTTGCAGAATTATCGCCAAATCTTGGAAACTTTCGGGCAGTGGCCCGCGAGAAACTAAAAGAAATCACAGTAAGGGACCGATTCGAAAGGTATAACTTGTAGTCACCCCCAGGTGACATCTACATGTTTTTTTTAAAAAAAATTTGCAAGTTTAAAATCTATTTGGCACGATACAGAAATATCCCAGTATTGCAATGATTCCTTAAGAATTTTTATACTTCAGAAATTTTTTTTAAAATAAGGTTTGTTTACCTGGGATTCATGCTAGTTTCTTTCATGCCATGGTTTCTGTAACTTTTTTTGGTGCCATTCTCACTGCAAGTGAAAATATTGTGGTTCTGAAATGCAAACGAGAACCCGAATGGTGAAAGCTGCGGAGGTTCTCATTGCTTCCCTGAACTTCCAATTTTTTCGCAACCAGGAAGAATAATTCTGAATACAGAAATCTTCTTGGTACGAAAGTAAGACATAGTGAATGATTTTTTTTTCTTCTAATTAAATTGACATATCTTATATTTTTTTAGTTTCAGGAAAACCAATTAGAAGAATTTTTCACTTTTATTTGAAATTTTTTTTTGGAAAATAACAGATTTAATGATAAAATGAATAATTTTGTACAAACACTAAATCTCAATTAAAAAACTTTCTGCAAGTAATTTTATGACCATCATTGAACGGCTCACCCTATTTTGGGCTTACCACAACTAATGTTCAACTCCATAGCCTTGTAATTTTGAACCAATCCAAAAGACAAGGAAATTCCCAGATCAATACCCCCAGAGGTATGATTTGTTATGGGAACATGGAGGACTTAGTGACTCGACAGATTTAACTTTCATCAGTCACCATGTACTACACTAGGGTCGAACCACGACCTCTTGGACATGGGACCAGTGGTCTTAACTTCTAAAACATGCCAAACTTTCATTACATTCCCATAATGAATAACATTACATGATAGCATGCATGATCTGCGTCACTAAATTTATACTTTTTAAGGCGTCTCATACCATGTGCTCTTTTTTATTTATATTAATTCTTTTAAAATATGTTTCTAAAAAATTATTTAAAATAAATGGTAATTGAATTGTGGGGAATATTAACATGAATTTAACTAATATGAGCCATCGAATAACGAGGTAAAAACAAAATTGCCAAAATAAACTATTTATTAAAAACTTTAAAATAAAAACTGAATTATAACATACTTCCAAAATAGTTGGGGAAAGAAAACCATGCGCCCTGAAACTCTCAAAGGCCAAAATAAACATGCAATCGCGGAATCGCTAATCCAACTGACTGGCAAGTAGTTGGTTAGTATTTATATAATAGATGTTGGCAAATATTTTAGTTAGCAAGAGTCTCAGAGCGCATGCGTAACAAATCAACAAATAACAAGCAAGAAAAGATTTCTCCTAATAAGTGATTATTCAACTACGGCTGAACATGAATTGGAAAAAATATTTATGTATTCAAAGGCAACATTAATGTAAAAGTAGTACTAATTCATTTAGGAGAAATGTAAATAATCACCATATTGTTATTTAGCTTAATTAATATACATAGAAAAAGTAGAAAGGAATAGAAACCTTGGTTTAAGAAAAAATTAAGGAAAAAATTTCTTAAGAAGGCCAAGGCTCACCCTGGGCTGTCGAGCCATTGATGATGAGAAATTTACGCTGGCAAGTGGAATAGATTTATTAACAAACATCTAGAATACTTGGAACATGGTAACTGCAGTTTCCACTTGAAGCACGTGAATTTATATACCGTGAAATCAGGAAACTGAACTAATGTTAGAGAATGTTCTAGAAATTTCTAATAACTAAATAATTCTTCTATAATGAATTAATAATAACTAAAATCTTAAACAACTTATATACATATTTACATACTTCTAAAATCTTGTTAGAAATCTGGAGAATTGAACTCGGGACCTATGACTTGCCAGGTGAGTGCGTTTAGCCGCTCGGCCATGCCGACTCGTTTGTGTCATAGCTTCCTCCTTAAAAGCACGATCGTGTAATAGGGCCGTGATATTCAGAATGCTTTTCCTCAGATTGCAAAACAATTGGATTTTCTTTACTTGAATTTTTCCTTTGTTAACTTGTCATGCATGTCATAATTAATGTTTGTTTGGTTATCTGTCGTTCTTCTAATTGCTTTGAAAGTGTTAGACAAATAGAGGCTAAAAGGTATGAGGTTCGATTTTGGGTCGTCGATCTCATGCATTCAACTTGCGTCGGTGACGTCATGGTCTGCGGGGATCGGCCAGTTTATTTTCATTTGCTGTTGGTCGTTCTTGCGTGGATCATGACGTCACCCGTTATCTGTACTTAAGCTTCTGTTGATCATTTTGTATTCTTTCTTTTCGTCACTCTGTTTGATACGTTCTTTATTACTAATGTTTTTAAATAAACTCATTTCTTCAGAAACTTCGTTTCTCTTTTTTTTTGTTGAGTTGTTGATATACAGGTATGATATTCTGAGAGAATCTCGGCTGTCAGAAAAAAACGTATTAAGGCTATATCAGCCATCTTGCGTTTGTTTGATGCATTGATATCCTCCAATTTTTATGTAATTTCAGACAGTTTCCTTATAATTTTATGGGGCCCAAAATACATCTTCAGCAATTTTTCAAATAATTCTACTTTTCTGACTGGTCTAAAAATCCACACAAGATCCCTGCGGCAGAATTTTTTTGGGGTTTTCTGTGACGAACCTCTCTGGTGCTAATATCTTTCTGCAAGATACTTTTGATAATAAGAAATATACACGCTACTAATTTAAAGTAACAGAAATGTTGTGTTAAAAAAAAAATCCTATTTGAATAAAATAAAATTGTATACATTTTTTTTTAAAGTGAATATGTAATATTTTTTTTATTCGAATAACCTGGGCAATATTCTCACCAATGTGAACACGTCAAAACACACCAATTATTTCCTTTTTCGCTTTTCTTGAATCCATTTAGCAGTACCTGGCGAAAAAAGATTGATGACGAAATCATGCAAATCTGATTCTTCAAAAAAAGGGGTACTAAATGAGGGTTTCGTGTCCCGATTTGGTTTTTGTAAAAAATAATATTGTAATAAAAATATGGGATTTTAAAAAATGTGTGGAAATAAATCCTCCCTCCCCCAAAAAAGCATTAGAATCATTGCTTTAAAAATTTAGCATTCATGTGAAAATCAATATCAGTAACTGCCAAAAATAGAATCAAAACACATGGATTTGCGATAATAGCGGCATCAAGTGAGTCATCAAGTTATTTAAATCCACAATTTAAATGTTACATGTAGAAATAATATTAACTGAGAAATAACCACAATGTTAAAAACCTGTGTAATTCGGTAGCATTAAAAAGTAAAAAAAAAGAAAGAAAGAAAATTGTCGCATTGAAATTAAGGAATTGATTTGAGTTTCGCGTATAATTCAATGGTGTAAAAAGCAGGTATCGGTATAATTCAAAACTTCATGAAGAATCTGAAATCAAGAAATTTACTAGATTTCACAACGTATGTACATGCATACACTGAGATCACATTGTTTTTAAAACACATTTCACATTTCTTGTTCTTCCTTTCTCAGTTTTTTTTTATTTGATCAGTGTTCCCCATGTATTTTTTTAAAAATGTAGCGGAGAATTTAGAAAATTTTCTGCGCGAAACAATTTTCAAAGAAGTATATTACACTATTTTTTTAATCCCTGTATTTCCCCATCTTAAAATTAATCTGCAATGTATGTATTTCACAAAAAATTTCCTGATTTTTATTTTGAACCACTGCAAAAGCCTATTATTATTATAAGTGTAAAGAGAGGTCAATTTTTATTTTGTATCACTACTAGACTACCAGGCTTTGAATAGTGAACCCTTTTTGCTTTATCATCAGATTTGGTTGTATATCCTCAAACCACAGAGATCATTTTATTTTTCAAGTGCTTGATCAGGAATCCCATAGAATGTGTTAGTATATTATTGCCATAATAGTATGTTTTAAATTTATTTATATTTTATATTTCTTTTTTTCAATTTTGTTCTCTAGGTTACTTAGATAACAATCATATTATTGATGAGCACAGATTAAAGAATTATTTAAACCGTCTTTTAAGAGATGAAGATAGAGAAAGACAAGCTAGTATGATACGTCAATTACGGGCAACTTTTGAACACCCTGAAAACTTGAAAGTAAGTCTGTTACCATGAAAGGTTTTATTTATTTATTTATTTATTTCTGAAATGTATTTAAAATTCTATTAGTTTTTAATAATTTCTACTAAAACAAAGGTATTCCTACTTAAGTTAAGGAGGTAATTCATACCTACTTATAATTTGTTACAATTACAATTAACAATAATTGTAATACTACAATTATTAATTCATTGAAATCAATCATGAATGAATTGTTGGATAGTCTTTGTAATTAATGTACAATTGTACATTTTATTTAAACCTACCTGTCACATTCAATGTCTCATTTTTAACACTAGATTGTGAAGGAAGTCATTTTGACTGTTTTTTCATTTGCGAAAAATGTACAAATATTGCGTAATTTTTTTATTTTTTGCGAAGTGAAGTAAATATTTTTATTGTTAATATTTACTGATAATTTGTTATGTAACTGTATATAATATAATAAATATCAAAAATTAATTAAACAAATTTCTTTACTCAATAGTTATTCTTTCACAATGCAGTCACTTTGACTGCTTTTGGGCAATATACTAAGTTTCAGTCTTTCTAGTGTTAACAGGGGTCTGTCTAGGTTTTTCTGATCGCTACCTATTTTGTGAAAATTTAGACGTAATTTGTGAAAAATTAAAAATTTTATTAAAAAATCAACACAAAAATATGGATTTATCGTTTCTTAAGGGATACAAAAATGAAATTTTAAGAAAAAGTATTTTGTGAAACTACCGTTTTTCCTAAAATTGAATTTGTGAAACTACCGTTTTTCCTAAAGTTGAATTTGTTAAGGTACCGCTAAACGGTAGTAAATTCGGCCTGGACAGACCCCTGGTTAAGAACCCTTTTGTGTTTTAATTAAATTTCTTTTTAAACTTATAACATGCCTAATATATATATATACATATATTTTGTGTTACAGGTTATTCTTGCTCTCAAGGAAGATATTATTTCTGCTTTAGAAGATTTCATACAGCCTGGGTAATTTATTATTGGCTGTTTACTGATTTTAATGAAGAAATATTAATTTCTTTTTCTTCTTAAATTATGACAAGTATTTGAAAGCATTAAAAAAATTTATTATTTAAAAATATTTTGAAAGTTTTTGTTTAATTAATTTCCAAAGCGTTATTAAAAATAAATCATTAAATTTTAAATTATGTAGCTACTGAAATTTTTTTTTTTATTTTTTATTATTTTTTCCATTCATCAGTTTTAATAAAAATAGAATAGAAATACAGTTGTAAACTGAAAAGTAGCAGCTCTGAATAAACAAACTTAATTTCACAAATCATTTGTTTTTTTAACTTTTCAAACATAATGTATACATATTGTGTTAGGTTTTATTAGCAGATATTGTAAGTATAATTTGTCAAATATTTTCAAATTCATTACTTATTTGATTGCTAATTTTTATATTGGTTTGCTTTTCTATTTATTATGAAAAAAATTATATTCAATACTAAGTTTTATGTGCATTAATTAGTGAATTTGATACTTTAATATGTTATTCAGATTTCTCTAGTAATTAAAGGCATTTCTTATACTATATTTTCTTGGGAATCTTCATATTTTCTTATACCATATTCTTGCTCTTACACTTTCTTTTGTTCCTATTTACATTTTGAAAAATCAAAATAGAAAAGAAAAAAAATTTAAAACATTTCAAACAAGCTATAATTAATTATACACCGATAGTGTAATTTTGCTAACACAGCAACTAAACTAAATTTTAACTCTGAAATTTAAAATAATAATTAAGTTTTTTATGAAATACTTTGTAAATTTTAAAATCAGTGATTTATTTAAACATGATTTAAATTGTAATTTAAATAAAGCTATTCTAAGTCAATGGACAATGCATCTGCTTAAGCTTAGTCAGAAAGATTTGATCACTGTTAGACAGGGTTGGAAAAAGAAGTTTTTTTTTCAAATTATGTATGGCAATAGGTTGGGTATCAATGCATTAAACATAAATATGTTTGTGTTAGACCTACTGTTTGTCTACGATAGGTACTCTGTCCGCCACAAAGTCTGCGGCAGTCTGGTGCTATGGAAACAAGAAGAGAGCATTTTAGGGAGGGTGGCTTCGATGAAGAGGTCTCCTTTTCTTTCGCCTTCGATGATAGCTTGTATGGGGAGTATACCAGATTGGCTGACTCAGCCACCAGTAGGAGACTTATTTAATCTGATTCAAGAACTTTTTTAAGATTCGCATGAATATTTCTTTCTTACTTAAAATAATTCTCTCGATTCAATCAGTTGTTATTTTTTAAATACAAAGGAAAAAAAGTGAACAAANAATTGCAATTTGTGAAAATTAGGCATATTAACAAAATTTACATTTTATGGATATATTTTAAAGAAAATAAAGCTTGGTTAGTCTTAGGTATCTGTAAAATATTGTTCTACAATAGATTTTATTATGTTCAAAATACATTACTGATATTCTTAAGTAAGAACATAGAAAATTTGATTTTTAAATTGAAACAGATATGTTAAATAGATATATTTTGATAATTTATCTAATTATATACATTTCCTGTAACTTAAAATTTGATCTAACATATCTAACATATTAAAAAAAGTATTTATATTTTAAAAACCGTGCAATTACACAAACTTTATCAATTATTTACTATGCTTGTTTAATGTAATATGCATTACTCATTCATTCAGTTTCATTAATTCTAATTCATTTGTCATGAAAAGTTTCACTGATGCTACACGGTGCGCCTCAACCAAAGTTAAATAAAATTCTCTTACACCTAGAAAATTAGAAGAGACTCTGAATTTACAATGTAAACGGATAATAAAAATCAAAAAAATAAAATAATCTGTGGAGAGATTTTTTAAAAAATCCACTTTGAACATTTTTGCGCACGATTTTGGAAAATTTGGCTTTGTTTTATATCAATAGAAAGGAAAGAAACGATATAATAATGATTTTTCAGTTGTAATTCTATTAAACTTTTATTATTTGAACATTTTACTGCTGATAAAATATGAAAATGTAACATAATTTAATTATAATTACATCAATTTAAACATGTGAAGCATTGTATCTACAAACAGCGCTCGAAAGGTGCTTAGTATAACCCGGGTGATTTGCAGCAACCTTATTAATTTCCCAAGAAGACATTAAGAAATCAAAATGTACGGACTCCATCGCCTGCTCCCAAAAAAATATTAATCCTTCACCGTTTTTGTCACAGAACTGTTCAATGTGAAAAAAAACTGCATGAACCTTTGGTGTGACGCTGACACCTAAGTCCATGTAGCTCTTTTTGAAAGCTTCTATACATGCTTTGTAATTTTGGTTAAGATTATTTCCGAAGCATGCAGAAACCACTTTTTTGAAGTCGTCAAATACTTTAACGTACTTCAGTATTACTAGATTTTTAAACTGGTGCAGAAGTTCTTCTTTATCCAATTTTTTTGCATGCATTTCCTTTAAACCCAGAACATCCTCGTCTGATTTCATGCTGAACGTGACAAGCTTTTGTACATGTCAGCGATTCATTTTCACACTCTTTCAATATATGCGTGAAAACAGTGTTAACAACACCGAGCATAAGGTGTAATTCTGGCGGTGGAATAATGTCTAGGAATGTTTTGCCTCCAACAGTTGCAATTAGAGGTGGATGAATGCAATTGAAATAATCTTTCGCTTTGTTTTTTTAACCTTTTCCTTCAATCAGCCAACTTGTATAATACGATGAAACATTTTCGGGGGATCTCAATCCGCCACAGCTGCTTAGCTCATCTTTCTTGGCATAACAATAAGTGCATGGATATGCGCTGCTGTGCGACATTACACCTGCTAAGATATTCACTAACTTCAAATCGGTCGCAATTGTGCCGTGGAAAGGAGTTATATTCAACGTTGAAATGAGTTGATCTACATTCTTATAATTTTCTTGTGACCTCGGAACGACTGCTAGAATGACTAGTCGTTTAACTCCAGAATCCTTCAATTTTCTTGCAGCTATCCCCTCATCATACTTAGCACGCTTACTGCTGCACTCGAAGTCCAACTCATTTGATTGTACAGAAAGACATATTTTTAAAAATCCACCTCCTCCATCAATACCCATTTTTAAGTGAACATCCAGTACATCTTGTTTATTTTTCACATGCTGAACAAAAGTAGGAACATCTTTGCAGTAAACTCCAAGCGCAGGAGCATCCGAGACTTCATCGCCCTTTATACAAACGAAAGGAAATTCCTTAAAATCAAAATAATCGTCGATGGAAAGAGCTGTGATATTAAGTTTTGTTTTTTATCCTGGTTCAAATGCTTTTCTACTTAGTGTACACACACGAATGATGGAAGCTGCCATTTTTAAGGTCACAGTGCTTGTGCTAATTTCACAGTGCACTAAAGTCGATTTAAGTTTTTATTATTTTTGTTTTTTAAATAGTGGTTCATCGACTATAATTAACAATTAAAAACTTCTAATAATTACAAACTTTATTGTAAACGGTTATTATAAATATTTAATAAAAATATGTCATTTTTTTCTTCTATTTATAAGTATAAAATAATGCTAACATTTTTGAAATATCGTACTTCGTGAGCAAAAATGTTCAAAGTGGATTTTTTTAAAAATCTCTCCACAGATTATTTTAATTTTTTGATTTTTATTATCATGGAACATTGTAAATTCAGAATCTCTTCTAATTTTCTAGGTGTAAGAGCATTTTATTTAATTTCAGTTAAGACGCACCGTGGCTAGTTTTAAATGTTGGCTAGTATCCTGTGTCAATTGGATTTTTTTTTTTTTGGTCAATTGGAATTTTTTAAAGTAATTTGAAACAGCAATGTAACTATCAACCATTCGTATTATTAGCTGATAAATTTAATAAATAATTTTTTGTTGTTGTGAAATAAGCATAATGATTAAAAAATATACAATTTCTGCTTCTACGTAATTGTAAAATCTGGTTGACATGTACTTTAGCGTATAACAATATCGAATAGGTCCTTGAAAAATTTGATTTTAGGTTCTTGAAAGTCATTGAAAAGTCCTTGAATTTTTTTTTAAAAGTTTGAGTGAGAACCCTGTGAAATTATAAGTTTTTTTTGCTTAAATTACGTTTTCTTATTCATATTTTATTGTAACCTGTACAGTTTTTTTTCACTATTTATTAAAAACAGTTTTTATTAGCAAATTTATTTTTTTCTTAATAACCAATTTACTATGTATGATAAATTTATAGATGAGTTATTTATTAATAAAACATTGAGCTGCTTTAAACAATTTTATACAATTTCCATACATATTCTATACATNTGTTCAATGTTTGTGCGACCTTCATGGAGATGCTTGTGCCACTCGTACACAGCCTAGACTGATTATTCCAGCAGATTATGGCAGTAAAGTTCCTACAAATATTAGGCAAAAGTTTCTAAATATTTTCATTGATGAATTTTTGAAGTTTACCTCTAATGAAGAAGTTTGTATATTTTATCTATTATACGAGCCTTTTTTTCATGGCATTGTTTCCGTATACTTTTTTTAGCAACTTGAGAATCTCAGAGGGAGATTTCTTGAACAAAATGCAGAATTAGATGTTTGCACGCTGCTCTAAAGATGACATTTCAAAGTTTGGCAAATGGCAAATTCTGTTTGACAGAAATTATCTGCAGCTAATGTTGGCTGTACCAGAGAAAAATTCCAAATGGCTGTGGGTTTTTTATGTGCTGCCTACCTCTGAAAAAAGTATTTCTCCTCCAGCAAACACCTGCATGAATGTAGGCGACCATTCTGAGAATTTAGACTCTATCTCGTATTTTAAATATCTTTTTTTATTGTATACTTTATGAAAACTTTGTGCCAATATATTCATGGAATAAAACTGTTTTCATCTTATCATTGGAATAGTAAGATATATATACAGTGAAACCTCCGATAAGCGGACATTCATGGGACCAAAAATTTTGTCCATTTAGGAGAGTTGTCCGTTTATGGGAAGGGTACCCTAATAATGAACTTCAACACCATAAATTGTTTCTAGAATATTTTCAAAGATAAAGAAATAAATAATTTACAATAACTATCTACAAGAATATTTATTTGAAGTTTAAAAAAATAAAAAGGATTTATAAAAGAAATTTGATATAAATACATAATTCTAGATGTAGCTACAGATAAATGAATATTATTTTCCCGTTAATCGAGATACTCAAGTGAGACATATACTGAATAGGAGCTTTTAGTCCTAAGCCGGTTTCAATTATTAGGTTTAGATCCCCTAACACTTACCTATCATTTGATAGGAAACTTTATTCATTCCTCTTTGAAAGTAAACCTCCCATAAGTCACAGAAAAAGAAAGCAATACCTGTTAAGTCATGAGGCCCTATGGAGTTGATTATTCACAATTGATCATCTATCAGGTGTCTGAATAAATGTTTAATTTATATGAACACTTCAAAGACTATACTTCTATTCTCTTTTTTACAACAGCTGTATTAAATACAGTCTTCAAATTGATAAAAAAAAAGAGTAAGAAATTTTCAATAGAGAAGAAGCATTGAGAGCATTTAAGACGTCATTTAAACTTGAGGGGTCTCATAATCTGTGTCGTCCAGATGTAAAGATCAAAAGATGCCGCTCTCTGAATTATTTCACAAGAACAGTATCATTTTCTCTCCTTTCTTTACAAAAACAACGAAAGGTGACAGACGAAAGATCGATTCTTTAGTAGCGAAATAGCTTAACACTATTTTTAGTTATGGATAAAGCAAAAGATTTACATGCTTTAAAAATGGTGAAAAGTTGCATATTTTTTTTCTTGCAATTTAAAGCAGAAATAGTTTTTTTAAAATTTTTTTCAAATTTAGAAAAAGTGGTGTCCATTTTGAAGAGATGGAAAATAACACTTCAGGGTACGGGAGTGTCCTCTTTGTAGAGAACGTACATAATAGTTTGTTCATAGAAGATTCCCAGGGAATTGAAAACATGTCCGTATTGAGAGACGTCTGTTTTGCAGGATTGACCATAACAGGAGGTTCACTGTGTATGTATAGATATATTTATGAATATATATGTATATATAACTTGCATATTGCAGAAATTTGCAATAAATTCAAAAATCCTAGCTTACCTGTTGATTTTTTAAAATTTTATAAATTTTATGTTTTTTAAATTTTATCTTCTGATTTTTTTAAGTTTTATATATATTTCCTATTGTGCCATTGGAAAGGGAAAAAAAATCACCAAAACTTGCTGAATGTTTGGGACAAGATCTGATTTAAATTTTATTTGGAACACAGCTAATAGAATAATAGCATTTTCAAATTTAAGACTATTTTTAAAAGGAGAACAATTGATAAGTTTTGCTCTAAATGAGTTTAAAATAAAATTGTACTTTAAAATGTTAGTTTTTAGGAAAAAAAATCTAACAAAAAAGTATATAAAGCATTTTTCAAACTCTTCATTAACTAATTGTTAGGTTATTTAGTTAGCTATCATCAGAGCTCATTCTAGACAGAAAAAAGAGCAGGGTGCAAACGTTTAAAAAAAGGGCATTATTATTCTAAAAGGGCAATAATTTCTTTCTATGGGCTTTTCACGTTCTATGAAAAAACATTGTCAATTAGTGAAAGAATTTTTTTTTATTTTACTAACAATAGCAAAGCAATCATATTTACTCATTTTTATTAATAAATTAACATATATATCGAGTTATTGAGCTAATTAACTTAGTAATTTATTTAAAATGCTTGCATATATTAATAAAATAATAAATGTATGTTTTTAAGTGTCTGTAGTTATGATTTAATAATTAAATTGATTAATAATAACTATGATTTAATGATAGTGGAAGCAACTGCAAACTTTCTAAGACAAGTGCAACAAGGGGGTGTGATGGCTATTTTTTTTCCCCATATAAATCTATGTATTGACAGCAATGACAAACTAAATAAAAATAGTTGAAAATTTAAGAAATCCATTGTACAGTTTGGAGAAAAAATAAAGAAGGATTGAGGAAAGAAAGGGTTTAGAGTCTATTACATCAGGGGCAACAGGGTGGATTCTTTTGACTAAAAGGGCAACAGGGTGGATTCTGTTGACTAAAAGGGCAACAGGGTGCTGCGCCCTGTTTACCTTGCCTAGAATGAGCTCTGCTATCATATTGCTTATATAATTAATGAATAAGAAGATAATCATATTGTTAACTCTGGTTAAGATTTTTATTTTCTTCTTTTAGGTTGAATGCAGAATTAAAATATGAACTAGTTTTAATGATTGGTACTTTCTGTGCAGTTTTAGGATCAAAAGCCAAAAGGTAATCTATTAATGTTCGTCTCATTATTATTTTTTTATTTGTAATATATCTAGTTGAACATTTTATGATATTTCGGAATTTTATTTTATTACTCTATTATTCTTTTTTTAAAATCAAATGCGGTGCATCTGTTACTAAAATTAGCATTCTTTACATTATAATATAATACTATTGCCATTTCTATATGTTGCTGAGATGAACTTTAAGGTCGCTTTTTTTAATAATTTAGCTAAGTTTGTAGTGTAATGTTTTTGTGAAGTCTTTAATTTATATTTTCTATAAAAAATAGGCAACCCTCCCTTCTCAAAGGTTGATTTTAAACTTGTTTAGAGCTTCAGTTTGTCTATGCATAATATTATTTACATTTAGCAAAATGTTGCCAATGTCGTATTTTAGACAATTCATCTAAAATAAATAGGTTTTTAATTTTATACAGCTAACAATCTACTGGAGATAAAATATTTTTTTCAAGCATAGTTTTGATACATCGATTTTGCATTTTTCCTTAACACTAAACATACCATAACCGTTCAAATGACCATTTAAGAACTTATGCACAAAAAATGTACTTATCATCTTATCGTTTTTGCACATTTAACTTTAATACTTTTTCTAACAATTATATACAATTAATATTGTATTATTATTATTTTTTGTATTTTGTTTGTTTCGTATGATACTTGTTGTATACCTATTTCCACCACAACTGGTAATTTGACCAGGAGAACAATTTATAGCATTATAAGGTTATTGGATCAGAAATGACGATGTAATGCATGTTTAACGTATTGCATTTGATGAGTTGCACATTTCTGCAAAGACTGATGCGTAGTTAGTTCAATCAGAATAACTGTGACTGCAAATTTCAAGAAAGTACCTAACGTTTTAGAATCGCACTTTTGTGTCAGAAAAAGTGACAAAAACTAAATGTTTTGGTAAGTAGCTTATATTTTATTTTGATAGCATTTACCTCATTTCTAACCAACTTTTAGTTTTTACCCAGAAAAATATCAAAACAATCAAGACAGCAGATTTTAAAAGAAATAATATTAATTATAAGAATAATTATTCAAATTATAATTCTTATATATTCTTATAATTATAACAATAATTATAAAAATGGTAGAAATAATAATAATTAGAAGAAATATGTTTGCGGAAAATGTACTATAGAAACACCCTGTATATGTAAAAAATGCGGTGAGCAATGAATTAAAAATTCTTATTTTATGTGTTGATAATACATAAAAATCAGCAATATACAATTTTGTTTAATTATAATAAAGTTTTTTTAGTTTATTTCCTCCCTAACATCTGTATTTTATACATTCAATGAAGAAACATAAAGTCTGGTCATTTGACCGGCTATGATAGAAATAGGTATAGATTAAGTGTTGGTATGTTTAGTGTTAATTGTGTTGTATTTGTATTGTGTTGTTAATTGTGCATATTGTTTTGCTTTTTGTAAATGCTTATATGTGGTGTGGTAAATATTTTTTTTCTCTGCAGTCTTTTGGATTCACTATTCACGGTTATAAATAATGCTAAAAGCGAAGAAATAAAGATTATCATTTTGAAGAGCATTCTTGAGGTACATATATTTTGTAGTACTATTTGTAAATCTAAAAATAAAATAATTTAGTTCGTGACCTATATAAATGTTCCTTTTTTTTCAACTGTTGAAAATATTATATCTTATTCATGGCAAGAGTACATGTTCATTTTTAGAAGTTCATTTGTTATTTCAGTGCAAAACCCTCATTTAGGTTAGAAAGTACCCTATTAAAAATTAAACCACTATTTCTGAATGAATTATGACACACAATGAGTTACTAAATTTAAATTTTCGCTCAGTGATGACATTTAAAGATTGTCAGCCTAATGAGTGAAAACTTTTGACATAATCTCATAGAGAGTGAATTGTTCTTTAAACCGATTCGATGATTTTGGAGATTGAATCTGACGGAATAGATTTTGTGTGGTAAATAAAAGAATGACCAAAAAATATAGTATTTTGACAGTAATAAGAATGTTCCTACATAGTAATGTTCATTTGGTATGGTGATAGAGGAAGGTAACCGGATTACATTAAATAACTTAGACATAAATGACTACCATAGACATTTTTCAAAAAACTAAGAAAGGCACAGCTGTGTCTTTCTAAGAATATTTTTTCCTTTATCAAATTATATATTTTTTATCATGAAATAAATAATAGCCAATTTAATTTTCTTGTGAGGATTGTATTTGATTTTAGATTTTAAAATATACTCGTGAGTTTTCTCTGCATTGTGACTTTATTAGTTGACTATTGTATAGACAAATAAATGTATATTTCAGGCATTAAAAATAGATGGGGAGAAAAGGAATCTATCCGAGCACGTAGCAGTAAGTATGCAGTATATAATTTAAATCTAATGGATCCTTTTACAATATATATATATATAATTTTTTTCTTCTTCTTCTTATTCCAGTCAATCATGGGAAAGCTGCAATCCAGTTTAGAAATAGCAGACATGCCCGAAATATTTATAGCCATCATGAATGTTGTGACTGAAATTTCAATTTCATATTCTAATGTCTTCTCTAAACATTTTAGTGTAAGGTTTTTCTATATTAATCTCATATGCTGTTTTAATATACCCTTTTACTTAATACCCTAACTTATTACACAATGCTTTTTTAAATTTAATGTTGTGTTTTTTTTTTTGGAGAAAATAGTAACTTTGTAAAGTCATGAAAAATTCATGGAATTAGTCATGGATTTGAAAATCTAAAATGTAGCAGGTACCCTGAAAATTTCACAGTTACTTTTTTGTATTTTTTAATTTAGTTTAGAATAGCTTCTTATTCTGTTAACAAACTGGTTAAAACTCTTATGAATACACTTTTATGAATAAATGTTATAAAACGAGTCCCCACTCATTATTGAAAAAAAGAAGAAAAAACCTATTTAAATCTGATTGCTTTAATTTTGAGGTGCAAGTAGATCAGTAAACATTCTCGACAGATGGAATATTTATTGATCAATCATGTGAAGTGGTTATTTTCTGTCAAACGTTGTAAGATATAACCAAATTTTTTTTTTTTTTTTAAATCACTAGGTTCTTGATTAATTGTGCACTAGGTCTTGATTAATTGTGCACTTATTTCAATCTAAGGACGGAAAGGACCTGTTGAATTGGAAACAACACTTTATTAAATTTTCTGAAGCTGATTGAAAAGTTATTAGGGCATTATTCACAAATCTTTATCCACAGGGTGCGTAGCATTTTTAAAAAGTGCTTATTTTCGATTTTTAAAAGCCCTTAAAGGTGTGTGGGGAAAGTAGATATCGACAATGTCAACTTTCATCTATGAAAAGGTACCTCGACATAGAGTTGAGTTACCATGTCTTATATACTAGTGAATTGTAGTTGTAATTTTGTAGTGGTAGATACGCTACAGTACTCCCCCACCAGAATTATAGCTGTGATAGAATTCGATACATGGATACCACTAGTTGAGTCATTGCTGTTTTTGTGCGAAGCCGGGAGAGCTGTATTAATATCACCGAACTTTTTGCGTGCTGAATGTGAGAGGTGTATTAACTTCACGGTCGTAGTCGTTCCTGTGTTGCCCTTAGCAGTCGAGTGTATGCCGGCCGACATTGTGTGTGATCGAGACTTGACTGAGTAGCAACAGTTCGAGGAGGTGGATATTGTCGCTGTCACAAGTAGCTAGTCAACTGTTCAATGTGGACCATCCATGGAAGTGGGGGTTACTGTCAAGATAGGCATGTTCATATTGAAGTGGGCGTTTCTGCCAACATAGGTGTGTTCACATCATGTCCGGGTCACCAATGTGAGGAAAGTAGATATCGACAATGTCAACTTTCATCTATGAAAAGGTACCTCGACATAGAGTTGAGTTAACATGTCTTATATACTAGTGAATTGTAGTTGTAATTTTGTAGTGGTAGATACGCTACAGGTGCTTTTTTCATTGGACGTTTTTAAAAAGTGCTTAATTTTCCCATTTTCAAAATGAGATTTTTCCTGTAACATGTTGATTTTAGCTACAAATTATGCAAAAAGACGCAGCTCACATTTTTCTATTCAACGTTTTCACAACTCGTTCAACCCCAATCTATTTTGGCATATTGTCAGTCCGTAGTGTATGAAAACGCCATTCGTTTGGTCAAAAACAATGCCAAAAGTTATTATTATTTTTTTTGACATGATGGTTGAAACAAGATAAAACCGTCAATTATTAAAAAAACTTTTCAACCCTGTCCAGTTATACTTTTTTAAAGTGCTTAAAAATATCTTTTGAGTGCTTAAAATGTGCTTATTTTTTGTTGTTGAATAATTTGGCTACGCACCCTGTTCCAGTGTTCTATGCTATGTAAATAAAAGTTATTATATTCTCGATATATAATTCATTCCTTTCTCAATGTATATACAGATATTGTTTTACCCATATTGATAATATTTTTTTCTATTTAAGGACACTGTTGATATTCTTATTGGATGGCACATTGATGCTACCCAGCAGCAGTCTGTGATAGAATTTACTTCCAATACTCTTATTGGATTTCAACACTTTTGGATATCTGACATTAATTTTACATTCACATTATTAGGACAATTTTTGGAGGATATGGAGTCATATGCTCTGGTATAAATAGTTCTAGTCTTTGATTCTAATTTTATGATTTAACAAGTAGTTATTTATATTACTTTTGCAATTGAACATAATTGTTATGCATAAACAAAAAAGCTGAGTACAGGGTATCCGCGTACCTGGAAAGTCATGAATTTCGGTATTGAACAAAATTTGTCATGAAATGTCCCGATTTAAACTATTTTTTAAAAAAAAAAAAATCATGGAAAGTCATGGATTTAGGGCGCTGAAAAATTTTATTTTTAAAATGGAATTCCCCCCTCCCCCCATTCTGAATTTGTAACAAAATCCCTACTCAGAGTCAAATTTTATTGAAATATAAAAAGTTTTTATCATGTTCTTTAAAAATTATGTTCTTTCAAAAAATTAAAGATAAAACATAATTTTTAGAGCGAAATCTTTTTAACTTCTGGGATTTCAGAATTATTGTTGTTATTTTTATCTTTTTATTTTTTCAATTTAAAATTATAGCTGAAGCAAGCCAGTCATTGGCAATTTTTTTAAAATCCGAAATGAGAACAGAAAAATCAGGAGTATTTCTTTTCTTTCTGATGAATGAGAAATGTATCTTTAGAATATAATTCTGCAGGAAAAAAGAAAAAAAAATATTTGCTCAGCTATTTTATTGCTTCAACTCTTTCTTTACTCTGTTTTTTAAGTTTGAAATCAATAAATATGAAGATGCAGAGTATAACAGTATTGGTTATACCTATCATTTCAATTAATGTTATTATTATGCTTTTTAAATTTATTATTCTATTTTTGTCGGAGAAAATAGTAACTTCGTTAAATCATGAAAAGATGTTGGAATTAGTCATGAATTTGAAAATCTAAAATGTAGCAGATACCCTATGAGTAGCTTTTTTTAAAATTTGAAAAAGGTTCCGCAAAATGCAGTAGGTTAGGGTTCTGCAATTTTGATACATTATGTGGTCAGCATTGCATACTTCCAAATGATCTTAACCTTGTGTCATCTTATTTTACACGTATGCATCTCAATGCTTTTGTTTCTCTTTTTACTGCCTGATTATAATAATAATTGAAAATATTAGCTTCTAATATTTTCAGCCCATGCCTCGCTGCTTCTAATTAGCAAAGAAGCGAATGTAAGTGCTAAAATAATTTCACATGTTCATTTTTCATCATTTATGTTTGTGTATGACACTTTGCCAAATTCCTGTTGATTGTTGCAATTCGAATTTTAGAAAGTTCGTGTAGTATTTAATTATTGGAAGCAAACATGACAATCATTCTAGATTCTATCATGAATTTTAAATAGAAGTTAACATATATAAAAATTTAAAAATAACTGAAATTTAAAAACAAGTTGAGTGAAATTTCATTGTTATTTAATAAGCGGGGAACATGCAGAAATAATCTTAAATTTTATGAAAACAAGTACGAGTTCTAATTTTAACATTGAGTTATGGATTATACCTATTTGTACTGGTAAAAGTGTATTAAAAAATTATACTTAATTCCTTTAAATGTGCTTGCTTCTATAGAATTTTCAGACTTTTCTTTGTATGATTTAATGTGAATAATTAAGTTTTTATTCTTTGAAAAATTTTAAATTATTTGTAGTGATGTACTTTATAATGCAAACCTTGAAACATGAGGTTTTGCATTGTATAGTTTATTTCATGCCTCATTAAACTTACCTACTAACGATGTCTGTGAAACAGATCAATGTTAATGCTTTAAAATAATTTTTAAATAGAAATGCTATAAACTCAAAAATATCTACCAAAGAATTATTTAGAGTATAGTATTCAAACCAATTTTTTGATTTTGGGTTTGCTTTAGAGATGTAAAATCAATGTGGTTTGCGGAAAATAGGGATTTGTGGAATGGCATTATGTCAATCGTTTATTTATTTATCTTTTACCTACTATTTTCCTTTATTACCTATACTGTATTGTATTTACTTACTAAGATAAATAGCTATTTTACAACGGGATAAACAAATCATTTGTTTATCTTTTTGTGTTAAAATTTTAAATCTATTTTTTCCATGAAGATTAACTAGTTTTCAGAAATTATATGGGAATTTTAGCATTTTAAATTATTTTGTCTTTCTTGTCTATATTTTTCTTGTCTATATTTTTCTTCCTATTAGAAAAAAATTTCTTCTTCCTATTAAGTTTTTTAAATAAAGTATTATTTGTACTGTTTTCATTATTATTCTTATATTTAGTATTTTTATTATTTTTTTTACTTTATCACTCTCTCCATAACTTTCTCTTTTCTTGATTTCATCTCTTTCTTTTTTAGGGCTTGCCCAAGAAAAAACCTCAAACCAAAAAGTCTGTTTTGTATCTTAAGGTAAAAATTCTGTCGTTAGTGGTAATCTTGCAACAAAATTTTTATGTTTCAGAATCCTGCTTTTTATGCAATTGTATGTCAAGAGCAATATATCTCTCTCTCTATATTTTTATTGTGAAAAATCAGTTAATGGTAATTTTTTTATTGTATTTTTATTAAGAATCTCCCATTTGCGAGCAAGCTTTTTATTCTAATGACCCATTCATTCAAAGCCTTATTTGCTATTTTGTAAATGCTCTGTAATTTTTATACCTAAGTTGAACTGTTCATTCCCACTTAGTTTCACTGTATAAGTATTTTTCTATTAAGGTAGTCTTGCTTTTAGTAGTTTATATTTTTCTTCTATTTATAACTACTTTGGAAGATTAATTATTTCAGCTGATTATTAATTCTATTTAAGATATTTTTTACATCTTTTACCATTGCCATTTTTTCCCCAAGCAATAAGAATATTTCTTTGACCATTCAAACTGAGTTGACACAATTCTTCCGTTTTTCATAGGGAAATGTTTTAGCCCTCTGTAGATTTGCTTTCTAAAAAGCATCTTTTAAAACTACTGTCCCTGGCTAAATTATTAGACGTGATTCTATGTGAAATATTAATTATCAGGTGATACTATACAGCTTTAGTGTTTTGCACGGTCTGCACTTGTTTACGTTAGTGCATCAATGGGTTAAATTAGATGATGTATAATATAAATTCCACCATTCGATAAAATAGATGATGCATTATATAAATATAGAATGTTTATTATATCAGGTATTGTATTANTCCGGATTTCCGGAATTTTCGCTGACAGTGATCCGGAAGTTTCCGGAGATCGAATGTCCAGACGTTTCAAAAAATCATTGATCACAGAAGTTTCTGGAAATCAAATTTTCAAAGGTGGCACCTAAAAACACAGTTTATTTTATTTGTTCTTAAGGTAGAGCTAGAGGGATACTTCATAAGCTTATATTCGTGATTAATATTCATTTTTTATCAGTAAACAGTTGTTATAATCATAAACTCAAGAAAGAAAGACATATTTGTAAATTTTAATTACTTCTCCAGGTCATCATAGGTATGTGTAAATGGTATAGGCATGCGTAAAATTTTAAATATATTTTAAGCAAACTAAGGAATATTGAGAAAAAGGAAAAAAACCTTGTTTAAATGTTTTTCTAAGTTTTTCAATTGAAACTGTTTTTTTTTTTTTAACTTAAGAAATTTTCCGGAATTTGGCTTGGGCTCACAATCTAATTGCTATTAATGTTAAATTTTTCTCTTACTCTCGTAATTGGTACATATAATTTTGTAGCATATAGTGTTCCTAATCTTTGATTCCTAAGGTTGGCAGCTATGATATTATAATAATTAGACCAAATTATGAGACGCAACTGTAGTTTTTTAATAATGACATGATTTGCCCGCGTTTATAGGCAATTAAACATACATGTAATGGGTTTTTATTCGGGAGATTTTTTTATGTATTTCCTATTTTTAACATATGGCATTACATTGTTAACCAATTGATACACGAACATAAACAAGTGCAAACTGGTTTCATCCGAGTAAAAACAGTAAAGCCCTATAGTATCACCTGGTAATTATAATTTTACATATAATCTTAGTGTCTCTAATAATATGGCCAGAGATTGTATAAAGTGAAATGTATTTTGCGTTGAAATCTGTATTTCATTAATTTTAGGAGTTTGCTCAGTCTAAACTAAATTTTTGTGGGACTGCTGATAGTCACGCAGGAACATCAGTGGAAAATATTGCTAAGATAAAAAGTCTTGTGAAGTATGATGCTTTTCTTCTGTTTATGGTTAATATGTTTGTTCTCAGTTTTGACAATCAATTTGTTTTATTTTTAGAGTTTTAATTACTGTCTTGAAAAGCATTCACGGTTGTGTAACGATCGAAGAAAATGGTCCGATCACTTATGCTTTTGTGGTTGAGGTAAGGTTTATTTATTTATTTTTATAAACATTAATGGTATTTTATGTTGATGTTGCCTTTGTTTTTATTTCAGATGCTAAGAAATTTTTTAAAGTATATCATGGTGACTGTTGAATTTTGCTATTACTCTGACTTAATGACATCTGGTGAGAAATCATTTGTTACTTTTTATCATTTGTGGTAATTTATATGAATTTTTTTAAAAAAACTCTGACTTAGATATAAATTAAATCATTATCTAACAGTTGCTTTATACAGGGTTCCCACGGGTCAGGGAGAACTGGGAAAACCTGGAATTGTCAGGGAATTTTATTTCAAGACCAAAACTCAGGGAATAGTCAGGGAAAGTTGCAATTTTCTTACAAAAACCTGGAAAATTCCTTCATTATACCTGGAAAAAAACCAGTCTTAAAATACTCAGTTATTGAGATTCGAGTTAAATAATTCTAAGATCTATAACAGTTATTTGTTGAAAAAAATTTTACATTTTAGACATACTGAAATGCTTCCTTCCTCATATTATGATATTTATTTTACACAAAAAATCTAATTCTTGGCATAGCAAATAAAAGAATCCAAATTTTCTGTTGAAAAATTTCGTAGTATAGATAAAATATGGCATGGAATTTCATTGAAATTTACCTGGAATACCTGGAAAAGACAGGGAATTTTTTTTCTGAAATTGAGTGGGAACCCTGTTTATAACACCTAGAGAATACTTTGCATTATTCTTGTAACCTTGAAATCTAATAGGGTTTTTGAATGAATCATATATTTTAATCTGTTTCCTTGCTTTAAATCAGTTTCGAGTAACTGATATCTTTTTTTTTTTTAAATCTGCCTTTAAAAAAAAAAAAAAAATCATAAAATTTATTTTTTGTGATATACTAGAGTTGGAGAGTCGAGAGCTATACTTTTTTAGAAGAGTGCATGTCATTTCCAACATACTAAAAAAGAAATTGTTTTTTAGCATGATGGATAAATTGTTATTTTGTTAGATTATATACAATTATTAAAAAAAAATATTGATTTAAATTGCTTCATTGTTTTGTAAATAATCATTGATTAAAGTCAGCAGTATTTTTTGTGTAGGGAAATTTGTTAATTCATTCCTTTATTTAGTTTTTTGTTGCTAGTGAAGTTAGAGAAATAATAAGAGTAATGTGGTAATATGTGTTATTTAATGTTCAAAACAAACTAATAGAAGAAAAAGCGGGGTTCCCACAGGCTCCTAAAATGAAACTATTTGCTACTAATTTCGGCCTTAGGTGACTATGGCGACTTTTTTTTGCCTGAAAAGGCTAAAAAAGCAACTATTTTTAGGAATAGGAGACTTTTTTTACTCTTGGCAAACTTTTTTTGCAGAAACGAATGTTACTTTTCAGAACGTTAATAAAAGAAAGCAAACTTTAAAAGCAAAAAAAGCAACTATTTTCAGGAATAGGCGACTATTGCGAGATTTTTTTTTTACTCTTGGCGAAGTAAGATTTTTCCTTTACCATGTTGATTTTCGCCACGAGTTATGCAAAGAGACACTGTTCACAACCATCAATTGTCAAAAACTTGCCAACCCTGCCTAATTACGATATTTCTTTTAAAGTGCTTATAGATATTTTTGAGTGCTTGAAAAGTGCTTATTTTTTCTTGAGAAATTTGGCTGCACACTCTGATAGATCTAGTCACAAGTAGCTTAAGAAATAGCTTGGGAATTGATTAACCATAGGTTTAAAAAGAAAGTACAGTAAGCGAGTTTTTTTCCCTTTTAAATGTCTAAATCTTGCTATTTCTGGAAGCTTGTTTAAATATTCAGAATAATCACAAAGATAATAAAGATGCACATCTATGGGTGTTGATAGAAGCTTCTCATACAATAAAAAAATAATAATTACTTTCAGGTTAAAAACATTATTTCACATGTGAAAATATTATAATGTATCAAACACTCCAATGCAACACTGATTTCTGTAGTTTTGCAACATTGACGTTATGAAGCATAATTATCTATATAAATCAGTGTACAGTATCAAAAAAATTTTCCTTTAGACTTTTGTTTTTTTTTTGCATTCGTTTTGTGTTATAATGAAAATTACTTTTTCTATTAATATAAATCTTTTAATACAATATATATATAAATGAAATTTTAGGCAAAATATATATATATCTTTCTGCAAGATATTTAACAATAACAAATATACAAACTTCAAAAAAACTATAGCTATAGCTTTAAAAAAAAAGCATTTTAATAAATTAAATAAATAAAAATTGGATCAAATAAGAAATTTTTTTTGGTTGAATATGTGTTTTTTTATTCTAATATTATAAGCGATATTCTCGCATTTTGTAGAAGGATAACGCACTAATTATTTATTTTTTTTGCATTTTATTATTAATCATCACATTAAAATAATGAAATCGTAAAATCTGTAGCAGTGACTGCCGATAAAAAAAGATAGACGCCGAAATCACGTGAATCAGACTCTTCAAAAACCCTAAATGCGTGTTTTCGTTTCGAGATTCAGTTGTGATAAATAATATCGGATTTTAAGAGCTATGTGGGACGAAATTGGAACGAAAATTTCCACAGGAAAGAAAACCAAATTTTTTACTTCATTATTCTTTATTTTTCATTACTCTCCTATGAGAATAGAAAAGTCACGATCATTTTTTTCCCCTCTCTGAAGCACGAGAAGGGCATATTTTTGAATATAATTCTGAAGAATAGATAAAATTTTTTGAAAATTTCTGCAGAAAAGGAAAGCAAAATTTTTTATTTCCCAAAGGAAAAATCCTACTTTAAGAACTTAGTAACGTTCTGCAACAATGTCGCCACGATTTTGCCACGGGATGTTTGAAAGAGCATTTTTGCAAGACATATTTATGTAATCAAAATCCAGGCTCTGTCAGGGTGTGTAGCTTTGTTAAAAAGTTTTTAAAGGAGCTTATTTTCAATTTTCGTTTTTTAAAAGCCTTTAAAGGTGCTTTTTTCATTGGGTGTTTTTAAAAAATGCTTAACTTTTCCTTTTCGAAAAGAGAATGTTGGTTTTCGCCATGTATTAGTACAAACACAGTATCTAATAGAGTTTTATTTTAATTAACAGAAAATTACTTTTGTGGGGGTCGATGGAGATTTCGAAAAATTATATAGGGGTTGATGATCAAAAAAGTTTGGCGACCCCTGGTATAGAACATAAAACACCTGAACTCGGATAAGNCATATTTATGTAATCAAAATCTGGGCTCTGTTCATTACCTCTAATAAAAAGAAGCGGGTTTATCAGTTCTCCTTAAAAGTTTTCATCTCTTTGTCTAATAAAAAGGCATTTCTCTCTTTAGCGAATGAATGTTTATTACTTCTGATTACAATGGCACAGCTTCATACAAAAGATGCCTTAGAAGAATTAATGGCCTACATCCACTTAGTACAAGCAAGAAATGCAAGACTTCAAAATGAAGGTCACCTCAAATCAGTATTATCAATGTTGATTTGCTTTGTGAAAACTATTGGCACTCATCTACCCATCAAGTTTGTTACCACAATGTTTGACAAATCTTCTTTAACAAGGCAGCTCCGTCTCTCCCCTTCACAACAAGTAACAATTTTTAAATATTTTAATTGCTTGAAATAATTTGTGTTACATTTCTTTAACCGCTTCTCTGACTATCCCGAGTTAACTCGGGTACATATATATTGCAAGCATTTATTATCCCGAGAAAACTCGGGCATAGCAGAATTCATCAATACGTTCTGTTTTATCACGTTTTTACTCGGCCGGAAGCAAAACAAAAAATAATACTAATCTCCTGTGATTGGAAGTTTGTCCAATATTTGTTTGGGAGTTTTGCTATTTGTGGGACTGAGACGTGTTTTGTACAATTGTATATACAGGGTATAAGCCAGGGTTTGCCAAGTGGGCCCACCTTGAAAAAACCGTCTTGGAATGATGAGTGGGTTTTTTCAACTAAAAAAAAAATTATGCTTTTAATAAAACTTATTGTTGCACATTTAATTTAATATAATTTGTTGTGCTGCATAAATTTTTTAAAGTAGCGTTGCATGATTTATATGATTAAGTTTTTAATGTTTGTAGAGTAAGTGAAACTAGAATTTATAATTTTATAGTACTATTGAAAACTTTAGTAGGATTTTTCAGAAGTAATATTTTAATGAAATTAAGTTAAATAGAAATTTAAATAATATAGTTTGAAAAGATCGATTTTTCAAAATCAATTCAAAAGATCAAATATAGCTGCTTTATATATAAATAAACAAGTTATTATTATTAATTCATATGTTTAAAGAAATTGAAAAGAAACAATTTTTTTTCTTCTAAGTAATACATATCCAATTTAAACAGAACTTTTATAAGAGAACTTTTTAAAATTATTTATCTAAAAATGAAATCATTTATTTGAAAGAAAAAAAATGCAGAAGTAACTGATACTCTTTATAATTATTCATAATTTTAATTTCGCATTCTATTAATCTTATTATAAAAACGTCAAACACCATTGAATATTTATTTCAGTTTTTTATTAAAGTCAAAATTCAGATGAAATTTTAGTTTTTACTGATTATAGTTTTACAATAGATTATATATATATATGTGCGTGTGTTTAATAAATATAGTAAGTAAATGTGTGTGAAAACAAAAAGATTAATTCTTGTTCCTTTTATATTGCTGCATTTATATTTTATAATGCTTGGGTTAAAAATTGTGAAACATTATGTACTTAACAATAAAGATTCAAATATGTATTAGTGATAATGTGTTATTTTAACTTAATATGAAATGCATATAACAAAATTAAAATAACTTTTTGGATTTATTTCTATTTTTGAGCTTATACAACACTTTTTAATAAATAAAAATATTTACACAACAAAACTTATAGTTTATGAACAGTAAATGAAAAAAAGAAACCCACATTTCTCCTGTGTTTTTTCACATGAAACCCAATTTTCCCCAGGTTTTTTCAAATAAAACCTAATTTCCCCCGTGTTTTTTCAATAAAACCCAGGCGGGTTGGGTGTTTTCTAAAATACCCGGGTTTTTACAAACCCTGGTATAAGTGCACCTGGAAAGTCATGAATTTCGGTATTGAACGAAATTTGTCGTGATTTTAACTATTTTTAAAAAAAAATCACGGAGAGTCATAGATTTAGGTCTCGAAAGATTTTATTTTGAAAATGGAGTCCCGCCCTCTCAATTTCATGGTGTTCCGAATATCTGAATTCCTAATAAAATCCTCACTCAGTCATATTTGTTTTTATCATGTTCTTTAAAAATTATAGCGTTCTAGAGTGAAGTATCTTTTAAACTTCTGTGATTTCAGAATTATTATTGTTTATTTTTTTTACTTTAGCAATTTAAAATTCTACCTGAAGCAAGCCAGTCATTGGCAAATTTTTTTTATTCGGAAATGAGAACAGAAAAATCAGGAGTATTTCTTTCCTTTCTGATGAACAAGAAAAGTATCTTTAGAATATAATTCTGCAAAAAAAAAACAATTTACTCAGCTATTGTTTTTTCAGCTATTTTATTGTTTCAACTCTTTCTTTAAATTTTTTCTCTTAAAATTAAACGTTTGACGTTTCTTTTAAATTTAAAATCAATAAATATAAAGATGCAGAATATAACAGTTTTGGTTATACCTATCATTTTATTTAATGTTAATATAATGCATTTTAAATTTATTATTCTGCTTTTGTCAGAAGTCATGAAAAGTTCTTGGAATAAGTCATGAATTTGAAAATCTAAAATGTAGCAGGTACCCTGTATATACAATGGTTAAGGGATTTACATAGAAAAAAGAGTTAAAAAAATGGCATTCGCGAGCGAAAATGAAAGTAATGCAGATGATTTTTCAGATTATGAAGATGTGAACATATACAAAGACTAATATTCAACTTTTTTCATTTGCCCGAGATAATTTGGGATAGTAAACTGATGGTAAATTAAATATATTTTACGGATAAAAATGTGATAAATGTTGATTAACAAATATGTTAAATTGTTAAAAGATATGTTGATTTTTTGCATTTTTTTCTTCTAAAAAATTGGTAAAGGAAGCAGTTAACTATGTAAGAGAATGTAGTTTTCATAAAAAATATTGTCCCTATTTGTTCTAATATTCTTGATTTTTATGTGTTTTCAGAACGTTTTTGACGAATGTATATTAAAACTAATGGTCCAATTTTCACTTTTTTTTTTAAATGTTTTGATCCCCTTGAAATAATTTGGAAGCAGTGTTTCAATTTTTTATACTTTCTAACTTTTTGCCTCAATCTCTTGTGCCAATCCTTATTGTTTAAGGTCAAAAACTAATGTTGTTGTATTTATAGATCAGTACCACAATCTTATTCACTAATTTCCTATGTGAGTTCAGAAACGACTGCAGAACTTAACAATTTTGCTATTACGTTTTATTTTATAAATTTGAATTTGCCTCTTTTTTTGTGATTTTTTTTAGTTTTATTTCTATTGTAGGATTTAATTACTAATGTTAAGAAGCCATCCGCGTATAAAAATGATTGAAGTATCTTATGTATTTTACCCTATTGGATGTTTCTTGATAAACAAAATCTCCTATCATGAAATTTTAGAAGGATGAGTTAAAGGCCATATGTTTCACCATTGAGGAAATCAAAAATATTGTATGATTAATTGCTTCAAAAATTTAAATTGATCTCTTCGTACTGTTTATTTAAAATGATTTTAATCATCTCAACAATTCATTAATCAGAAGAATTTTATTCTTAAACATTCATAGATTGATCTGTTTACTGCATTTGAAACTAGAAATGCTTAATTAAAAATATTAGGTTCTGGTTAAAAAATATTAAGCAATATACAAAAAAAAATTTTTTTCTTAAAAAAGTTATTTACAATAATAATTCTTTTAAATCATAATTTTAATTTGGGATATATTTCTGAAATTTTATGTTATTGGGAAAAAATCTATTTTTTTAAAACTGTTGTGGCATATACATAAGATTTATTTGTAGTTCTAAAATTCACGAAGTTTGCACTCACTGAACTCTCCACTAGCTGTACAAAGTATTATAAGGCATCTTTTTAAGAGTTTTCACTTCAATTATTTTATGAAGGGGGAAAAACACTTAATATTTTCTTAATTATATAATTGATTAAAAGTATGAATTGAAGCACTTTTCCCTTGTATAAGTATACTATTAACAAATGCAGTTACAAATCTTGTATGATATAGATTTATGATTTTGAGATCTAATCAATCTCTCCATTATTTTATTTAAAGATAATTGAAATGATTTATAATAAATAAATAATTAAAGATAAATAAATGAGCACAAATTTGTCAAAGTGATTCATTGATAGACTTATTTTGACTCTTTACTTGTATGGCCTGTGGCAGAATTTTTTCAAGCTTTCTGCGACAACCTCCCCCACCATTAATATTTTTTTAAGATACTTTTAATTATAACAATTACTAATTCAAAATAACATTGTGTTTACAGAAGAAAGTATGGAATAAAACATATAAAAAATTAAATTGTAAGAGTAATATTATTTTAATTCTAATATTAATAGGTGCTTTCTCGAACTAATGAACTAATTATTTCCTCTTTCAAATTTTGTAAATTATTAGAAAAATTAAAAATTCAAATTCATAAATAAATTAAATGATAATAAATTAAAATTTGTACATAAATTAAAAATCGTAAAATCTGTGCAGTAACTCCAGAATAAAGATCAGTGTCAAAATCACACAAATAAGACTTTTTAAAAAAGAGATACTCGAGTAAGGGGAAAAAAAAAGGAAAGAGAACTCTGTAAAGGAAAAAAAAAATGAAAGTAAGATCATAATTTCTAGTGCGAACTATCTTTTAAACTTTTGCAATTTCTAAATTTTTATTTTATATTATTAATTTGTAATTCTGGCTGAAGCCAGGCATTACGGAGTGAGAACAGAAAATGAGAATAGAAAAATCATGATTTTTCTTTCCTCTTCTCTGATACACAAGAAATAAATCTTTGAAAAAAATTCTGCGGAAAAAGAAATTTGAAAAATTATGCAGAGAGGAAAATGATTTATGTCTTTAATGATCTAAGAATAGATCTAATGTCGTTAATTTTTAATAATAATGCTAGTTAATATCGCAAAATTTGATTGTTCAAACCTAGGAGACTTCCGTCTTGTTATAAAAAAGCTCAAAAATTTTATAATATCGAATCTTTATAGCGATGAATTTAAAAGTCATACTCTTATTTATTGTTTTCGGCAAACGTGGTACCAAATTTTGTAGTTTCAAATTTGTTCTATCTTGATTTTTTAATTACTTGTCTAATTGTGTAGAGTCTCTGATTTGCTAGAAATATGAACTGTTTTTAATTGTATAATAAAAAAATAAATCAATTGCATTTCTTTAATTCAGGAATTATGTAACGTTTGGAAGGTAGGCTCACTCGATCCTGTTTATCAGGCGACAGCAAAAGTTATTTCGTCCACCTTTTCCTAATTTGAATTTTGCACAGTTACATATGCAACATAAATGAATTACTTCTATAAAACTTTGTTGCTGTTTTATTTTTTATTGAACTTTGATTTCAGTAAAAATTCCCTGTCTCACAGTTAAATAAAAATCAAGCTATTGATTTAATCACAGCAAAAGAAAGTAACCTTAGTTTTCCTTTTTACTAAACATTGTATCTGAAAAAATATACATTTTAACAGTTGTTTATTCATTTTGTTTAGATTCAGAAGCTGCTTATGGAGCTTTATTATGCAATTCTTGCTGTTAAAAGTGTTCAAATAGTTGAAGAGTTCTACAGGTCTATTATGTTAGACATAGTAAATGCTCAAGACATCTTATTCAGTGACCTTTCTGTAAATAATCAAAAGGCTAAACAAGAAGAAATCTCATTATTACTTAGTGTGTGTGCTTTAGTTGAAATAGGCAACGTTAAACATTCATTGATTCGAGTAAGTATATTATTTAAAGGGAAGTTAAAATTTTTTGCTTGTTTATGATTTTTACCCAAATTTCAATTTTTGCATCATTTTTATCAAATTTCCACTATTATATAATCTGAGAATTTGTGTGTCACTGAAACAAAGTTTTGCAACTCCATCATTTTATAAAAAAAAAAAAAAAAATGTATTGCATTAAAGTAAAAATAATACTGCCTGAAATATCACACACTCAGTATCAGTACATGCAAAATTGAGACTAGAGTGCATCATAAAGCAATTGAAAATTCATATAGCATTATATCAAAAGAGTAATCAAAACTTTAAAACAATGTGGTAATTCATTTGCAATAAATGATGAAAATACGATCGCCAAAACTATGCGCACAATGAAATTTTCGCAAATCAAGTGCGGGATTCAAACTTTTTATATAAAACAACATAGAATGGAAATAAAAAAAAAAACCAAGACAATAACTAACGAAAATGCAATTTTTCATACTGCATAGGTTTATGGGTGAATCATTAATAATTGAGTGCATATAAAAGTGATTTAGATTTTGAAATTTCCCGTGCAAAACTATTATATAGCCTCCAGAAGTCAAAACATGAGATATGCGCTTTTTAAACTGGTTTGTAGGATTTGCTAATTTATCTGCAGAATTATTTTAGGTTAAACTATGTCTTCGAAAATAGGATTATTCTTATGAAGAAATTAAGAGAGTATATTTAAGTTGTTGTTGTTTTAAGCGATGCAAATTTTTGTGAAGAGCAATACTCCTTTCTTTTTTTCTTCTTTTTTTGTGGGTGCTCTTTTTCAGGGGGTTATAGTTTCCTTTTTAGGGTCAAGAATGAAATCCGTTATCTTATAATATGAATGAGTCTGTTATTTTTATTATTTTACTCTGATTATGTATTTTAAATTATTTATTTAATAAAATTCATTATTAAATATCATTTGCACGACAGAGGGAAATATCAGGGACGGACACACAGGAATTGCATTAGAATCATGTCATGCTTTCATATCAAAATCTTGCCCTCATATAATTACAGTTTTATATTACATGTATGTTTAATGAAAAAAAGATTTATTAGGTTTTAATGACTGTTTCAGATGTTTGCATTAAAGCCAAGTTTTTTTGAATTAATGACTAACCACCTGAACCCTACTCAGCAGGAGCTAAGCAAAAGATTTCCCGAACTACAATGTGCAATTTTGTACATTCTGTATTCTCATTGCAGAAGGTAAAAAACGTGTTTTTAAATTATCTTGTTTCCATTCAACTTTTTTATAACCTAGTTTTGCTGCCCAAATTCCTGATAAATTTTTCAGAAAGAAATTTGAAACTTTTTTTTAAATAAGAAGGGAAACTCTCTTTTCATCTGCAAAATTCAACCTAAAAAATGTAAGTTTTTTCAGGGTTTTTATTTGAACTCTAATATTAATAAGGAATTGCAGGGCTGATTGTGCTCCGAAAAAAAACCGGATTTCCAGAATTTTCACTAACAGTGATCCGGAAATTTCCGGAGATCGAAGGTATAGACGTTTAACAAAATCATTGATCACAGAAGTTTACGGAAATAAAATTTTCAAAGGTGGAACTTAAAAACGCAGTTTATTTTATTTGTTTGTAAGGGAGAGCCAGAGAGATACTTTATAAGCTCATATTCATGATTAATTTTCATTTTTTATCAGTAAATAGTTGTTATAATCATAAACTCAAGAAAGAAAGATATATTTGTAAATTTTAATTACTTCTTTAGGTATGTGTGAATGGTATAGGTATGCGTAAAATTTTAAATATTTGTAAGTGAACTAAAAAATATTGAGAAAAAGGAAAAAAAACCTTGTTAAAATTTTTTTCTAATTTTTCAATTAAGCTGTTCTTTTTTTTTTTTTTTTAAACTTTTTAACTCAATGAATTTTCCAGAATTTTGACTTGGGCTCACAATCACCCCTGGAATTGAAATGTAATTTTATTATTTGTTGTTTACAAAGCATCTAATAATATTTTAGACATTTAATGAGTAAACAATATGATAACTATGTATAATACTTCTGTCAAACTTAATAATTCTGAAAAAGAAATAGACTATTGACATTTTTCCTGAGAAAATTGGTTTAAAAATCAATAGTCCTTATTAATTTCCAACAATTAAATTCCACAAAAAAAAGCTCTAATTTAGATTTGTATTGGTTGTTATAATTTGATTTTTGTAAAAAATTGCTTTTAAATATTAAAACATCATTTTAAATAAAATTATTGCTAATGATTAACATTTTATTATAAATAACAATCAAGATGTTACTAAATATTAAAATTGTAATAAAATAAATAGTATTGTTACATGTGATTTTGAAAATTCATTTACGAGTATTCCACACAATAATTTAAAGAATACCTGTTAAGAAATTTTTGATAAATCTTTGATTAATGAAGATATTAGGGAAGAGTGGCTTAATTTATGTAATGTAAACATTTTTGAAAATTATCTATTTAATGGTATATGTTTTTACATACAAATTCAAGATATCTGAATGGAAAATTGTTATTTAAGTGCATTCACTAATATTTTCTTACGAACATAAATTTTTAATTGGGTTTAGATTTATTGATCATTTAACTATTTTTGATTGTAATGATTTTGATTTAATTAGATATTTATCCTGAAGAACTGACTTTAATAAAGACTAATTCATATGTTAAAGGTACTAGTTTTTTACTTCTTGAAATTTATTTTCATAACTAAAAACTTTTTGTCAGATTATACGATTAAAAGAAGAGAATTTTTTAATGTTATTAGTTTAACACATTTTTATTCCAACTTGTACTTAAAAATTTTTAAGAATATTTATATTGATCCAATTCTTAGGTTTAAATTTATTTGTAATATTAAAACAGATTTTCTTTCAGCTATTAAGATTTTCACAATTACCTTAGAGAATAATAATTTTCCTTTTAATTATTGTATTTATAACTTTATAATTCAGTGTATTTTAAAGAAGTTCAACTATTTCAGTCTTTATTGAAGTCTGCATAAATTTAGGATTTTTTGTTCCTGATGAATATAGATGGCAGTTCTTTATTGGAGTTTTCAGTCATTGAAAATTTTTGCTCTCCTTTTGCAAGTTTTTCGAAGCGCAAGTGTCTGGTGGTCAAGGACTAAATTGAGCTCTGCAAGGTCTAATCTTAATAGACTACAAAGAATGGTCTGTATAGCCCTGTCAGGCTGTCTTAGGACCACTCCCACAGCTGCACTTGAGAGCTTACTGGAGCTTCTTCCTTTAAACTTACGCTTTGAAGTTGAAGCTCAGACAGGCATAAAGCGTCTTATGTTCCTTAGCCTATGGAAAGAGTATTCCAAACACTTGTCATGGGATCATCTTGTCTCAAAAGAGATGGATATACCCTCTTTTATTGTGCCTATTGACTATATGTCACTAAGATATGCTTTTCACAAGCCTTTCAAGTTCCATTTTCCTACTAGAGATGAATGGTTTAATTCTCCTCGGTGGCTTAAAGGCAAATGCATACCCTCCAACTTTGCCCACCTAGCCATCAGTAGCACTCGCACAACACACATTTACGGCATCCCGCAATATTTGCGATGCTCATATTGATACTTAATTATATTCACTTATAATTTCAAAAAGCAGATGATAAATATAAGAAAATAGATTTTGAAACAAGCATAAAATGTTATTTCACATTGAGAATTTTTAAAAAAAATTAAAATGTCATAGACTTTTAAAAAATCATTTTATTTAGATAGTACAATTTTAATTCACATACAGGAAGGTACACTTTTCTAAGGATATAAAATCATTAAATTGCAACTGAAAGTTAAAGTTTTATTGTACATTTATACAAATTTCAAAGAAAAATAATATAACATCTCAGTAAAATGCAAAAAGTGAACTCTCCACAACTTTTTCTCTACATTCATTCAATTGTTACCAAAAAAATATTTACTTATTTTATTTAGGAAGGTCAGATTCTAAGATGTTTCCTATTAAATATTTTTTACACCAAATTTTAAAGCAATTAAATCAAGAAAACAATTTAATACCAATTTAATGAAAGAAAAATGGATCATATAAATGAGTTTCTTTCTAATAAAACTTTCAGAATTAGAAAACAATATTTAAAAACTTATATCATCTAAAGCTTACACATTAAAATTTATTCTTTAAGAGGAATGAATTTGTATAGACATTAACCAATAGCTAAATTGTTTCAAATCTTTGAATTATCTATTATAAAGGAGTAAAAGCATTAATTAAGAAATCTAATCTATTAGCAAATCTGATTTTAATTAAAAATACCCTTAAATACAGAAACACAGTATCTAAACCGCCCTATGCTTTTTCAGTGATGAATAACAAGCATTTTTTGCTCTTTTTAACTCATCCTCATTAAATTTTGCATTGTAACAAACTCCCATGCTTAATTTAGTGATTAGAATCGATTCTAATTTTTTGGTACTCAGACTCGAGCGATTATAAGTTTTATTTTTACGAATCATGCTAAAAATTCTCTCAGATCCAGCATTACTATGGGGAATTGACAGAATTGAAAGCATTATTTTTGGCAAAGCCACATATCTCTTTATTCCATTGTTATCCTTTAACTGGCTAATTTTATGCCATGCCTCATCTACTCTGGTATGATTTAAAATTTCAGAAGGAAAATTGTCTGCCTGATAAAAGGCAAATTCTAACTCAAGTTGATCAATGTCAATACCACAATTAAACAAATCATAAAAAAACTTAAGAGATGCAAAATTTGCATTCTGCCTCTTCAAAATGTTTGCCACGGAAGCATGCTTAAGAAAATCGTTCTCTAAAGGAAACTTTTTGAGAATATATTCACATGCAGTGACAAAAAGCTTTTGCACCGCCAAAAAGAACTCAGTTATATCTTCTGGTATCAGATCACTCAAAATAGATCTAGCACTTGATCCTATTATAAGAGACTCGTCAGGTTTTTGATATTTAGGTTTCTGAAATTTCACTTGTAACAGAGAAGACTTGGATTTGCTTATGGTAGAAGGCGAAGCAAATCGTACAAGAAGTTCATAATATAAGCTCATTAAATCATCATACAAAGTATGGATAGAAGGTTGCTCTTTTTGCAGGGCAACATTTACCTTGGTGAATACAGGCAATATTGATGTAACAAAAGCACAATATACCTTTGTTTTGTTTGATTTAAGTAACTCTTTTATTTTTTCTGAGCTAGCGTTCTCTTTAACATCAGACTGTGAAGAAAAAAATTAGCAATGGGTCCACTGCTCAACTAGTCTCTTTAGAGAATTTTCTAAACTTAACCACCGAGTTGAAACATGTTTTAAAATCTTGTGAAGTTTCACATCACATTCTATCTGACAGTTTTTAAATTCATACTTTCTTTTACTACTCTTTTCAAGGTAGTAAAAAACTTTTATCACCAAATTCTCCACATCAACGGGCAATGATGCTGTAGCTTTTTGAGCTGCTAGATGAACCAAATGACAAGGGCATCCAATGAATTTTATATTTGGTTGCTTCTGTTTTATATAGCTCAAAACACCTTTATTACATCCAGTCATTGTGTTAGCATTATCAGAACTGAATGCTATGCAACTCTCCCACTTCAGTAGATATTTTTTAAACTCTCCATCAAGAAGTTGAAAAATTCCCTCACCAGTGTTGTTAGTTGATTCAGATAAAGAAACCAGTGATGATACGATTTGTTTTTTTTCTTCATAATAATTAAAAATTAAAGGATATAGCTTTTTATCTAATGTCATTGCTTCCGTCAGTTAAAAGAGAAAATAATGATCTGAACTTACTTAGAGTACTCTCTCTTATCCCCTCAGCAGTGGAAACTGTTATTGCCTGGGTCTTGGTATGTCCACACCCATACTTTTTTGCAATGTCGGAATCTGGGAAATTTTTTTTAAATAAGGCGCATAATCACGTGGTTTCTCCCGACCAAGACTAACAACTCATGACGTCATTTTCAGCAATACGCAATCAGTGACGTCACCACGCTTAAAAGACGACAACAGCAGAAGCGGATAGATCAGACAGGCGCTTTCGTTTAATCCGTAGTATTTTACTATTCACCCGTAGCTCCGTAGTTTACCTCCAATTTCCGTAGCAACTACGGAAATTCCGTAGCAGTTGGAGGGTATGCAAATGTCTAATATGGTACTCTGATGGTTCAAAGATTGGTCCCAAATCAGGAGCAGGAATTTATTGCTCCAATGATGGTACCAAACTTCACTTTCCCTTGGGATACTATGCAACTGTTTTTCAGGCTATGCTATTATCTTGTGCTGCAAGATATGCTTAGACAGGGGATATCATAATACCACTATCCGCATCTGTTCTGGCAGTCAGGCTGCTCTCCTATTACTGTCAAAGTGTAAATTCACCTCTTTGTAAATTCACCTCTTGTGTGGGAATGCTTCTCAGTCATCTGACCTATCTACTCATAACAGAGTATCCCTGCAAAGACCTCTGGTCTATGTGCCCTGCTCACCTCTAAGTCTAAGTATTTCGAAAGGAGTCGGCACTAAAATTTTTAAAGATTTATATTTTATTTTGGTTTGGTTATTCCAAATGTAACTTTGTCTAAATTTGCATTTCCTATATGTAGACATGTTATTATTAGTATTTTCTCTAAACCTTTGAATTGTGTTTTTTTTATTTTTTTTTTATGTCTCATTAAATTTTGATTTCCGTATTTGATTTCTTATTTTAGTTTATCTATTATGCACTGTCAGTTTCTGATTTAACCACTAACTACAGACAGACCTGTTTTTGCTTGCTAACTTTTCTAACTTTTTATTTACATTATATACTTAGGTAGGTATTTATGTGTGTAAGACATCTGAAAAATAATCTTAATTTTGTTTTGTAGACATTCTCATTTTGTGAATAGTAGTGCAGTGGTGAACCCTAATGCTGCTGTCTCAGGATCTCCAATGTCCACTTCTGGTCATAACTCTCCTATAATGACTGATGTACCTCCTCCCTCTCCCACCACTGGAAATTTAGAAAAAGTTATTCAAGTATTAGTCGATTTGCTGGAGGGAACATATCATTGTAGTGACAGCAGGTAAGAGACCTCATCGAATGTGCCAAAAAATACTTGATTCGACATTTCGCGTTATATCGTTTTTAAAAAAACGACTTTCAATCGTAAATGTGATCGACAGAACTACATATAGGGTATCTGCACACCTGGAAAGTCATGATTTTTGGTATTGAGCAAAATTTTGCCGTTATTTTAACTATTTAAAAAATCATGGATTTAGGTTGCCGAAAAATCTAATTTGTGAAATGGAATTTAACACAATTTCGTGGAATTCCGAACATCTGAATTTGTAACAAAATCCCCACTCACAGTTATATTTTATTTAAATATAAAATGTTTTTGTCATGTTCTTTAAAAATTATGGTGTTCTTTCAAGAAATGAAAGAAAAAACATCATTTCTAGAGCGAATTATCTTTTAACTTGTGTGATTTCAGAATTTTTATTATTATTTTTTATATATCAATTTCTAATTCTATCTGAAGCAAGCCAGTCATTGACGAATTTTTTTAAATTCCGAAATGAGAACAGAAAAATTAGGAGTATTTCTTTCCTTTCCGATGAACGAGAAAAGTATCTTTAGAATATAATTCTGCAGAAATTGTTTTTTTTTGCATTTGTATTTTTTTCAGCTATTTTATTCAGCTATTTTAGTGATTTAAAAAACAGAGTAAAGACAGACTTGAAGGTCTTTCTTTACTCCTGTTTTTTAAATTTAAAATCATAAATATGAAGATGTAGAGTATAACAAATTTGGTTATACCTATCATTTCAATGAATGTTGTTACAATGCTTTTTTAAATTTAGTGTTGTGTTTTTGTTGAAGAAAATAATACTTCGTTAAGTAAGGAAAGATTCTTGGAATTAGTCTGAATTTGAAAATCGAAAATGTAGCAGATACCCTGTATACGCCCTAAGAAATGTATTTATAAGTGCAATATAGGCCACAATTATCAAAGAGATAATTTTCTAGTATAGTTTTTGGGGAAAAGATTTTCATACAGACAATAAGTTGTTTCGCTTTATTGTGCTATTATCTAGTGAACATTTCTATAACTTGATTAGTATTAGTATGCAGAAATAATTCGAAGCAACAGTTTAATTTTGGAAAAAAATGTGGTACTCTCCTCCCTCTTATCGAAAAGAACCTTTTTTAAACAAGCAAAAATTAGTTTTGGCTGATCTTGTCCATTTTGTTCTCTTTAATTTCTTAAAATAAATTTTTTTTTTTTAGAAAATCAAATGATTTAATTTGTAGGATTTATTCTTTGACTTCTTTACATAAGTAGAATTTACTTTTCATTTTATTTCGTTACCTATAATCATTAAAGCAGTAGTTTTATTATTTTGTTTTTACTGATGATTAAACATTACTTATTTCTTTATAATTTTATTACTAATCGTTATTCTAAGTTGATAAATTTAATCAAAATTTTTTATTTTATTTATTATTCTTTTATAACTCATAGATTTTAAACTTTTCGTCAGTCGCATGCCTGTATAAAGGATGGCACATAATACTCTGCAATTTTAATACTTCAACACCCCTGTATCTGACGCAGTTATTTCTTGTCATGCTATGTTAGGCATGTTCAAAGAAAAACTTTTTTCTCTCTCCACAATTTGGTTAGTTATTTGCTCGTTAGTCAGTTTATTGGCTAGTTATTTTATGAGAGAAAAGAAATCCAATGTGAAAACCATCAAAATGTTTGAAAGTTGTCCGTGAAAATTTTAAAAGAATTATCTAAAAAATTATTTAAAGAATATATATAGGTTTTTTTTTCTTCTTTAATTTGCATCTAAATGGTCTTCACTAAAAATTATTTAAATAATAAAATTGCAAATATAAATAAGTTTAAAAGGGGCTGGGGACATTGCCATTTGTTACATTTATGCACTTTTTTTTGTGTGTTTTATTCTGTAACGTGATACTTAAAAAAAATAATGCTTGCCAATTTTATAAGTTACTCTGTAATTTTTTCAAATAATTCAAAAAAGTAGGCAGCAAAAAAAATTTTTTTTGGTGCTTCAATGTTATTCTAAGTTTACAAAAGAGAATTCATAATAAAGGAATCTATACAAAGGTGACTAAATTCTCTATTTTTGTGTCATTTTTCTCCACACACTATATATTTAAATGTGACAACTTTTCTTTAAGATTACTTGCTGCAAGGTGGACCTTGGAAATCTTAGATAATGTTCAACAACACCTTTCGCGCCTAGTTCAAAGTGATCCATTTGACAGCTTAATAAGAGCCACTTTAAATGCAGGTATTCACTACTGACTTATCTCAAATGATTTTATTACAATGATTCACGAGCATGCATTCTTAGTGTATTGCAGTATATTTTATTGAAATTTTATCAATGTATTTAATAAAATAACATTTAATTTATAATTTTGGATGTTATAAAAGGTTTCAAGTTACAGTCTATTAAAAAATTGCTTTTTTTTCATAATCATTTATTTATTATTGTTTAAAATATTCATTGAAGAAACACATTTTTCTTATAGCTTTCACAAGTTCTGTTGCTTTGTGCAAAGTGTGTTGTAGAAGTCTTCACATGTGTCTTAAAAATGCGGCTTCTCTACTTCCTGATTCTATACTTCAAAAGTAAATTTCATTTGTATACATTGTTCAATATTAGTAACAAAATAGAAAAACAGACGTAACAAACAAAACAAAATAGAGTCAATAGAACAAAAAGTTCAAAAGTGGAAAGAATTTTTATGTATACGTGTACATGTATACATAAAATAATGTAAACATAATATGTATATGTAACATAATACATGTATGTACACATAATATGTATACATAATACATGTATACATAAAATAAGCATACCTGATATACATCTAAGTAGTATATCACGGTGACCACCCACCTGAAATTTATCAGGAAAATTTGGAAAATTGATAGGATATGCAGGGGTCTGTCCAGACATTTTGTGAAAGGTCCGTTTTTGTAAAATTGTGAAAAAATTACTCGTAATTTGTGAGTATAAAATAAACATTAAGTCGCATTCTTTGAACCAGGGCCCGCTTTTGTGAATTTGTGCAAATAGGGTCCGTTATTGCAAAAAAACATTTTCAAGAAGTTTTTAAATTGTTAAGACATACAAGATTATGCTCAACACTGTAAAATTATAATTAAAACAATTAAATTTTAAAAAATAAACAGCAATTTAAGCTGCTAAATTAGCGATGCAACAAACAAATATTTGGTATTTAGCCTATATTGCTGAACACAGAATATTCATTTCGGAGGAATAAAGGAAGAAGCTTCTACCAAAGACAAAATTTAGTTCTTTTGCATCTGTCTTTCTCCCTCCCCCCCTTCCTGGGAAGGGTTTATTCGATTAACAAAACAATAATGAAGATAAATAAATTTGTGAAGGGTCCGATTAAAAGATAAGTTATTTTGTGAAGTATTTGTGTAAGTTATTTTGTTAACGGACCCAAAATTCTTCTAAACAGACCCCTGATTGCAAAAAACTTTTTCAATGAGTTTTTAAAATGTAAAGAGATACAAGATTGTGCTCAACACTGTAAAATTATAATAAAAAAAAAATTAAATTTTTAAAGATAAACAGCAATTCCTGCTACTAAATTAGAGATGCAACATACAAATATCTGGTATTTTACCTATACTTCTGAAAGCAGAATATTCATTTCAGACGAATAAAGGAAGAAGCGTCTGCTGAAGACAAAACTTCATTTATTTACATCTGACTTTCTTTCCATCCACTCCCCTGGGAAGGGTTTATTTGATTAACAAAACAATAATGAAGGTAAAAAAATTTGTGTAGAGTCCGATTAAAAGAAATTATTTTGTGAAGGGTCCGTTTTTAAGTTAAAATATTTTCTAAACAGACTCCTGATATGGGTTATTAATAATTGATATTGAATTTTTGTGATTATAAACTTATGTATTATGAGAGAGTTTTTCTAAGAAATTTATGTTCATTTTTTACCATGGAATTGAACTGTTGTAATAACAAAAACAATTAACTAATCTAAACTAAAAATAAAACCATGTTTAAATTAGAATAACATTATAATGTAATTTTATTTTAATATAATATTGTAGAAGACAGTTGACTAATTTAAACTAAAAAAAAAGTGGTTAGATTGGAATAATATTTTTATATAAATAAGGTAAAAAAGTATTAAGAGTTTAAAGAATTTCATCTAGCTTTTTTCTATAGAATTAGGCAACAAGAAATTTGACAATTTTGCATTTGTGGCATTAATTTTTTAACACTGAATATCTCTTAAAATAATAATGTTAATTTAAAACATTTGACTTTAGATATTGGTTAAAAGAAAACATGATCAGTGAATTTTATTAAGAGCACTGTTTGGATTAAATACAGTATAAACTGGCTTTTTATTGAAATGTTAATAAATATAAAAATGTATTGATGTCTAATTGCCTGGATTTATTCTCTTTTGCTCAATGGAAAGATATTAAACACTTATCTAGGGTTTTTTGGATCACTCTGTATTTGCCATTTGGTACACATTGTACAAAAACTACTTAAAGTAACACATTGAAATACTTTTATTCAATAAAAAAATGTATATATATTCTACAAACTAAACATATTTTCTTCACATATATCTTAATTTTTAAAAAATTAATGTTGTACCAAAACATTAAAAATTTAAAAAATAAAATTTTGCTATGTCGTTAAAATAAATTAGTGCAATCAGGGGCCGTTAACGGACCCTGCATAGAATATTTTTTTTTTTATAAAAACGGACCCTTCACAAAATAATTTAATTGGACCCTTCACAAATTTGTTTACCTTCCTTATTGTTTTGTCAATCGAATAAACCCTTCCCTGGAAGGGGGGAAAGAAGACAAAAGTAAACGAACAAAGTTTTGTCTTCGGCAGATGCTTCTTCCTTTATTCGTATGAAATGAATATTCTGCGTTCAGCAGTATAGGCTAAATACCAAATATTTGTATGTTGCATCTCTAACTTAGCAGCAGCAATTGCTGTTTATTTTTTAAAATTTAATTTTTTTAATTATAATTTTACTGTGTTGAGCATAATCTTCTATGTCTTTAGAATTTAAAAACTCATTGAAAAAGTTTTTTACAATGACAGGATCCTATTTGCACAAATTCACAAAAGCCGGACCCTGGTTGAAAGAATGTGACTTAACGTTTATTTTATATTCCCAAATTACGAGTAATTTTTTCACAATTTTACAAAAATGGACCTTTCACAAAATGTCTGGACAGACCCCTGATAATTATTTTTCAAGATTATGTATTTGTTTAAAAAAGGGAAAATACTTTATAATATTAATATTTCTTGTACCCATCCTACACTTTGTGGGGAGAAGAAGCCTGCTAATGTGGAAATTTTAAGATTTTTACTTGGAAAAATCAGGGAAATTTGAAACCTGATTGGAGTACCCCTCCCCCCTGAATATTAATGTTACTACAAATGGCTATGAATTACATAATAAAAAGATATATATATATATACAGGGTGGTCCTAAAATATAAAATACGAGAAGCATAATTACTTACACGAAATTTCCTTCAAATCTTTCACTCCTCATCAAAATAGTGTTAGCTATAATAGCTGCTTTTGCCTGCAAAGGATGCCTAATTATTAATCATAATGGATCTTTAACTATTAGTCGATCAATAACTATTTGAATTATTGACTCACCATTTTAGCTTGTTAAATAAAAATATTTTACTGCATTGTTTTAATAATTGTAAAGCAAATATTTGTCTAAATCATCACAAAATTTTTTTTTAAACACATTAAACTTTTAGATAATTTTTAATGATGAAATTTTAAATGCTTCGTTTAAATCTTTTGTTGGGTTTAAATTTTTTAATTTAAATTACACAACAATAGAAATTGCTTTGTCTTCTATCCTATATGAAATATTATATTTTTGATGAATATGTTTTAAAAATGTGATAAGTAAAAATTATCATACTTTTAAATCAGCAATCCAAAATCTTTCTATAAAATTAAACAATAAATCCAAACAAATTCTCTTCAAAGAAAAATATTTATTTTGAATTATACATGTCATATTTTACAGGGTTTCCGTGCACCTGGAAAGTCATAAATTTTGGTAATGAGCAAAATTTTGTCATGAAATGTCATGATTTTAACTTTTTTTAAAAAATAATCATGGAAAGCCATGGATTTAGATCGCTGAAAAATTTTATTTTTAAAATGGAACTACCCCTTTCAATTTTTTGGTGTTCTGAATGTCTGAATTTGTAACAAAATCCCCACTCACAGTCATATTTTAACACAATATAAAATGTTTTTATCATGTTCTTTAAAAATTATGGTGTTATTTTAAAAAATGAAAAAAGAATCTTTCTAGAGCAAATTATCTTTTAAACTTCTGTGATTTCAGAATTATTATAATTATTTATTTATTTTCTTATTTTCTCAATTCAAAATTCTAGCTGAAGCAAGCCAATCATTGGCGAATTTTTTTTAATTCGGAAATGAGAACAGAGAAATCACAAGTATTTATTTTCTTTCGGATGATCAAAAAAGTATCTGTAGAATATAATTCTGCAGAAAAAAAAATTTAATTAATTGCTTTTGCATTTTTTTCAGCTATTTTATTGCTTCAACTCTTTCTTTACTCTAATTTTTTAATTTGAAATCTATAAACATGAAGATGCTGAGTATAACAGTTTTGGTTATACACCTATCATTTCAATGAATGTTATTATAATGCTTTTCTAAATTTATTGTTGTGTTATTGTCGGAGAAAATAGTAAATTCGTTACATTGTGAAAAATTCTTGGAATTAGTCATGAAAAGTCAGGAATTTGAAAATCTAAAATATAGCAGACTCCCTGTATAAACAAAAAAAAATATCACATGAAAAAAACTACGAAACTTAAAAACTGAAGATTAATGCAAGACCATGAGATACCTCTATGATGGAAATACAAGCAATGAGGGGGGGGGGGAAAGCACTTTCCTAATAATTATTTCCCCTTTCCACCCCTTACTTTCAAATAAGGTTTTTCTAAAGACTAGGACAGCATGTGTCTCACCTTCAGTTAAAAGCATTGTTTTTGAGCATCTCTTACATTCCTGATTTATGCCCCCTACATCCAGTTGCTGTCTTCGCGAAGAAGCATCCTTCTGTTGCTGAAAGCGAGAAAAGATGCGGTGGAGGATAATTTACAGTCCTTTTTTTTTATTACTAACATTTAGACCTTTCTAATAGCAGGTGGAAAGAGAAAATTGCAGATTTGGCAAGGTTTAGGACAGAATGGATTAGGGTTTAAACCGTCCTGTCCAATACCCTTTTGTCCAAAACTGTCCAAAACCTATTTACTCAAATTATGTCACAATTTAAAAAAAATATTGTGAAAAATAAAGTGTTAATTTGTGAACAAGAAACAGAATGAAGACATTTGTTTTATTAAAAAAGCTTATTATCATTTTTAATATTGCATTATTCATCCTTATGCAAAAACATAATTTATCAGTATTAAAAGCGTATTTACTCATGTTTAAGGGATAAGGTATTAATTTTTGTTGTTTAATGAATTGGGGAGCTTCAAAAGATATAAATCTTTTCCTATTATATTATATTATTTTCCTTTAAGTGAAAGCAAATCGCATAAAAAGTAACAAATATTTATTAATATATGTAATTATTATGTGTACAATGGTTACACATATAGAATTTTTACCTTTTACCAATGTTCAAGGTTTTGGACACTTTAAGACAGTTTTAGTCAGTTTAGGACAGTAAAACGTAAGTGTCCTGTCCAAAACCAGTTTAGGACATCCAAAACCTCAACCCTGGAAGAACGATGATGTAATTTCAGTTTCAAAAAGCAAAATTATTTTCAATAGAAGAAAGAGTTCAACTACAGTTAGACACACTCGTGCTTTAAACGCTACATACCTGCCAACTTGGAAAACATGCTTTAATTTAGCACTTAATTTTACATTTGAATTTTCTTATTAACTGAGCATTTTGTTCAGACTTATGTTATATATTACGTCTGCAACTTTAATATTATTATTATTTTAAATGTATATATTTATAATGTTTAGGACTTATGAGTTGTGTTTACTGAGAATGAGCAGCTACGATACTGAATTGCAGGAACTGTTTGTTTCACTTTTCTCATTTTTACCTTTGGATATTGTTTTAATGTAAGTATTAGCAAAATATATTTATATAGTGTTCATGTTTTTAATAAGATTCCTGATTATTCAATTCCATCAACTTGTTTAATTCTTATTAAAATTAACTTAACACGTTTTATGCTAACTTTGGTTATCTAACAGGAATGGTTGCATTCTGGGTGTAGCCCAGAATTCCAGGTCTAGGAGCGGTGCCTGGGATTTTTCTGCCAATTTCTCAGAGTTCTGCTTATTTCAAAACCATTGATTTGCGGACTTAAGCAAATCAAAACGTGTAATTCTGCAAAATTATTTGCCTTTCGCAATATAAAAATCAAATTTTGAAACTTTCTCTAATTCACGTTAACGAGACAATTTCATACATGTGATTCTTCCAGCAATTTGATTTTTTTTTGGTTTGTCCGATTTTTGCAGTTTTTAATATTTTTAACTACGCTGGAATCCGCTACTATCGCAATTTATATTCATGGTTCTTCTTGATTTTCGTATTTACCTGGTTTAAAAGTTGTAGACTGTAACTCTTTTTCACACGATTTGAAAATCGCACATTGCGATTCCTATTCACTTGATTTAAAAATCTAATATTGCAATTTGTATTTCTGCATTTCTAAAATTAATATTGTGATTCATAATCACATGTTTTTAAAATCTGATGTTATTTGCGCTCACGCATTTGTAGTATAAAGCATCGTTTTTGGTATTTATGTGATTTGAAAATCCAATATCCTGACTCTTGTGGGAAAAGGTGTTTTTTTTTTCCTTCAAATTAGTTGATATTCTTCATTGATAGGTGTGGTATTCTTCACTGATAGATAATTTAAATATAAATCTTAGCTCAAAAAATTATATTTAACGCGTATAGTATGTAAATTGATATAGTTTCAAAAAGTCTCAGGGTTTTTACATTTTGTGTCACCCATGATCTGTAAAAGTAATTTTCATGATTTATTGAGACATAAGTTGATATTGTTTGTTATATGCACAGCTTTCTTTATTTGTTATGAATCTCAAGCAGCTAAAATTATGGCTATTTTTCATTATTATTAACCTTCAAATACAAATGTTTTTCTTTTTAACATTTAGAGACAATTTTTTATTTATTTAGTTTTTTGTATCTAGGTGTAACTTATTTACTATTAATTTTTTGGGGAAATTCCTTAAGTTTAATTTTAATTGCCAAAAAATTATTAAAAATGCTATAACAGCTGTTCCAATTTAAATCACTTGCTTAGTGGATGCTTTAATCCAGCATTGCATGTATGCTGATACTCTTTAAAATAAAGTTCTAAAATTATGATGCACTCTGTGAAATCTTATACACATTCATTCTGTTTTTTGCAGGCTTATTACTGCTATTTTAGACCACCACAATTATTTTCTTTGTTTTAATTAATACTTGAAGGCAAATATTAACATATTATTTAACTACCTTTCTGATAGACAGAGATGTTTGTGCTCCAGAAAATATACGGATTTCCAGATTTTTCCCTAACAGCGATCCGGAAGTTTCTGGAAATTCAATGTCCATAAGTTTCAAGAAATTATCAGTGACATTTATGTATAGAAATTCTTGTATACTTTATTTAAAAATATTAGAACTGGAATATATGCTTGGCATCTCTTTTAATTGTAAATAATTTTTCTGGTAGAATAATAAATGTGATTAGAGATAAGAGTAACCTTATAAATAATTATTCATTTAAATTATGCTGCGTATAATTTATTTAGAATTTCAGGTTTTGAAAATATCAATAATTTAAATTTATAATGACATGTATTTTTTGAAATGCATCATTAATAATATTACTCAAGAAATTTTCAGGATTTTTGAGTTGGGCTCACAATCACCCCTGGATAGAGCTTGCATATTTTTCAGATATATTAAGGGTACTCAGAGGAAGTGTCTTTTCTTGATTAACTGATTAGTTGGCATGTTTCAATAGCAACTTAGTAAATGAAATTTCAATCAAAATTCAATTCTCAGTATAATGTCTTCTTTTGAATACTTTTATTTTAGATCTTATTATTTTTATTTATATGTGAAATAAAAACCAGAAAAAATTGTTTTGTATTTGTTGACTAAAATAAAATTGTTTTGTATTTTAGGGGCAATTCTGTTAATTTCTCTAAAAATGTTTATTTAAATAACAAGGAGGATGTACCAAAATTTCAAATATCGACTGTTGATGTGTGGAAAGCATTGAGGGGATACATGAATAAGTCTTCTCCAGGAAATTTTCATAGCCATCATTTCAAGGTTATCACTAATTTCATCCTTCAAAGGAAAGAACCCCAGTAAGGAATTATTTCTCTATTTATATTAGAACACCAAGACACTATTAGAACACCAAGACTAAATTTATAATATGTCATACACTTTGTACCCTCAATATTTAATCAGAAATATCCTAATTTTGTGCCTTCTCAAATTTTGATTACTTTTATTTATTTCCCGTAACATGCTTAAAAAAAAAGAATTTTAATCTAATTCATATAAAACAATTTATTTTCAATTAAAAGTAATAGTGTCTTGTATATTTTCTTTTATCATCTATTAAATTGTATAAGAAATATCTTATTTAATCTTTGTAACTTTTATTTTCGCACCAGACTAAGTCAATTTTGTACACATCTTGTGATTTCAGGGAAAACAAGTGGCTCTTACGCCTTTACTTCAGCTGCCCACCTCCCGATCGTCAGAACAGCGTTGATTCTTTAATGACTTCATTAATAAATGTTTCTTCTGCCGTTTTATGGTTTTGGGCCATTTGGGAAGTGGCTCAATTTTGTGTAGTGTCTAAACTTCGTACTCCTCTTGGAAAGCCCCAAGAAACTTTCATGGCCATTGAGGGTAAGCTCTCTTCTTATGCAGAAAGTTTTTATTGATTATCGAAGAGGGGTTCGGTATTTGTTGAAAATAAATTGCAGATAAAACTTATATTGTGTAAAAATAACTTTATCCAAATAACATTTTTAGTAAAAGAATAAATTTTGATTAATGAGGAATAAGGGAAAATTATAATATCTCTAACTAGACTTAAAAGAAAGATTAAACAATTCCAATAGCTCTATTACGTAAAATAATTTGCTTGTATCAGTTATTAAATAAAAGTACTCTTTTAACCAAGTGCTGTTTTTTAAGGCTTTCAAAAGTAACCAAATTCCGTATTAATATATATTTTTTAAAACTTACACAAAAAATGTAAACAATTATTAATTGCGTTTTTGATTATTGGGTAATTTTAATTAATGTTTGTCTTTTTAATAATTATCTTTACAATGAAAAATATATTTTTATTCAAATTGATGGAATACCACAAGGATCTAATTTTTCATCTCTCTTAGCTAACTTATTTTTGCATTATTATGAAAAAAATTGTATTCTTAATATTAAATTTGTTTTCAAATTTATTAATGATTTAATTATCTTTAATTTCCAAGTTTATACTATTTTATTAAATAATATTTTCCCAGAGGAATTAATTTTGCTTCGTAATCACGATGATAATATTAATTTTAAGTTTATGAGTTTTATAAAAGAAGAAAATATCTGCTTTGTTGATTTATACAATAAAAGAAATGATTTTGATTTTAATATAAATAAACTTATTACTTAGAATTCTGATGTTTCTAAAAACATCTATTCAAATATCATTTTTAATCAAATGAATAGAATTAAAATAATATGTAGTAATGTTTATTTATCCAAAAAACAAATAGACAAAAATTTTCAAAATTTGATAAAAGCAATAGATACCCAACTAAAGTGATTAAATTTTATATAAAATCCTGGAGTTAATTGTATGTTATTATAAATAAATTTACTAAGAACTTTTTTGTTGAATTATATATTTTTACCTTGCGGAAATCCATTTAGGGCAAATCCGTGGCTCAAATTCTATGTAGAAAACGGGCAGTTCATGTTTCTTTCTCTCTCATCTTTCTTAAATAAATGTTAATATTCTAAAATCATTAAAATTGTATAATTAAATGTCAACATTATTACTTATAAGTTTCTTTAAATTATCCACTATAATATTATTACCTTGTGTGCATCCATTTTCAGGCCTTGGTAACTAACAAATCAAACGTGTTTCAGTACTGCAGTAAGAACGCACTATAAAACAAAATCCTCCTATACACTCTTTTAGCTCAATTTCTTCTTCTGTTTTCATATTTTGTAGTAGGGCAACCTTATTACGAAAATATTTTAAATTATTCTTGAAAGTTTCCCGCCCATGTAAGCTCATTTGAATTCACTACTCTCGTTATGGATTTCAATTTGTGTCTTGTGCTATTTTTTCTTTACATTACTTAATGTGTTCTATTTTGTTTCAAAAAAATATTTTTAAGTGCTGCCCACACTATTGTATTGATATATTTTGCTTTGGCTTTATTGATACAATATTAGCAAGCACCCCTTCTTGCGGTTATAATCGTGTGAGCTGATGAGATTTTTTATTTCCCTCAAGATATTTATTTATATTTTTTAAAATTTTCTTTAATGTTATTTTATTTTAATAATTTTTCTTCTTACCTTTTCATTATTCTGTAATTTATTCCATGTTTTCTGTGAATTTTGTACTTATTTTCTGAGTTCTATATACTTGAGACTTATGCACAGTAAATAAAACTTATTAATTTTCTTCATTTTTCTCTTTTATCCTTTATATATATATATATATATATATATAATCTATCTCAAGATGTCGCCAATTGGTGGAAATAAGCTGGTTTGAGGCACCAGGCTATACATAAATATTATTTATTGAAACATGTTCTTAAAGAGCTAATATTCAAGTGACATAAAATTGCTGTGCTCCTCAATAATAGTTAGAGTAGATTTTGCAAATAAATCCGTAAAATGTTTCATTTGAAGGAATAAGGGAAATCTTTGTAATTATAATTGATCTATTAAATCGGGCTAGGGCAATAGTCTTTCCCACGAATTAGTTAAAAGGATAAATGTCAAACTGCTAATTAGTGCATACTTGAAATAAAAATAGATTAAAAGACAGGATGTGAATTTGAAAGTGTGAGAAAGAGAGTTTAGTTTTGAATAATACATTTTGAATAATTGTTTATTATTTGGGTTTAGATTTATGGATGATTTAATTAAAGATATTTTTCCTAAAGAACTAAATTTAATGAAGACTAATTCAGATGAAAATTGCATTTATTTTTTAGATCTTTATATCAAACTTCATAAACAAAAAAATGTTCATTGGATTATTTGATAAAAGAATTTTTTAGCTTAATATTATTAGTTTAATACATTTTAATTCGAGCCTTTACTTAAAGATTTTTAAGAATATTTTGATTGGGCAAATTATTAGATTTAAATTTATTTGTAGTAATAAAATAGATTTTCTTTCAGCTATCGGGAATTTAACGATTACATTAGAGAATAATAATTTTCCTTTTACTTACTGTAATTCTGATATTTTAATTCAATATTGTAAAGACGTTCAAATAATTTGGCATATATTGAAGCCGCATAAATAGGCCTATGTGGTGAAATTTAGGATTTTTTATTCCTTAAGCATATAGTTTACAGCATTTTTTTTTCTTTTCAAATTTTTACTCATTGAATGTTTTTATTTTATTTTTCAAGATTTTCAAAAAGGGGTCAGCATTTTATTTTGATTTGGTTTTCTAACTCTAACTTTATCTTTATTTATTTTTCTTATATGTGGGCATATCATTATTAAATCTTACTCTTTGTACTTTTAAATTGTGATTATTTGTCATTTATTTTTCTTTGCATTTATATTTCAATTATTCTATTTGTTTTTCCATTATGGGGCCTCAGGGCACTGCCAGTTTTTGGTTTCACCACTGTAAACATAAAGGCTCCAGTGTGTTAGCAGGCAGTGTGTCCCCTGATGAAGTGCTGTCCTTCTAACACACGTATCTAAAATTTTTGTCATTTTCTGCTATTGTATTTCTGGCTTGCTAAATTAAAATAAAACAAATTTGGTTTAAGCTGCTTTAAACGCTTTTCCATTTTTATTTATTATTTGAATGTTACTTACTTATTTTGTCTTTTTCTGAATTTATAAATTAGTTTCATTCTTTGATAGATTTTGAATAATAAATTTAGAAAAGGAAAAACAAAAAAAGATTAATTGAAGCTTTTTAGGTTACATATATGGATGATAATCACGAAACATGACAATTCACTGTCCCTTGCTCCAATACTATAATACTAAAAGAACTTTTTTTAAAAAAAATTAATAAATAGCATTTCTGTTAGCATTTTAAAATGACTTTGCACGAGCATTGACTGTTTTGTATACTTAAAAAATTTAATTGAATATCAAAATGTCATTTTCCTGGCATGTCCCAAACAATATTTCCAATAATAACTAGTTTCAAAACTTACCATACATTTTTCAAATTCTAATTTTCTTTATCTTATCCTATGTAAGCATTTCCAGTATATAATCAGAGAGTATTGTTTACTAAAACTTCGTTTAAAATAATTTTTTCTGTCAATAATTTGTTTGTCCCATGAAAATCTGCCATTTTCCTGACTACTTTTATTTAGTGATTTATAACCAAAATCAATGGCGCCAGGAATCAGTATCTTATATTAATAGATTGATTAAATACCCTCCTATCTGAACATGCCTTGTTGCATGAATAAAGAAACAATTTTCTGGCTCAAAATCTATTTCAAAAAATTTTGCAAGGTGAGTAGGTTTTTATGCTGTCATTTTTCTGTCTTCTTGAAATCATTAATAACAAAAACTACATAGATTTATCTGAGTTATTTTAAGAAATTCTGTTGTTTTCTGCAGAATATAAATGTCTTGGGGCAAAATATTAAAGTAAAGTTATATGCTATAAAATAGCGAATTTGTCATTATCCTGGCTGTCATTTTCCTGGCTTATGAATGCCAGGACATCGAAGTGTTACCAGAAATTCTTTTTAACTGCTAATACTGTAAAGAGGGAAAGCAAATATTAACCTAATACCAAGTTTATGTATGATTGTAATATGGTTGGATGTAATCAAAGTTATTTATTTAATGATTGATTATTATACACAATTTTATTATACACAATTTTATTCTGTACATATCAGCAACAAAATTTTTTTTGTTTCTTTCTACAGTGGATACAAAGAATTAATTTAATCAATTTATGGTCCATCAAACATAAAGGCTTAAGTTGAGTTACTTAAAATGACTGTTTTTTAAACTTCTAAGGTAATATGTCATTTTCCTGGCATTCAAGATTTGGTGAATTTCTATTTTATTTTTTTTCTTCGAGCAAATGTCAATAAACTACACTGCTGTCTATAAGATGTTAATAAGTGTAGCTAAAGAAGTATACAAAAAGAAATTTAGATTATTTTGAAGACTTTAAATTTGAAGAAATGTTTTGGTCCGAATTGTCATGTTTCGTGAGAATCACCCATTTATATGTGTGTGTGAGAACGAAACTTATGTAACGTCTTGTGCAAATACTCACTTTTAAGATAATCATTCATCTTTAACAAATTTTTTTTTATTTTTAACTTTGTCTGAAATGAATTGTTTTACAATTAATATTTTTTGCTGTTATAATAAGAAAGAGTTTAAATCGGTTATTATGTCTATACATTTTTAGCTGCTCTGAAAAGTGTTGTCAAACCATCCAAGACACAAGATAATTTTCAAAGTATGTATTTTATTTAAAAGTTGCTCTTTTTATTTTGATAGAGTTGGTTGTTATCATTATTGCATATGTTTCAGGTGAGTCTAAGCATACCACATTAAAGCAAATTCACCTGCTCCTCTCACTGCTTGAGCAATTAGAAAAACTCATGTACAATGCGTACGAGGGAACAGCCTCATCCCTTCCTTCACCGCCAAAGGTAAGCATTGAGCAAACATGTTATTATAAACAAACGGCCTAAAGACATCTTATTGGGTGTGTAGTCTTTTTTTTAAAATTTTGAATAGTATTTTTTGTAATACTTTTTTTTTAAAATTTCTTTTCTTTTGGAGTATTTATAAACCTTTAAATGTGTAATCCCGTGCAAATATTCTTTAATATTCAAAGGGTGAATTCGTATCGAACATAAATTCACAAATTTAAACAAATCACCACCCATTTTTCCCTGTGGCAGAATCGCAGCTATATTGTCTAAGAATGTTACAGAACTCTTGCAGAAAAAATTTTCTTTTAAAACGTAAAAAATAATTACTTTTTTTAGAGAAATTTACACGTAATATTTAAATCATGCATTTAGATAATCACTTTTTGACATGCTCAGTTTACGCAGATAGTATCGTAAATCGATGTAATGTTTCGATTGTATTTTTGGCAGTTATTATATTGATTGCTTTTAAATATCTTGATATATTTCAAACAAAAGGAAAAATTCGAGTTGTGCATTTGTATATTTACTTTTTAAGGCAATAATTCTATCGAGTTTTTGGCAGTTATTGCTATTGATTTCTCCATAGTTTTTTATACGATATTATTTATTACAACAACCTAATCTCGAAACGAAAGACACATTTGAGGAGTCAGATTCACGTGATTTCGTCGTCTGCCTCTTTTCGGCAATTCTCTACGGATTTCATGACTTTCAGTTTTTTTTTTTTATCGTTATGATTTTTTACAAAATGCGAGAAAAAAATAATTTGTGCATCCCCCCTCCCCCCAACGAAATTGGAGAATTTCACCCTTGATATTAGAATAAAATATTATTACATGTTCAATAAAGTTTTTTTTTTTTTTGTAAACACAGCATTTTTGTTATTTTAAATTATTATTAAAAGTATCTTGCAGAAAGATATTAGTGCTAGAGAGTTTTATCTCAGACAGCTCGACAAAATTCTGTTACAGGACCATTTTATAAGTCGAAAAGTTTTCCGTGCTTCCCTACCCACAAAAAACAATAATAGTATTGATAAATAAACAAATATTAAAATATTCTTGTCTCATTTTACGTGGATAAACAAAAGGACATTATTTTAGTCAGTAGCATTGCAGTTCTGAAGGATCTGTACCACTCTTGGCATTTGACTTTTTAGACCTTCACTAGACATTTTTAAAAAGAATTACTTAATTTTTCATTTCATCTAAATTACTAATCCTTCATCTAAATTACTAATTCTAATCCTTAAAAGGGGTAGGGACTGAATGCAGCTCTGAAGAAAGGTCGCAGTATTTCACATATGAAAGTGTTTTTTTTTTAAGACCAATAATATTTGTGACATAAATTTTTAATAAAAACTCAGCGCATTGTACAAATCGGTTCTAAAATATGCAAAGTTATCTCATTTTGAAATTGTTGCAATAGTGTTGTATTAAAATCCATAAGACTTTTTAAAAAAAACACATCGAAAATTTTAGAAGTAACTGCCAAAAAAGAGATCTAAAAACCTAAGTGATTTTGCATGAATTTGTCACAAATCGGGTAAATCGAAAAGTTTTTACTTAAATTTTCGATTTGTTTGAAATAATATCAAATTTAAAATATTGAGAGTTTAAAAATGACCTGGAAAGGGCTGGGATAGATAAGTAACTGTGTGATAAAATTGGAGAGTTGCTTTGATTTGCACATCGTACTAATATCATTATTTGAAAAACTGTGTGAAAAGGATGGTAAAAATGAAAAATCTCAACTGAGAAGAAGTTTGGAAAAAATGTGGTACAGCAATACTTGAATTGAAAAGTGATAACTCAATTTCTGAAATTTATCAACACATATTAAAATCTATCATTAAGATGTGAAATGACTGGAAAGGTGCCAAAATAAAGAAAAACATTGATCGCGCAAGCTAATTGAACTGAGCTTAAGATACAGCTAATACAAACAGAGTGCCTTGCTGGCAGTAGATTTGCCGTTATAAAAAGAAAACAATCTTGAGTTTGAATACAGTTATCGTAAATAAGTTCAATGAATGTATTAAAATCTTTATTTTCCAGAAAAATACTTAAGGTATTTAAAAGAAATCATTCCAGGACCAAGAAAAATATTTACCAAGTGCTTAAGAAAAAGTAAATAAAAAAACTGACAATCTACTCGCACTGCATTTGAACTATCAGGAACTTGTTAGTGCAATTGAAGGTGTAAAGAATGCAGAGCTCATTCTAGGCAGGGTAAACAGGGCGCAGCACCCTGTTGCCCTTTTAGTCAAAAGAATCCACCCTGTTGCCCCTGATGTAATAGACTCTAAACCCTTTCTTTCCTCAACCCTTCTTTATTTTTTCTCCAAACTGTACAATGGATTTCTTAAATTTTCAACTCTTTTTATTTACTTTGTCATTGCTGTCAATACGGAATATGGGAAATATGGGTAAGGAAAAATAGCCATCACACCCCCTTGTTGCACTTGTCTTAGAAAGTTTGCAGTTGCTTCCACTATCATTAAATCATAATTATTATTAATCAATTTAATTATTAAATCATAACTACAGACACTTAAAAACATACATTTATTATTTTATTAATATATGCAAGCATTTTAAATAAATTACTAAGTTAATTAGCTCAATAACTCGATATATATGTTAATTTATTAATAAAAATTAGTAAATATAATTGCTTTGCTACTGTTAGTGTTGTAAAAAAAAATTTACTTCACTAATTGACAATATTTTTTCATAGAAAGCATGGGTGCAAGTCTTCCCTCCCCAGGACGGATTTCCGTCTTTCGAAAATGTCCACGGACGGAAGTAAGACGGAAACACGACTGACTCGAAGACGGAAATCGGGAAATTTTTTTTTCCTGTCCTTACAAATATTTTTTAGATCTACGTTATTGGCCTACTTTCTTATGTCCTGTTGTTATTTAATCAAAAGACAGATGAATAAATATTTTTTGTACAGTATTTAAACTTGATGTATAATGGTAAAGCTTTCTTAGATAGTTTGTATTTGTCGAGGGCAGGGCTGATTGTGCTCCGGGAAAAAGCCGGATTTCCGGATTTTTCGCTAACAGTGATCCGGAAGTTTCCGGAGATCGAAGGTCCAGACGTTTCAAAAAATCATTGCTCACAGAAGTTTCCGGAAATCAAATTTTCAAAAGTGGAACTTAAAAACACAATTTATTTTGTTTGCAAGGGAGAGCCAGATACATTTTTTTATCAGTAAATAGTTATAATCATAAACTCAAGAAAGTAAGACATATTTGCAAATTTTAATTACTTCTCCTAGAAAAACCTAGTTTAAATTTTTTTCAATTGAAATTTTTTTTTTTTTAAACTCGGGAAATTTTCCGGAATTTTGACTTGGGCTCACAATCACCCCTGCGAGGGGGTATTGTGTATGTTAGGTATTTCAGTCAAAAAAATTTTCAGTCTTTGTCTTTTTCCAACTTGCACCCATGATAGAACGTGAAAAGCCCATAGGAAGAAATTATTGCCCTTTTAGAATAATAATGCCCTTTTTTTTAAACCTTTGCCCCCTGCCCTTTTCTCTGCCTAGAATGAGCTCTGAAGAATGTTATGGGAAGAGGGAGAAAATGATTAAAATAGGCTTTTTTTAAGACTATGAGAGTAAAGATAAACTTTTGATTAATTGCCAGGGCTAATGCACTAACAACAGATGTAATACAGTCATGGTAAAAATGCATTCAATAAATCAATAAAAGATATTCGTACAAAAATCAAATAATATCGTATTCACTGACATGAAATCTAGATTCTCAATGCGAATCTAGATTTGCATCTGTCTTGAGATATGTATATTGGAGCATTATATTTTACTCTTGGCTTATAATTATTATTTCCTTTAAAGCGTAACTTACATGTCAATAAAATATATGCATTGTGTTGTGTAATCAACCAATCATATATACAATTACTGAATCACTACATCTATATAATATTGATATGAAAAGTGTTGCCTTGAGTGTGCAATGCATATACTTATATTTACTATAAAAGGAATTGTATGTTAGCAAAGTGTAGTTAGATATAAGTTGATTTTATATAATTAGATTATCACAAAATTTATTTTACCTTTTAATTTATTTGCCTATCTTTAAAAAAATATAAATTAGTTATAGCTTTTGAAGCTTAACTTTCCCCCCCCCCAAAAGTAAAAAATTTAGTTATTTATCTTCTCTGCAACTAGCTATAAACTCTTAATATTGAAAGACAAAATACTAACATACTCACAAGATGTTTGTACGTTAATATCATACATTTATCGTTAGCTAGTCCAAAATTTGATTCCTGAAAAGAAAAAAAATCTTTCCTTCTGGCTATAGAACAAAAGAAAAAGTCCACTGAAATGCAGTTTTTTTTTCTATTACACTGTTCTCAAGTAGAGTCATAAATTAGAGACAGTTGAGATTTTTCACTTTTGAACAGATTAGGTTGTAGTTGTAACAAATAATTTTTTGTTAAAAGATTATAAGTATACAAAATATTTTCATTACAGTGAAAAGTATTGCTAAGTAATTCTGCATATTTTTAGTTAAAATTCTTTTCCTAATATTAAAAAAAAAAACATTTTGGAAATATTGCAAAAACGAATGAAATCATAATTCACTACAAATTTTACACTGATAACAAAGAAATTCTAAACATAAACTGAAAAGAAGAGTTCTAAACATAAACTGAAAAGTTATTTTGTCCAATAATTACATCATTTAATTAATTTAAAAAATAATCAGAAAAAGAATTGGGTAATTTTGTATTTATTGTATGCTTTTTGGAGCATTTTACTAGTATCAATTTATTTTTATAAATACTTTTTATAAATACTTTTTATATACATTTAAAAATTACATATTTTTGTTTCTTTAAAGAAGGCTGATTACCGTTAGTTGTTAAATTTAAAAGTGGAAAATTTCTATGAGAAAAATATTTTTTCATTTAGAAGTATTTAAATTTTTTTTTTTTTTAAATAAAACTATCTGTTTGAAATGGTGGTTTAAACCAGCCCACCCTGTGTGTAATTTCAGGCTTACAGTATCAATTGATCTATGATTTATGTGGTCTATTGTATAGAATTGTCAAGATGAAAAATTGAAATTTTAAGAATCTGTTATTTGAGTGTTATTTTATAGAATACTTATCCCCTAAAAATAATTTAGGGATTCTCCCAAAACTCTTTTTGTCATAATTCGATTTCATTTAAGCAATGGTTGAGCAATAAACTGTAGATCAAAAACAATTCAATTAAATCCTCTGTTTTGAATTATCCGAAATTAGATAGTGCAAAGTAATTTATCAATGAAAAAATAGGCTAAGAGATTATGACAGATTCATGTTATCTATTGAACTTCAAAGTTAAATAATATAATTCAAGGGCCGGGATAGCCTGGTTGGTAGGACACTGGGCCCATGTCCAAGAGATCGTGGGTTCGAACCTCTCTGGCCGAATTTGTAAATGGTGACTGTTGCACGTTAAATCTGTCGAGTCTCAAAGTCCTCCGTGTTCCCATAACAAATCATACCTCTGGGGGTACTGATCCAGGAGTTCCCTTATCTTCTGGTCTTAACGTCAACTGTATTTGAAGTTTTATGTTTCAGCGAATTTGCATAGTCAGTTTAGAATGTCCAAAGCATGTAAAATTAATGCTCAGATTATTTCTTTTTTTTCTGGTATTCACCTAATGCTTTTTTAAATAACATTCAAGAAATGTTATTATTGGCTTAAATGATCCTTTCTGTGTTCATATTAAAATTAGATGAGGGGAACTCCTGACATGTTTTGATTGAATATTTTAGAATATATTTTCCAATATTTCTTCGATTATTGTTCTTCAGATTGATATTGAAATGTCTACCGAATTCTGAAATTATAATTATTTGCATTGGTTATTTCTTATTAATTATTTTGTTGTGTGTTCATATTTTTTTAGAATGTGAGGACCTTCTTTAGAACTAATAAGTCAACTTGTCACGAATGGCTCAATAGAATTCGTTCTACGGCTACATTAGTTGCTTTCAATGCTGGTTGCCCTGCAGCAGCCGTTCGCCATGGCTATGAATACTTGCAGGAAATTAAAAATAGTGGTAACTCCCAGGTATAGTTTTTCATTGTGCTCTGAACAGTCAAACTTACTCGTCACAGCCTCCTGAAAACAGCTTTGTAAATTATAAATATAGTAAGTACAGTAGAGAACCATTTATCCGGTATCCAGATAACCGGGGGAAAATTTGCTTGTTTTTCACGCCATTTTTAACTAGAACGATTATGAAAAAAAGCTCATCCTTGAAGTTGAGTAGAGGAGAATGTGAGGAAGGGGAGAATTTTTTACCCAGAGAAACGTCCTTTCTTCCATGACCTTGAAGATCTTCAGATCGAGAGTGAACAGAATATCAGTGAACAGAAGATGAAAGAGAAAAATGTATTTATCTATTTAACACCGATTAATAAAAATAAAATCATTTTTTTTTTTTTTGAGTAAATTCTGATTCTTTGGAAATGCGGTTTCATTTGCAGGTTTTTCTTGATGTGGGATCACATCTGCTTTCATTAAAAATCGTGTTTTTATGAAAATAAAATGAAAGGAGAATTGTTTATTAATTTAAACATACGATTATTTTATGAAGCAGATTGCAGTTTTATTTTTCTGATTCCACTACGTTTGATTTTTTTTTCTTTTCATGATAAATTTCGCACTCAATAAATTAATTCTTTTTATTCATAAATTTTATCATTAGGTTTTTTTTTTCTTTTTTTAATTCCGTTGATCTTATTGATCTTGCCTTGTTCCGGGTTTTAATATTTGTGTTAGTGCCTTTTTTAACTGTCGTTTCTGTTCGATAATTTTCATAGTTTTTATTTAGATTTTCCTTTTATTTTATCATTTCCCCCCCTGTGTAATTAGGTATGAAATATATTGCGTTATTTAATCATTGGTTTTGTTTATATTAGTTAATTTAGAAATTGTAATTATTTTTAAAAAATAAATATGAGAATTTTTTATTTTTTAAACTTGTTTTGCTTGTTTAAATTTGCAATTTTTTTATTCTTTTAAATGTTATTTTTTTATCATTTCTTTTTTTCTTTTTAAATATAAGAGTGCTTTTCTTTTTTCTCTTACTTTAAAATGTGTTACACACTTTTTCCTTGTAATTCGGGTTCGATAAAACATCGATTAATGACACTTTTTGGTTGATCCAGAAAACCGGGAAATTCAGACATCCAGGATAGCGATGGTCTCGACCATCCCGGATAATTGGTTCCCTACTGTAATTCATGGCCCCCAAAAAACAATATTGAAAAGGAATTAGAACCAAAAATGAATTTTACTGAGTATTTCTTTGTTAAATCAGAGCTTGTTTCAAGCAAGTTGCACTGTTATTCCCTGAAATAGCTTGATTATTATTTTGCTGTATATTAACTGATTTATTGGCAGGTTGTGGAAGTTGAGAATACCTTGTACACAATTGTAAAAGCCTTGATCCAGTTACGATGTCCTGAAGCTGTACTTGGACTGTATATATGGTGTAAGGAGAATTTGAATAAGAAATATGCATGGATTAAAGCATCTGTGGATTGGGCAGCTGGAAGGTAAGGAGCTGTATTTCTTAGTTGCTGACCAGTTTGCATTTGATTTTATTTCAGCATAAAAATTTCTTTAGTTTTCCACACTTTTTTAAACACTCCAGTAATAGTCAAACCTCTGAAGAGCAGCCGTTTTACACTAAAGCAAACCTCTTTCGAACAACAGCCACTCGTGAGCACTTCAGAGTCATTATTAAACATCTTATACTGTAAAAGACTAGTTTTCAACCATTTATTCCAAAATCGACCAAAGATTTGACGGGTCTGTATGACTTATGTTTTAGCATCGACTATGAACTGGTTGATCAGCTGGCGTTTTATACAGATTTGCTAACACGTGTACCTTTGTTGACTCATTTAAGTTTTCTTTAAATTCTGACATTGTTGAAGGTATCCGAATGTACAGTATTTTTCGATGAAAGTGCCGCGGCGCTATCGAAAAAATGTTTTTTTTTCTCCCTACATGTGGCGCTTCCGACAAAATATTTTTAGTAGCAAAACAATTTGTTAAGAGAAGTTATTTAAGATGAAATAATTTTCTGAGAGAAAGATTGTTTAAAATTTTTTTTTTTTACTGAAGTCGATGAAATATTAGCCCGTATCGCGCTCTGCTGCAGAACATTGCCAATTCTTAACAAACTTTCGGCAGCAGTCTGCAAGAAAATAAATTAACGAAATAATAATTTTAAAAAAACATCACACAAGGAGAAAATTTAAAAGGTGTGCATCTTGTATTCACCCCCAGCTTAAAGAAAAACCGGAAGCTAGAAATCTACTTAGCGCCTTGGCAATTGTAATTGGAGCGAACAGAAAAGGAAGTACCTAATAGGACCCTAAATCCGACACTCATGGGACTGACAAAATGCCTCACTTCGGATCTCTTTCGGAAATTCCAATATGGCACCCAAATATTACTATAATTCAATTACACTGTTAATTTCAGAAAAACCAATAAATTTAGTCAAGTTTCGATCATAGATTATTATGGGGTGAATTTAAAACTGGCCCATCTTAAGAAATTTTATTAATTAAAATAAAAAAGAAATAATAATAATAATAAAGAAGAAATAATCCGAATCCTCTGAAGAAGAAATAATCTTTTCTTCCTCGGAGTGAGATCATAGCTCTCGTTTTTTCTTTTAGATAACATATTGTTTTAACAAAAGACGCTTACCCCGCAAGAAAAAAAAAAGCTAACAAGGAACTAAAAAAAAAATAAGGTAACAATTAATGCTAAGAAACTAATAATGAATAACAACAAAAAACAAGCTAAAAACTAATAACGATAAAAAAAACAAGCAAACAACTAATAACAAGAAAAATAAACAAGCTAACTATTTAAAAAAAATAAAATTAGCAGTTAATAACTAATAAAAAAGCGGCAAAATAAAAAAAAATTATGAATCTGATAAAAAACCGCAAAAGGGATAGAATTCATTTTGTAGTCCACATGGTAGTTTCAATGTCAACTGGGTGTGGCCAATTTATGGTCAAACAGAGGAGGGAAATGTGGGGACAAACCAATAAAGCACAAGCACAGCTGTCAAGATTGATTGATCAGTTTTTTCCAACTTGCATTTCTTTATTTTGTTCATTGGAAATGCAGGTGTTTTTACTTCTCACTTTATTTTAAACTGCTTTAGAAACAGATGTTTCCTTGACACAGATTTTTTTTTTCAAGCTTCTTTTTTATTTTTAAAAGATAAAATAAAATAAGTTGCTTCAACAGAATAAAATTCCAAATAAAAAGAATACGGCTGATTTTTTTTTTGTATACTTGTTTTACGGATTTCTATAATCAGTTCAGCGTTAATTCAGCTACTGAGCATATAAATATTTTTTTGCTGTTCTTTTTTTTTTGGCACGGTGCCAACTGGTAAGAACAACTTTAAGATAACTTTTTTTGTTGTTGTTTTTTTTTACTGAAAAAGAAATCTTTTATTATAATTTAGAAATTAAAACTTTACTTTATGAAATGTATGAAAATATTTAACTTCTTGTTATACAGATGTTCTAAATAGTAATATAAAGGTCTTTTCTATAAGGATGCTTATATGTGCGGTTTAGCGCCATTGCGGCGCTTATTATAACTGTTTTTTTTTTTTTAAAATTTCATTTTTATCGATGTGCGGCGCTTTCGCTGAAAAATACTGTAGGTAAATTTCGCAGAAACCTAAGTTATTGAGGATAGTAAAAACTTAGCGTTTAAGAATTAGTTACACTATATAATTGAAAAAAAAGTAAAATAATGACATTTTTTAAAAAAATGTTTTTATTTGAGGGTTCAATCTACAATTGTTTTTGAAGAAATTTGTAATTTTTGTTTTCTTTAACATATTATTGACTAGCCATGAATTAACTAGTTCTTTCATGACCAAGCATTGGCGACGGGCCACTAGTAAATGTGTGATGCACTTCAATTCTTTTCTCAGTACCCTGTCAAAGATCATTCAGTCCAATTGTTGGTCAGCATGCCTCGCTTAGAAAACCTGCCAGGTTGCATACTTAGTTGGAAAAAACATTCAGTGATGACTAATGAAGAATCTTTCAATGAATTAAGCTCAGATATTTTATCTGGTTATCAAATTGTAGTGACTTGGAAAATAATAATGTATCCGAAGAAAGTGAATCTGATGATAAGCCACCAAAATATCAAAAAAGGAATTAGAAGAGTTAACGCACATGATATCACACTTAGAGAGTTATATAAATATTACTGGTCCAATTATTGATTTTGGTGGGTTCTGAGTGAGGTAACTATATTAGTCATTATGCAAACTACTCTCAAATTGAAGAGTATATTAAATAAAATCTCTAAAAAATCGTTATCATGGACACCCCTAATGAAATAAATGCATGGTGGGTAGCATTTTTAAAAAGGGCATAAAGGTGCTTATTTTCGATTTTCGTTTTTTAAAAAGCCCTTAAAGGTGCTTTTTTCATTTTCGTTAACTACATTTTAGTTAAAGATTTGTAGTGTGTTGTATTCTTTGGATTTAGGATTTTTTATTTTTAAGAAAGTTTTTGAACATTATTTTTTTTTTTTGTATTAGATTAAGTATTGTACTTTTGTATTTGGTTTTTGTATTTTATCTTCTCTCTACCAAAACTTTTGGCAAAATCTTTGGTGTATAGAGAGAGCAACTTAGACATCTGTCGTGCTCTCTTGATAGAAAAGATTTTGCATTTATGACTTCCGGGACCCCCTGACAATGCCAGCTTTGGTTGTTATATTTTTCATTGTTTAGTTCTTCATATATTTTATTGCTCCTTTCGCTTTATTTATTGACTTACTCGTTTGGCCACTGAGAGTGTTTTATTGGATTCCGTTATTTGTCTTATTAAATACTTTTATTTTCATTCACTTAGGATTTTTAAATAATTTTGCGAATTAAGTTAAGAATTTGTAAAGTTTAATGTAAACATGCAATGGAATTTGTAGTTGTTAAAAATGCAGCGTCCGTAGATGATCGTTCTGCTACAAAAAAAATTACAAATGGAATAATGCAGTTATTGTTTGTGATTTTAATTCAGTTAAATTTAATAATTCTATTTTTGTTATCTTATATTTCATCCATACAAATTATGAAATTGGTTTTTCTGTAATTTATAATGTTATATGTTTTTATTATTCTTGTAATTCGCTTCTCCAAAGATGAATTTCACTGCACAAAAAAGTTACTAAATGAAAAAATCTAAATCTTTGACTATATTATAGGAATTTTAATTTGAAATGAATTTGAGACTAATAATGTTGGATAAGAAATTTAGTCACTTAAAAGTAAAATGACAGATATTTTCTTCAGAATTTATAATCTAGAAATTACAATTAATGATATAATTTAGTAAATAAAAGCACATTCATATTGGTGTGCTTTCTGATGTTCCTGTTATTTTTATTAAAGGAAGAGATAAACAAATATTTTTTGTTCAGTATTTATATTATATAGTGGAGCATTCTTGCTCATGTTTGGAATTTTTGTCCAAAAATTTTTTTCAGTCTTTTTTCCAACCCACGTAATCTAAAAAATAATTCCGAATTTGGCAAACGTTTCAGATAATTTCTTTTTTCAACATGTCTGTTGGAATTCTTTCTTAGTGAAAGCAAATTTTCTTTCTTACAGATCTGAAAATGCTGTTGAAGAATTTATTACTTTACTGCATTCAAAAGAAAAGAGCTTGTCCAAACATGATGATGACGTAAAATCTCTAAAAGAAACTGATCTTCAGTCCTCTGACTCAGAAGGCATATTTGGTGAAAAACTCAACATGAATGAAGTCGTTAATAAGAGACCAACTGATGTCTATTTGCACTCTTTTTTAATGAGCCAGGTATTCCTCCTCTTTATTCTTCTGGTATTTAAAAGGAACATTTATTTGCCACGCCAGGGGTCTGTTCAGGGTATATTTACTGCCGTTTAGTGATACCTTCACAAATTTAACTTTAGGAAAAACTGTATTTTCACAAAATACTTTTTCTTGAAATTTTATTTTTGTGTCTCGTAAAAAACTATAAATCCATATTTTTACCTTATTTTTGTGTTCATTTTTTAATATAATTTTTAATTTTCACAAATTTTGTCTAAACACAAATTTTGTCTAATTTTCATAAATTTTGTCAGAACCCTGCACGCTTTTGGTGCTAAATATAAAAATGCTCACTAGTAATATGGTTTTCAGATCAAAATGTCAGAATCATTTTTTATAAATAATTTAAATTTTATGATTTAATGTGAAACAGTCAGACTTCTATTTAAGGAACTTCCATTTTGCAAATTTCTCTATTTTGCCTTTTTTTTTTCTTCGAGGAACCAAGAACATTTTGGAAATTTCTTCGTAAAATAACTTCCAAATAGTGAAGGGAATTTTCTATTTACCGAACTTTTTTTTGAGATCCTCTTTCCCTGTTTCTTAAAATATTTCCGAGCATTTTAAACTTGTTAATGAACTTAATGAGGGACATTGATTTTTGAAGCCACTTAACTTTTAGAGAAAGCAGTGAAACCCCTTTCCCCTTTTGTTGGCATTTCAAACAAAGGACTCAGACAATATTAACGGATTTTATCAGTAGCAATTAAATTTAAGAATGCATGTGGTGATGTATGTTTAAAATTACTTTTATTAAAAATGCAGCTATAATTAAAAGCAAAAATAGCAAAAAATTTATGTATTTAGAGGGGAAAAAAATTCAGAACATTCTGTAGTTATTTATTATTTATTTATTTTTTTGAGTAAAGAAAAAAATAATTTTGTGAAAAAAAAATATTAAACCTACTTGCTAGCAAACTGCAACAATAACTCACATCCTATTTTATTTTTAGGTAAATGGGATAAAAATCATTAGTTATTTATTGGTCCTGTAATTGGTCAACGAAACTGAAGAAAATTAAAAAGAAAGTATTAAAAAGAGAGAGAAATTTATTCTAGAATTCATCTTTAATTTTTTTTCAAAACTTTGACCCATCTTTTATGCTACAAATGGACATATGCTCTTTCTTGTTCATTGCTAGCTATGCCACTAAATAGAAGAAAAAGTAAATATCAGTAAATATTGTCTGCTACAAAGAGATTATTTAATTTTATACAGGCAATAAATAAAGCTATTGTTATTTTTTTTCCTGTGCCCAGAAAAAATTTGTTATAGGCTAATAATATAGTAAAAAATTTTTTTCTTCTTTTTAATGTACAGTGATTATTTTTCTTTTTAATAGATTTTTTTTTATTGGATATAAAACTAGTAATTTTTTTCAAAATTTTTCCCCCGTATTTCTTAAAAAAAAAAAAAAAAAAAAAAAAAAAACAGTTTTTTATTGCATGATTTTTTAAATGATTAAATTTAAGAAAATATTGCTTAAATATGAGTTTTATTTATATTGTTTTTAATATATTACATTGATGTTTATATATTACGTTGATGTTTACATATTACATTGTTGTTAATATATTACATTGTTGTTAATATACGTTGCATAGTTGAAATTAGTGATTTTTCAACTAACTTTTATAAGATGGAAAATGTTATAAAACATATTAATCCAACCATTCCAACCGGTAATAGAAGACAATTTAAATTTAAAGAAGCTATTTAATTGAAAATTAATATTTATAGCATTAAGACTAAAATAAAAGTTATTTTCAGTCATTATAATGGTTATCATTAACTTAAATTTCTATCCAATTTGAGAAATTTAAGTCTGACACTGACGTGAAAAATTTCGAATTAACTGTGTATCATATTTCACAAGCAACTGCATCCAATTTTTTATTTAAATGTCTGCTTCAAAATTCAGTCGAGTTTACATTTAAATTACAAAAAGTAATTCACAGAGTTTAGACAATTTGTAAATTAGTAATCATTGTTTGCTTTCATGCGATTTACATCCGACAGCCTTTTAATGATCCGTTTAATTTGAACTTATAATAATCAGTTTTTATTAAACAAATTGTTTTTCGATAGGTTTATGATATACTAAATATTTGTGTAAAAATTTGATGATTATAAATTTTTGTTTTATAATATAACTTTTCTAAGAAATTAATGTTAATTTTTTTCTGACACCACGGAGTTGCCTAGATGTAAAAACAAAAACAATTATCTCATCTAAACTAGGAAACCATGTTAGATTGGAATTCTTAATATATTCAAATTTCTAATAAGAAAAAGGATAAAATTTTAAGATTTTTATCTAGTTTTTTTCTTCTATAAAATATAGAACAAAAAATTTTACAATTTTTCCTTTGCAAATACTGAATATGCCTTAAAATAATAGTTCTAAATCGAAACAAACAACATTATTTAAACATTTGACTTATGATATTGATTTAAAGAAAATTATTTCAACGAATTTTATAAAGAGCACTGTTTGGATAAAATACAGTTTAAAATGGCTCTATATTGAAATGTAGATAAATATAAAAATTTATTGGTTTCTAATCACCTGAAATTATTTTATTTTGCTTAATAGAAGTATATTAAACAGTACTTATCTAAGGTTGTTTTGGGTCATAGCTATTTTTTTACATTCTGTGCAAAAACTATTTAACACTTAAGAATATTTTTTATTCTTTAAAAGTGTTATTTTCATGCGAGCTAAACATTTTGTTTCCTCCACATCTATTCAAGATGATATATTAAAAAAATAACATTTTAAATGAAATACTACACTATTATATTGACTAATACACTAATATTGACTTTTTTATTGTAACTTTTTTATTGACTATTTTAAGATTTTTACTGGAAAACCCTGAAAAATCAGGGAAATTTGAAACCTGATTTGAGTGGCCACCCTGATATACGAGTAGGTAGTACATGCTTGGTCAGATAGTGTGGTGTGGTAGCCTAACCGTTTACTTACACCATATTTTAGCAAGATTTTTTCCACAGAGTTCTTTTAAAAATTAAAGGCCGTCCGTCTGTGAACTTTATAGGAAGTTGGAATTCGAATATTATTCTAACAGACCTTTATTTTTTTATGAAACATTTTTCTATATGACCCCATGGAAAATGTTCATAATAAGAAATAACTTTTAGTGCAAGTACAGTCGAACTCATTTATAACGAGCACAAAGGGACCGTAACATGTACTCGTTAAATCCGAGTGCTCGTAATAAACGGGGGGTCCTTAAGACAGGCGTGCAACCAGAAGTGGGGGGGGGGCTTGGGAGGTCAAATGATTGAGTTTACTTAAAATTTAATTAATACTTACTTACTTTAATTACATTAATTAATTTAATTAAATACTTTTCTTAATTTAATGACAACTAACCCCCTTTCCTCGCATTTCTTTATCATTTTGAAAAAAAGATAAGACAGAAAGACTAGAAAGATGAGAAAGAAGATTGCAAGACAGAAAAATATTGCTCGCTAAAACCGGGTCTTGCTCGTTAAAAGCGACTTCAGTTCCATAGACTTAACATTGATCCAACCAAAAATTCTCGTTTCCCTCGGTAAATCCGAGTTCTCGTTAAATCCGAGCTCGTTATAAACGAGTTCGACTGTACTATTAATTGCATTTTTTTTCCTTTTTAAATCAAGGTGAAGTTTAACAATGAATAATGATTTTTATGAATTTTTAAATTTACATACAATTTTCAGCCCAAAATTTTGCAATAGCAAAATTAAATTTGAATATATGGGGGGAAATATATAAAAAATTTCCAGTCACAACTGATTTTTATTTGTAGTGACAACTTTTGAAAATATCTTCTTTACTTTACCGTATTTTGTGTTGATTTTTTAATATAATTTTTATTTTTATGTTATCAAATGTCTTTGGTGATGAACTCGGGGGAGGGTGTCATATACTTATTTATTTATTGTTTTCATATACTTATTTATTGTTCTACTAAATTAAGGTTGTATAAAAATGCTATTCATTGTTTTCATTCATTTTTGAGTTTATTGAAATCTTATTTGATTCTTTTACTTGATTACAAATTTTAATTAAAAACTAGTATAAAAGAATATTGATTTCCTTTTCTGAAAAAGTTGATTTTTTTTTGTTTTAGATTGTAGACTGTTATACTAATGTGCAGAATTGGTCTGAAGCTGTAAAGTGGTCTGAAAGTCTAGATTCCTTAAAAGTGTATTTAAATGGAATGAACAGTCAGAATTCATCCTATCAGAATAATTTATCCTTTCTGAGGTATCCATGTTTTTTGCAAATTAATCTTTTTGTTATGCCCATGGGTGCCACTCTTCTGTCCTGGGAACTGAAATCAGTCTTGTGAAAAAATCAGTAGATTAAGTTTCATATCTCTTTTCCATTTGTTTTTAATAGTAAAATTTCTGTTTTTCCTTAAAAATATTTTTAAAAAACTTCTGTTAAATAAAAAGAATGCATTTCAAAGTAAAGATTGTTAATTTTCGTAATCATTTTGCAATTATCAAGTAATGATGTAGCTCATTAATGAAAAAATGAGATTGAACTTCAACGCCTGCTTGCTTAAGCAAAATTTGTACCATTGTTGTACCTAAATTTTCTTGTTTTTATTTTACCTCACCATTTTGAAATGCTGGCCATGGTTAAATTGAGACTACTTTTTTTTAAAATATAAATATTGAGGTAGAACAAAAAATAAATACAGAGTAAAAAATAAGTAGAGATATGTATAGCTTTGTGAAAAAATTAGTTGTTTATTATTCAGTGGTTGATGTAAAAAAGATGTAAAAGGTTAGCTGTTATTTTAATCTTGTTTGCTGTAATAAAAAATAATAAAAAATGAAGGGGAAAAAACTCTATAATTGATTTAATATATGATAAAGAAATGTACATTTTAGAGTCGCTGAGCTATAAAATTCTAGTAAACAACTCTAGATTGTGTTAATTGATCAAAAAAGTAAGTTTAGTCTTGAAATATTTTTAGAGTGGCAACCATGGTTATGCCATAGTTCTAAATAGTTTGTGTAGCAACAACTTCCAGTTTACCCTTGAAGATTTCAGCAAATTATTTGCCACTTTCTCTTTTTTCATAAAACTTTCTGAATTGAGTTTTTTTCTATGCTTTTGTGAAGATCAATAAGTTCACTAAAGGATTTTAAAAAACGAGTGAATTAGGCATTTATTTTTTCTTTGGTTTTATTGGATTTACAGTAAAGCTTAGGTTGTATTTGCTTAAGGGTTTAAAAAATATAATACCGACACGCATGGACATGTCAATAAAGCGTATTGACACATTGCTAGATAAAGAGAATAAATTACTATAAGAGAGACTATACAACAAATAAATTAATATAAAAGTTAATAACATCATTTTAAAGTTTGTTTCGAGAGATTAATTAAAGGTAGATTCATATGTTTCTTTAAACATGCAATCGATAAAAATATTTTGGGTTATTAGAATTTCATTTGGACATTTTTTTTTTTTGTAGACTAACACACCTGGAAGAATGGTATTTTTTTGCTCATTTTTACTTTTTTCATCACTGTTGATGTTTTAATTTCAGGTGTCTTTCCTCTTTTGAAAAAAACCAACCTATGTGTAACATGAAAGATGCTTCTTCTCTATTAAATAGCTTAGTTATGAATTCAGATAATAACTCCTCATGGTTTATGAGTGAGTTATTAAATAAAGCTCAACGAAGTATAATGACTTGCGCCATCAATACTCTCATTAAAGGCAAAACTAGTGAATATATGTAAGTATTCTTCCCTTATCCTTAAATGTCGTATTTCGATTTATTGAGTTTAATAAAAAATGTTGAAGACATGGATCAGGTTAATCATTTATACTACTATGAACATAGTTTCTCTCGTAGTCATCAGAGCAAGTAACGTCTGCATAGTTGCCAACTCTACTGGATTTTGTGAGTTTGTCCTGGTCTACTGGCTTAATTAAAATTCTCTTGGTTTTTGTACATTTTAGAAAATTCACTAAGATTGAGTAAGCTTCCTAAAAAAATCATTATTGAAATAAAATTTTTGTACCGATTATTGCTTGCTTGCTCGAATATTTAAATAGGTATTACTAATACATTATGAACCGAACCTCATTTATAGAAATCAATTAAAAACTTTTTTTGTTCTAAAATGTTCAGTTTATTTTTGTTCAGAACTCCCTTTTTAATTATAATTTTAAAAAAATCTTTTAAATATCTTTGATGAATTAAATGCCTATAAATATTTGAAATTATGAGTAAACATAATACATAGTGTTTCAAGTATGTTTAATGACAATCATGTCTGGAAAATATTGCAGTTTGTCTATTTTGATGACTATTAAAATCCCTAAAACTCCCTGTGTCAAAAATATGTACTACACTTTGCAACAATTATCATACGTAAAATCTACTGGATTTTTCCTATCTCTGTTGGCAGCTATGCATTTGCAACTTCATGTTTAAAAAAGAATCATAAAAGATTCTTAATGTTTATTTTATGTATATAAATATTCCTAAATAACATCATTTGTCAAACTTAGATAATACATTGTGGCCATACACTTTGAATCATGGTAAAACCTGGAATTTTTAGCGAATTTTGAAAAATAATAAATAAATCAAAAACCTGGAATTATTAGGGAAATTCACTCTTAAATCTGTTTTTTTTTTTTTTGTCTCATATATATAATCACTATTCACTCATTATTAAATATTTTACTTGTTTTTTTAAGGCTTATTTATATTTTTGTCTTGGTGACTCAATTATTGTATCTAATTGCATTTTTCTTTACGTCTTAAAACATTTTTATTGAAATGGTAGAATTTTTCATAATATGGTTAAAGTTTAGTTGTGTACTCTAAAAATGAAAAAAATTTTTTTTCTTTTAAATGAAACGCTAACTCAGAACCACATTTCCATTTTGTTTTTATATTGTATTTGCAGGGTATCCGCGCATCTGGACAGTCATTAAAAATCATGGACAGGCATGAATTTCGGTATTGAACAAAATTTGTCATGAAATGCCTTGATTTTAACTATTTTTTAAAGAAAGTCATGGATTTAGGTCACTGAAAAATCTAATTTTTAAAATGGAATTTACCCCCCCCCCCAATTTCATGGTGTTATGAATTTGTAATAAAATCTCCACTCACAGTCATATTTTATTAAAATATAAAATGTTTTTATCATGTTCTTTAAAAATTATGGTGTTCTTTAAAAAAATGAAAGAAAAAACATCATTTCTAGAACGAATTTAATTATCTTTTAAATTTCTGTAATGTCAGAATTTTTGTTATTATAATTTTTTTTTTAAATTTTATTTTATCAATTTAAAATTCTAGCTGAAGCAAGCCAGTCATTGGCGAATTATTTTTATTCTGAAATGAGAACAGAAAAATCAGGAGTATTTCTTTCCTTTCGAATAAACAAGAAAAGTAGCTTTAGAATATAATTCTGCAGGAAAAATTATTTGCTTTTGTATTTTTTTCAGCTATTTTATTGCTTCAACTCTTTCTTTACTCTGTTTTTTTTTTTTTTTTTTTTTCAAATTTAAAATCTATTAATATGATGATGCATAGTATAACAGTTTTGGTTATACCTATCATTTCAATTAATGTTATTATAATGCGTTTTTAAATTTCTTGTTGTGTTTTTGTCAGAGGAAATAGTAACTTCGTTAAGTCATGAAAAATTCTAGGAATTAGTCATAAAAATTCATGAATTTGAAAATCTAAAATGTAGCAGATAACCAGTATTTATACGAAAACAAAGCCCTTCATGATCACTTTATTAGTAAATAACTGATGCACTCAAAGTCTGATGTGTTGCAGGAAAGAAAGTTGTGAGAAATTAAATGAAGCGAAAGAGAGTCTCTTTAAATTAATGAAGGTTTCCCTTCTAAATTGGCCCCTCCACCTGGATGTGAAACATGCTAGTCTTTACCTCTCCGCATCTCAACAAAGTAAAAAGGTGAGATTTTAAATGGAAATTTCTTCTTCTTTTTTAAAATGATTGCTCTTTTTACTAATGTCATTAACGTTTTTTGTGAAGGTGCCATCGTTGCTATTGAGGGAAGGCATGAAGCTGGATTTGAGTGATTCTGTTCTAGGATTTATTCATGAGTGGGAAAATATCTGGTCTCATGTTAGGCAGTCTACCTTTCCTAATCAAGGTTCTTTTCTTTTTCTCTCTATGTTTAACCCTATAACAGGATATATATATATATAATTTTTTTTTTTTTTTTGAATCAGCACACTTAAAGTGGATGCTATACTGCGAGAGAAATTTTTTATCAAAAATTCTTTTATAAAATTTTAAAGTTCAGAAAAAAGTAAGTTTCTGTATATCTAAAGAAATCTTGAAACATTATTTACAAAATGATTACATAGCTGCCAACTCTACTGGATTTTCTAATAGACTACTGGATTTTCCAATAGACTACTGGATTTTACCAGTTTCTCTTGGTCTACTGGTTTAATTAAAATTCTTCTGGTTTTTGTGCATTTTAGAAAATTCTCTAAAATTGAGTAAGTTTCCTAAAGAATTCTCTATTTAAATGGAATTTTTGTACAGATTATTGCTTGCTAGAATATTGTAATAAGTGTTACTAATACATAATGAAGCAAATCTCATTCATGGAAATCAGTTCAAAACTTTTTTCTAAAATGTTGAGTTTATTTTTATTCAGAACTCACTTTTTAAATTAATTGAAAAAAATCTTTAAATCTTTGATGAATTAAATGCCTATTAATATTCGAAGTTATGAGTAAACACAATACATAACATTTCAAGTATGTTTATTGTCAATCATAACTGGAAAATATTGTAATTTTTCTATTTTGATCCCTTGAATTCCCCTATGTATAAAATATTCAGTACATTATGCAACAATTATCATGAAATTTATATTATTTCGTAAAATCTATTGGATTTTTTCCTATCCATGTTGGCAGCTATGTGATTAATTTGTTTGCTTTTTGAAAACTTTTTTTTCGTCCTTTGAAACTTTCTTTTAGGTTGACCTGAACTCACTTTTCTTTATTCTTGAAATTTTGTATGAATTTCCCATGAAAGGTTTCTTCCACTCTTAATAGAATAAGAAATTGGTTGGGGTACGGAGCTCCTTAAATGTTGCAAAACTTCACTTTTGCAGAACTCACTGTCACCCGAAAAATACTCTTTATGGTTCGTCATGAATGAGTTCATCAAGATGTTATTCATCTGTTAAGAATTCAGGAGGGTTGCACGCTGAATTTTGAGGGGGAAAAATCATTCCCCCTTTTTATAAAGAAAAATACCCAGTTGAAAAACGTTTCACTGACATGACACACTATCTGCTGAAACATTCTACATAATTTCCTAAAAGCAAGAATTTTTTAAAAAAACGAGGAGAAGGGAAATTTTATGCCTTTCACAAATAAACTGATGATGGATATTAATTCTATCTTTCAATACATGTAAAATATAAAGTCGTCACCCAAACATCGTTTAAGGTACAAAGCTTGTGGTATTCGCTATAAAAAAAAATTACGCAAAATTATGCCAATACAATTTTGCAATATTCAATTTTTGAAAAATATTTAAGTAGTAAACAGTTATTAGATTTTTTTTTATAAGTATCTTTATGTAATGAATTTGTAATGTATTCCAAGTCACTTTTCATCAATTTAGACTTGCAATAAGATTAAATTTAAAAAAACTGAGAGACATTTATTTTTTAAATTGTTTACTCAAAATCATATAATTTCATACTTTAACAGTTTTAGGAACAATTCATTGTATAATTATCAAGCTCTATTTCTCTTAAACTAATCTCCTTATTTCCTTTTTTTAAGGGTTGTGCTTTCTAATAATACTATATTATCAAAAATTAGTTTACTGCAAAAAAATAATGAGAAAATACGAATTAAAAATTTATACAGCTGAAACCAAAGATGGCTAAGACCTCTTAAGATGTGTTAGCATGCAATCTACCAGACTCGTTTGTTTGAACTTGAATTATAAATTATTGTTTGTTTGAACTTGAATTATAAATTATGTATATATTTCTTATAAGACTCTAAAATATTTTTCAAAGTGAGTATATTAATTTGAAAGTATATTTGTATTTCAGGGCACTCTTTTGATTTACTCATGATAACTGCAAAGTCTGCTAGAAAACAGCAGAACTTCAAAATGTGCAGTAAACTGCTTTTGAGAAACCTGGTACATTTTGGTATAAATATGCAAACTGTTGATCTTAAAGAGGACTCCAGCATCAACTCTCTGTTGTGCCTTTCTAAAAAAAGCTTGAAGTGGGATCTCAATGATAAACTTCTTAGAATTCAAAGAGAAACAGCCAAACTACTTCACTGGTAACTCTTTCTATTATACATGTCAAAATTAATGAACTTTATTTTAGGCTATACAAATTTTAAAATCTTGAAATACTGCAGCACATTTAAAAAGGTGAGGCTGTCAAAGGCAGCTATAATTTTATACAGATGAAGACAAATTTTTCAAAACTAAATATTTAAGTGAAATGTAAAAATAATGTCAATTTTAAAGGCTTTATGTGGCTATAATACTTATGTCCGTTTATACTTTTTAATTGAGAAAAATCATGACATATTATTAACAATCTGAAGAAAGAACGTCAGATTAGAAATACAGTGGAAAGTCGCATATCTGGAATCGGTGGGACTTCAGGAAGTCCGGATATTAGATTTTTCCGTATAATTGACCCCCAACGATCTAATAAACTATCTGAATCTAAGAAGCAAAAAATAAATAAGCATTATTTTTCGGGCAATAATGTTTTAGTATTCGAATGATATCTAATCAATCAAAAACAAAATATTAGAAAAAAAATGAACAGTTATGAAAATATTAATTGCTATTTCTGCCATTTTGAAATAGAATGATTCAAGCAAGGGGAAATTCCTATAATTCATCATTCAAGTTGAGGGCGGGAAGTAACAAATTCTTATTTTCTCTCCCAACATTGGCTATCAATCAAGCATAAAGGCGTGGCATGCTGATTGGGTTCTCTTTATTTTTTCTTGTGTGACTGAAAGTGACTTCCATTCCACGCTGCATTAACCCTTTTTCACAGTATTTCTTCTTTCCCTAACACTCTAATAAAAAGGTTCCAAGAAATGCCTCTTTTGCTAGCCAGCTGCATAGTCTCAGTTGTGTTTTTTTGAAAACAAATCTCCCTCCTCTCCTGCATTCCAGAGGAGGAGCGTCACTAACGGCCACTCAGGTCTTCTCTACCCCTTTCTGTTGATTTATGGTTCAGTGCATAAATCACTAGAAGCTAGAAAAGGAAAAAGACATTTTTTTTTTTAAAGAGAGGGGAAGATGAAGAAATGTTTATTTATTTTGATTGTTAAGAAGTGTCCGGAAAATTGACCCTTCCGGAAAAGGGTCGTCTGGGTATGGGACGAAAGAAAATCCATGAAAAGCCTTAAATTTGAGTTTAGATTGTTTGAATTTTTAAAAAAGAAAAATGCATTCTGACCTATTTAGACTTAATTTTAGTTATTTTTAAATCGTAGACTTTACCGAAATAACAGTGAAATTTTAGGAATGCATAAAAATTGAATTTTTCTCATTGCAGTGTGGGTGAGAGTGACAAGTGTTATGATTTAATGATTAGTACCATAGATGCCTGTTTCCGTCATTTAAGAGAAACAACTGAATCTTCTAGTGATGTGGAACAATTATCAGATTTGAATTCAAGGTATGGAACATATTTCTTTTAGGATTGTCTCAAATATTGAATTATTTATTTATGACGTAATTAATGTTAATTTTAATATAAATAGTTTAGCTGTACTAAAGATAGACAAAGAATATGCTCAAAATAGAGGTTTTTTTTTTTTCACTTTATAAGCACAGTGGATAATTTAACAAATAAGTGCTAATTTTTAAAATTTTTGTGCTTGCAGCATGATAAAATGAAGATTTTTAAAAAATATGATTAGATAAAAAGTTTATTTAATCTCAATTGTTGCAGCTACAACTATGTTGTTTCCCTTAAACCCATCTATAATACCCCATCGCAAATAAGGACTTCATTAAATTATGATTCATTTTTGTACTAATTTTAATCACAAAAAGGTCTTTCTACCTCTACTCAAGTAAATTTTGTTTGATCTGTTAAGTGACTATTAAGACATTCCCTCTTAAAAGAGACAATTCATATATATGTTTCTTTCAATTAATTATAACAAAGGTTAAGTTAATTGAAATTGATTTCTTCACTTTATGGTATTAAAATATTCCTTTTTGCTGTTTTTACCCAAACTACAAGAATCATTTATTATTCTTTTTCTAGATCTCTGCTAAATCTTGTGAAATATCTTCAACATGATAGTAAAACTGCTCAAGATGATGTTAAGAACTTACCTTCCTACTCAAAACTTCATGAGACCGTTATTGACATTAAAAATTCAAACATGTCTTCGTTAGGAAATGATGTTTTTAAAAGTATGTATTTTACTATCTATCTTTGATGGGGACTACCCATACAAAACCATGGTTGCATCTCTTTATTTATGAATCCACAAAAATGTGTAAACAATGCAAATAGTGTGCTCAGTTATTCTTCAGTAACTTTTTGCATTCTCCGTACGTCACATTATAGATTAAATGATTAGAAAATAAGAATAAATAGAAGTAAGTTAAGAAAAATGTAAAAGGAGTATTTACATAAATGGTGTAATCAATGTATTTTAGGAAGGAAACATCATTCATAATTTATTGTTGAACTGCATACATACCACAATACTCATTCACTTAATAATGAAAGCTTGTATTGAAAAATATTTCTTTTTTTAGATTTGAAACAAGAAAATGTAGTGAGCGATGTTGACTACCTTTCTGTACTTTTACTCCAATTAAGTGTGCAGCAGTGTCCTTCTCTTGCTAAGTCCTGGTACAGTTTTGCTTCCTGGTGCTATGCACATGGTAGAAAAGTGGTGAATTCAGCTTGGTAACTACATTATTTTATGTGTTATTAAAATAAGTATTTTCACAGGTAGAGTTATGATCATTACCTCAATATAACAATATAGTTATGATCATTACCTCAATGAGGTAATGGTTCATTCAATTCTTAATTTTAGATAGTAGACTGTGTGATGGGAATACATATTTTTTTATACATAATATTTTATTTTTAATATTTTTTTCTATTTTGAAAAGTGATATTTTTATATCAAATATTATTTTAGAGGTTAGATCCTTCCCTTCCCTCATTTGAATGCTTAGAAAGTCTTTTTATTGTAAAAAATGTCTCTATTAATTTTTTTTATTTAGTTTATTTTTGGTTTAATAGTTCAAAAACACTCTAAATTGCCCTGTAGGATTATTCTAACATTTCAGAACAATTGAGTCATTTTAAAAATTTTTTTCAAGAAGCATAATAATGTAAATCCAGGGTGTGAAGCTTTTTTTCTTTGGCTATTTTTAAAGAGTGCTTAATTTTTCCAAAAAAAAAGTTTTTCTTTTTTTACCTTGTCAATTTTTGCCACTCGTTACGGAAAGGGCATCGTTATCACATTGTTCCGTTTATTGTTTTTACAATTCATTCAGCCACAATCCATTGTAGTGTACCATAGATACTCTACATATGAAATCGCCAGTCATTTTGCATGTTCGATTAAGCAGGGTTGCCACAGGCGACTAAAATGCGACTATTTGCCACGATTTTCGGCCTAAGGCGACTTTGACAACTTTTCTTGCCTGAAAAGGCTGAAAAAGCAACTATTTTCTAGAAAAGGAGACTTTTTTGCACTCATGGCAATGTGTTTTAGTATTAATGGAGTTGACAATCTGCAGCCTGCAAGAGCTTCTGAGCACAATGAATTTTTATTTAAAAAATAAAAAATGTTAAATCATTGAACTGTTGAATTTCAAGTTTGAGTCATCACTTTTGAATGCGCTCAATTTGCGCAAAATTCCATTTTTAGTCTATTTTGTTTCTTGACCTCCTTTTCAACAGTTATTACAACGAAATTCTGCTTGATTTAGAAAAAAAAAAAAAAAAAACAATTTTTAATACTATATTACGATACATGAATTTCTAATTTGAGTATTCACTTTTCATAATATATATATATAGTGGAACCTCGAGATATGAGTGCCCTAACATACGAGTTATTTGAGATACAAGCTGTCGAGAGAGCGAAATTTTGTTTTGAGATACGAGGAACGGCCATGCATGCCCTCGACAATGCTCCTGCTCACCCACCGAACCTCAAACATGACATCCTTGAAGAGTTCAAGTTTATAAAGGTTCTCTATCTACCACCTAACACCACTCCTATCTTGCATCCTATGGATCAGCAGGTGATTTCTAATTTTAAAAAGCAGTACACTAAGCACCTGTTCCGGCGCTGCTTTAAGGTGACAGAGAACACAAACCTCACACTTCGAGCCTCTGCATGGAAGAAGCTGTGCCTGAATGAGTCTGTGGCCGAAAATTGCGCTGTGGCCTGAGTCTGTAGCTTCGAAGGATTCGAACCCGAAGTGCCAGTGGAGGAGGAGATTGTGTCTCTGGGGAAATCCATGGACCTGGTGATGGGTGAGAGAGATGTGAACAAGCTCGTCAAGGAGCACTCTCAGGAACTGACAACCAAGGAATTACAAGAGTTACAGTTGCAGCAGTATTCGGGGGTCCTGCAAGAAATTGGTTTCCAAGAAGAGCCGGTTCCAGGAATGTGGGAGAGAATTTCGCAGTTCGTGGAAAAGAAGCATCCCGAAAAAGTTCCAACTGGTCGTGCATCGGAGCTATTTAATGACACTTGCATAACTCATTTCTGCAGCATTCTGAGAAAGAGGAAGAAACAAACCTCCTTGTACATTTTTTTTTAAAAATCTGGCTAAAAAAGCAAAGATCAGTGAAAAGAAAAGCAGTGACTAAAATTAAGAATGCAGTAGCATTTAAGTTGTGTGTAAGTTGCATTTAAGTGACCAAAATACAAATATGTATGTACACTTTGTAAAACCAGTTTTTTTTTTTTGCTTTACATTCTCTTTTGTGAGTTTATACAATATTTGTCATTTATAAATACACATACATTTTTCTTATTCAAAAACATGTAACAAAAACGATTGGGGGTAGCATTTTTGGGACTGGAACGGATTAATGGCATTTCAATGGGGAAAATTACTTTGAGATACGAGCAAATTGACGTACAAACAAGGTAACGGAACAAATTAAACTCGTATATCGAAGTATCACTGTGTGTGTATATACAGTGGTGGCCAAAAGTGTGGACACTTTTTGAAAGTTTCATGTTTTTCAACTTTGTGTGCTTGTAAAATATATTAATTTTCACTTAAATACAAACGTTTAGATATCAAATTGAAGGTAATTTAATGTAGAATTTAATAATAAATACAGTATTACAATATCTGTATTACAAAGAAGGTTATGCAACAAGTAGTCAGATCTATCTTAGATTTGCATTTTTTACAGTGATACTTACACAATCAATACTTAGTAGGATAACCCTTATTTTTTAAGACAGCTTCACAGCGTTTTTTCATCGAGTGAACGAGTGTTTGGAGTTCATCTTTCGTAATCACATGGTGCCAAGAATCAATTATAGCTTCAATAAGTTGTCTTTTATTGGATGGACGTTTTTTTCGTACA